CCAACACCACGCCCGGCCGCCTTTGTCTCACCAGTGGCGATGTTTTTTTTTTTACACACCGAACCAGGTTAATCATTTGAGGCCGAGTCGACCTGTGGGAGGCCCAGGACCGGCTCAGATAATCGTCACCAGTCTCGACACCCCCACCACCCTCACCACCCCCACTATCCTCACCACCATCACCACCCTCACTATCCTCACCACCATCACCACCCTCACCATCATCACCACCACCACCATCCTCACCACCACCACCACCCCACCACCATCACCACCCTCACCACCATCACCACCCTCACCACCATCACCACCCTCACCACCATCACCACCCTCACCACCCCCACCATCCTCACCATCCTCACCACCCCCACCATCCTCACCACCCCCACCATCCTTACCACCCTCACCACCCCCACCATCCTCACTATCCTCACCATCCTCACCACCACCCCCACCACCATCACCACCCTCACCACCCTCACCACCCCCACCATCCTCACCACCCCCACCATCCTTACCACCCTCACCACCCCCACCATCCTCACCACCCTCACCACCACCACCATCCTCACCACCCCCACCACCATCACCACCCTCACCACCATCACCACCCTCACCACCCTCACCACCCCCACCATCCTCACCACCCCCACCATCCTCACCACCCTCACCACCCCCACCATCCTCACCACCCCCACCATCCTCACCACCCCGAACCATCCTCACCACCCTCACCATCCTCACCACCATCACCACCCTCACTATCATCACCACCACCACCATCCTCACCACCACCATCCTCACCACCCCCACCACCATCACCACCCTCACCACCATCACCACCCCCACCATCCTCACCACCCTCACCACCCCCACCACCCTCACCACCCCCACCATCCTCACCACCCTCACCATAACCACCATCCTCACCACCCCTACCATCCTCACCACCCCTACCACCCTCACCATCCGCACCACCCTCACCACCCCCACTATTCTCACCATCCTCACCACCACCACCATCCTCAACACCCCCACCATCCTCACCACCCCCCACCACCATCCTCACCATCCCCACCATCCTCACCATTCTCACCACCTCTACGCACAACCATCCTCACCACCCCAACCACCCCCACCACCATCACCACCCCCACTATTCTCACCACCAAACAACCACCCCTCACCGTCACCACCACCCTAACACCACAACTACCAACAACAATTACTACTGTACCATCGCTAACCACCCCGACAATTAACCACACATCCACCCCACAACAACAACAACCACCGACAATTACCAACAGGCCTCACCATCCTCACCGCCAGCAGCAGCCTCACTATCATCACCACCACCACCACCATCCCCACCATCCTCACCACCACCACCATCACCACCACCCCCACCACCCCCACCATCTCTACCCACCACCATCCTCACCATCTTCACCGCCAGCAGCAGCCTATCATCACCACCACCACTATCCTCACCACCACCATCTATACCCACCACCATCCTCACCATCCTCACCACCCCCACCACCACCACCACCATCCTCACCACCACCATCCTCACCACCACCATCCTCACCACCACCACCACCATCCTCACCACCACCACCACCATCCTCACCACCACCACCCCCACCACCACCATCCTCACCAACACCACCACCACCCTCACCACCACCATCCTCACCACCCTCACCACCACCATCCTCACCACCCTCACCACCACCACCATCCTCACCACAACCACCATCCTCACCACCACCATTATCCTCACCACCCTCACCACCACCCCCACCCCCACCATCCTCACCATCCTCACCACCACCATTATCCTCACCACCCTCACCACCCCCACCACCACCATCCTCACCATCCTCACCACCACCATTATCCTCACCACCCTCACCACCATCACCACCCCACCACCCCCACCATCCTCACCACCATCACCACCCCCACCACCCCCACCATCCTCACCATCACCACCCCCACCATCCTCACCCTCACCACCCCCACCACGCTCACCATCCTCACCATCCCCACCATCATTATCCTCACCACCCTCACCACCCCCACCATCCTCACCATCCCCACCATCCTCACCACCCCCACCACCCCCACCATCCTCACCACCCCCACCATCCTCACCACCCCCACCATCCTCACCACCCCCACCATCCTCACCACCCCCACCCTCACCACCCACCACCCCACCACCTCACCATCCTCACCACCCCCACCATCCTCACACTCACCACCCCCACCACCCTCACCACCCCCACCACCCCCACCACCCTCACCACCCTCACCACCCCCACCATCCTCACCCTCACCACCCTCACCACCCCCACCACCCTCACCACCCCCACCACCCCCCACCACCCTCACCACCCCACCCATCCTCACCACCCTCACCGCCCCCACCACCCTCACCACCCCCACCATCCTCACCACCCCCACCACCCCCACCACCCTCACCATCCTCACCACCCCCACCATCCTCACCCTCACCACCCTCACCACCCCCACCACCCTAACCACCCCCACCACCCCCACCACCCTCACCATCCTCACCACCCCCACCATCCTCACCATCCTCACCACCCCCACCATCCTCACCACCCCCACCACCCCTACCATCCTCATCACCCCCACCATCCTCACCACCCCTACCACCCCCACCACCCCCACCATCCTCACCACCCTCACCACCCCCACCATCCTCACCATCCTCACCCTCACCATCCTCACCACCCCCACCATCCTCACCACCCCCACCATTCTCACCATCCTCACCACCCCCACCATCCTCACCATCCTCACCACCCCCACCATCCTCACTACCCCCACCACCCCCTACCACCCCCACCATCCTCACCACCCCTACCACCCCCACCACCCCCACCATCCTCACCACCCTCACCACCCCCACCATCCTCACCCTCACCATCCTCACCACCCCCACCATCCTCACCCTCACCACCCTCACCACCCTCACAACCCTCACCACCCCCACCACCCCCCACCACCCTCACCACCCCCACCATCCTCACCATCCTCACCACCCCCACTATCCTCACCACCCCCACCACCCCTACCATCCTCACCACCCCCACCATCCTCACCACCCCTACCACCCCCACCACCATCCTCACCACCCTCACCACCCCACCACCATCCTCACCACCCTCACCACCCCCCACCATCCTCACCATCCTCACCCTCACCATCCTCACCACCCCCACCATCCTCACCACCCCCACCACCCCCACCATCCTCACCACCCCCACCACCCCTACCATCCTCACCACCCCCACCATCCTCACCACCCCTACCACCCCCACCACCCCCACCATCCTCACCACCCTCACCACCCCCACCATCCTCACCCTCACCATCCTCACCACCCCCACCACCCCCACCATCCTCACCCTCACCACCCTCACCACCCCCACCACCCCCACCATCCTCACCATCCTCACCACCTCCACCATCCTCACCATCCTCACCACCCCCACCATCCTCACCACCCCCACCACCCCTACCATCCTCACCACCCCCACCATCCTCACCACCCCTACCACCCCCACCACCCCCCACCATCCTCACCACCCTCACCACCCCCACCATCCTCACCACCCCCACCATCCTCACCACCCCCACCACCCCCACCATCCTCACCACCCTCACCACCCCCACCATCCTCACCACCCCCACCATCCTCACCACCCTCACCACCCCCACCACCCCCACCATCCTCACCACCCTCACCACCCCCACCATCCTCACCACCCTCACCACCCCCACCACCCTCACCACCCTCACCACCCCCACCACCCCCACCACCCTCACCACCCCCACCACCCCCACCACCCTCACCTCCCTCACCACCCCCACCATCCTCACCATCCTCACCACCCCCACCACCCCCACCATCCTCACCACCCCCACCACCCTCACCATCCTCACCATCCTCACCACCCCCACCACCCCCACCATCCTCACCACCCCCACCACCCCCACCATCCTCACCATCCTCACCATCCCCACCATCCTCACCACCCCCACCATCCTCACCACCCCCACCACCCCTACCATCCTCACCACCCCCACCATCCTCACCACCCCTACCACCCCCACCACCATCCTCACCACCCTCACCACCCCCACCATCCTCACCATCCTCACCCTCACCATCCTCACCACCCCCACCATCCTCACCACCCCCACCACCCCCACCATCCTCACCACCCCCACCACCCCTACCATCCTCACCACCCCCACCACCCCTACCATCCTCACCACCCCCACCATCCTCACCACCCCTACCACCCCCACCACCCCCACCATCCTCACCACCCTCACCACCCCACCATCCTCACCCTCACCATCCTCACCACCCCCCCACCCCCACCATCCTCACCCCACCACCCTCACCACCCCCACCACCCCACCATCCTCACCATCCTCACCACCTCCACCATCCTCACCATCCTCACCACCCCCACCATCCTCACCACCCCCACCACCCCTACCATCCTCACCACCCCCACCATCCTCACCACCCCCACCATCCCCACCACCCCCACCATCCTCACCACCCCCACCATCCTCACCACCCCCACCATCCTCACCATCCTCACCACCCCCACCACCCCCACCACCCTCACCACCCCCACCATCCTCACCATCCTCACCACCCCCACCACCCCCACCATCCTCACCACCCCCACCATCCTCACCATCCTCACCACCCCCACCACCCCCACCACCCTCACCACCCCCACCATCCTCACCACCCCCACCATCCTCACCATCCTCACCACCCCCACCACCCCCACCATCCTCACCACCCCCACCACCCCCACCACCCTCACCACCCCCACCATCCTCACCATCCTCACCACCCCCACCACCCCCACCATCCTCACCACCCCCACCACCCCCACCATCCTCACCACCCCCACCACCCCCACCATCCTCACCATCCTCACCGCCAGCAGCAGCAACAGCACGGGCGGCGTCGCTCAGGGCGAGCTCCACTGCCTCCGCCGCCGCCATTACGACTCAGCCCGGCCTCCTCCTCCTCGTGGCGTCTGCGTCTGTGGGGTGGTGGTTGTTGTTGTTGTCGTTGTTGTTGTTGTCGTCGTGGATGGCTGCCGGAGCTTCTTCTTCTTCAGCAGAGAGAGAGAGAGACGCGCAACTTGGACCCGTCTTGTCCCACTCCTCCTCCTTCTCTCCGCGACCACCGCCACCAAACCTCCTCCTCCCTCCCTCCCTCCGCCGGCCTTTGTCAGACCACCCCGGTCAACCCGCGGCGTCGGTAGGGGCGGTGGTGGTGGCGGTGGTGGTGGTGACAGTCCGTAGTGGTGGTGGTGACAGCGGCAGTCGGTGGTGGTGATGGTAGTGGTGGTGATGGTGACAGTCCGTAGTGGTGATGGTGGTGGTGACAGCGGCAGTCCGTAGTGGTGATGGTGGTAGTGGTGATGGTGATGCTGAATTGTGGTGTCAGATTAATGGTGGTGGCGGTGATGGTAACAGCGGCAGTCGTTGGTGGTGATGGTGGTGACAGAGGCAGTCGGTAGTGGTGGTGGTGATGGTGGTAGTGACAGAGGCAGTCCGTAGTGGTGGTGATGGTAGTGATGGTGGTGGTGATGGTGGTAGTGGTTGTGATGGTGATGGTGAATTGTTGCTGTCAGATTAATGGTGGTGGCGGTGATGGTAACAGCGGCAGTCGGTGATGGTGGTGATGGTAGTGGTAGTGATGATGGTGGTGACAGAGGCAGTCGGTAGGGCGGGGTGCGAACAGCGGCAGGAGGATGATGATGATGAGGAAGAAGAAGCAACAACAGCAGCAGCCGCAGCGCCACCACGGGCTGACAAGCGAGAGAGGAGGAGGGAGCGATCAGTAAGGCGGCATGAGCGATCACTCCCACCACCACCGCCGCTGTTGTTGTTGTTGGCTGCTGTTGTTGTTGTTGGCTGCTGTTGTTGTTGTTGGCTGTTGTTGTTGTTGTTGTTTCGCCGTCCCAACAACGGCGGCAGAAGGCCGACTGACGAAAGCTGAGCTCGGCTGGAGGGTGACGCGGCGGCGTTTACTGTGGGGCCCGGGTCGAGAGGAGGGTGGGTGGTGGATAGGTGGAAGGTGGTGGTGGGTGGGTGGGTGGTGGTGGTGGGTGGGTGTGGGTGGTGGTGGATAGGTGGGTGGTGGTGGTGGATAGGTGGGTGGTGGTGGGTGGTGGTTAGTGGTTAGTGGGGAGGAGGGGGAGGGATCTCTGCTGCTGCTGCAGGAGGATGATGGTGGTGGTTAGTGGGGGGGGTTTCTCTTGGTCTCAGCTGCTGCTGCAGGAGGATGATGGTGGTGGTGGTGGTTGTTGTTGTTTAGTGGGGGGGGGGGGTCTCTCTTGGTCTCAGCTGCTGCTCTAACAACGCTGGCTGATGATGCTGGATGATGGTGGTGGTTAGTGGGGGGGGTCTGTCTCGCTGGCCTCAGCTGCTGCTGCTGCTCTAACAACGCTGGCTGCTGATGATGATGGAGGAGGAGGAGGAGGTGGTGGTGGTGCCTCCCTTTTCCCTTCCTGGGGATGCGGACGCCGTGCGTCACCGGCGTGGTCACGTGTTGTGTGGGGGGAGGGGCTGGGGGGACGAGGGGGGGGGTCTGGGGGGACGAGGGGGGGGGGCTGGGGGGACGAGGGGGGGGGCTGGGGGAACGAGGGGCGGGGCTGGGGGAACGAGTGGGTGGGCCGGGGGGACGAGGGGGGGGGGCTGGGGGGACGAGGGGGGGGCTGGGGGAACGAGTGGAGGGAGCTGGGGGGACAAGGGGAGGGGGCTGGGGGGACAAGGGGAGGGGGCTGGGGGGACAAGGGGAGGGGGCCGGGGGGACGAGGAGGGGGGCTGGGGGGACGAGGGGAGGGGCTGGGGGGACGAGTGGGGGGACGAGGGGGCTGGGGGGACGAGGGGAGGGGGCTGGGGGGACGAGGGGAGGGGCTGGGGGGACGAGTGGGGGGGGGGGAGGGGGCTGGGGGGACGAGGGGAGGGGGCTGGGGGGACGAGGGGAGGGGGCTGGGGGGGGAGGGGGCTGGGGGGCTGGGGGAACGAGGGGAGGGGCTGGGGGGACGAGGGGAGGGGGCTGGGGGGGGGAGGGGGCTGGGGGGACGAGGGGAGGGGGCTGGGGGGACGAGGGGAGGGGCTGGGGGGACGAGTGGGGGGGGGCTGGGGGGACGAGGGGAGGGGGCTGGGGGGGGGAGGGGGCTGGGGGGACGAGGGGAGGGGGCTGGGGGGACGAGGGGAGGGGGCTGGGGGGACGAGTGGGGGGGGGCTGGGGGGGACGAGTGGGGGGGGGGGCTGGGGGACGAGGGGAGGGGTCTGGGGGGACAATGGGAGGGGGGGCTGGGGGGACGAGTGGGGGGGGGCTGGGGGGACGAGTGGGGGGGGGGCTGGGGGGACGAGGGGAGGGGGCTGGGGGGACAATGGGAGGGGGGGCTGGGGGGACGAGTGGGGGGGGGGGCTGGGGGGACGAGTGGGGGGGGGCTGGGGGGACGAGGGGAGGGGGCTGGGGGGACGAGGGGAGTGGACGGGACGAGTGGGGGGGGGCTGGGGGGACGAGGGGGGGGCTGGGGGGACGAGGGGAGTGGACGGGGGGACGAGTAGGGGGGGGCTGGGGGGACGAGTGGGGGGGGGCTGGGGGGACGAGTGGGGGGGGGCTGGGGGGACGAGTGGGGGGGGCTGGGGGGACGAGTGGGGGGGGCTGGGGGGACGAATAGGGGGGGGCTGGGGGGACGAATAGGGGGGGGCTGGGGGGACGAGTGGGGGGGGGCTGGGGGGACGAATGGGGAGGGGCTGGGGGGACGAGGGGGGGGGGGCATGGGGGACGAGGGGAGGGGGCTGGGGGGACGAGGGGAGGGGGCTGAGGGGGGAGGGGCTGGGGGGACGAGGGGAGGGGGCTGGGGGGACGAGGGGAGGGGGCTGGGGGGACGAGTGGGGAGGGGCTGGGGGAACGAGTGGGGGGGGGCTGGGGGGACGAGTGGGGAGGGGCTGTGGGGACGAGGGGAGGGGCTGGGGGGACGAGGGGGGGGGCTGGGGGGACGAGGGGGGGGCTGGGGGGACGAGTGGGGAGGGGCTGTGGGGACGAGGGGAGGGGCTGGGGGGATGAGAGGGGGGGGGGTTCGAGGTGGGTGGTTGTCTGGGCCCGGAGTGTGTTTGTAACCTTCTAAAAGAACTCCGCGTTGTTAGTCTCACTCGCGTCTGGGTCGACGATGTCGCCTTTGGTGAGGATTTATTTTATTTTTCTACCCACGTGACTTTACCGAAAGAACCAAAGAGTATTGCTTCCTGCAGTCACGAAAGCTTCAAATCAAGATTGCCGATGGACTGTGTTGAGATTGTGGGCCGGTTGTTAAAGGGTGTGCGTGTGTGTCAGATCAGAGGGTTTCCCTCTAGACGCATGTTAAATATACAGGAGGTTGCGTCTGAATAGGTGCTGTCAGGTCAGAGGGTTTCCCTCTAGACGTGTGCTGTTGTATTCGATGGAGGGTGTCTGGAGTGCTAGTGTCAGGTCAGAGGGTTTAGAGGCCGTCCACAAATGACGTCACGTGATTTTGGACGATGCTTTACCGCCCCCCTCGTCACACGGCGTCACAAAAAGTCAGACCCCCCCCCCTCAAAGATGACGTCATAAAGCTCTGCCCCCTCCCCCCCCCAAAAAATAAAACATGCTTCAAATCGCTCTAAGCTATTGCCGTTGTAGTGCGTATTTAACGTGGCGCTGCACTCTGATGTTGTAGGAGAAAACATTTATTAAAAAGTCTATTTAATTAAGCAGAACGTGTTGTCTATATTTATTTAAAGTTGCGCATTTTGATGTGACGTCACGTTTCTCAATCCCCCCTGCCCCCCCCTCGTAACACATCGTCACACCGATGTCTGACCCCCCCCCCCTCCAGGTGTGTGACGTCATGGGAGAGAGAGTTTCCGTGGTAAGAGGTTATACTGGTAGGAACCTCCTGGTTACACCAGCCCACAGGGGATTATTGTGTCCGTCCGTCGTGCAGGGAGGGGCTGGGTGGGGAGGGGAGGGTGGGGCTGGGTGGGGAGGGAGGGGCTGGGTGGGGAGGGTGGGGCTGGGTGGGGAGGGGAGGGTGGGGCTGGGTGGGGGGTGGGGCTGGGTGGGGAGGGGCTGGTCACCCCGTGGTGCCCTTATAAAACTCAACGTTTAACCTACTCACGCCGGCTTGTGCCCGCCCTCACAGTCGGGCATATTAGCGGAATACACCACGCCGCCGTTGACCCTGGCCATTGACCGAGCAACCCAACGTTCCTACCAGCTCCCTCCGCAGGAATGTGTTTTTACCCTGGAGAAATCCGATGAGCCATGAAGCTCTTTTTCACAGATGCCAGTAGGGGCGGGTCAGAATGTTACAACAAAAATACGAACACACGTTAGGAGTAAAGTCACTGCAACACAAGCAATCATCAATGATGATTGCTTGTGTTGCAGTTGAAACGTCGTGAGAATTTTATTATTTTATATTTTTCTTATTTCCCTTCTACGTGACTTTACCGAAAGAACCAAGAGTATGTTTTTTATCTTAGCAGGTGAAGTCCATTAAGCTATTAGCTTATTTTTCAGAAGCGGCCTGGCCATAAATGATAACTCAACGAGGTGGTTTATAATATGGATATTTATAACAGCCAAATCATCTAAATATAGTAGTGCCAGCTACCCACGAGACGCATGCCATTGTATGTCTTGGAGGGAGTGTGCCGGAATTCATTGCGTCATTGCCCTACGATGACGCAGGTGCCATCAATCACTCACCTGTTTCAAAATGTGCACGGCTTAAACAAAACATGTAGATTTTAACAGGGCGTGGTGGCACATGCCTCTGATTTATAATTTGTGGAGGCAAGGGTGGCGCTGTTATATTCCAGACCTTGAGACTTCTGGTAGGAGGTGACATGCCCCACTGAAAGTTCAGAGAGGAAAACAGAACACGTGCCATCTTAGTTGGAGCGTAGTTTACAATTAATATAAATGGCTATGCACGTGCGATGCCTAATGTTCTTCTTGTTGTTCGTCCATCAAAGTTGATGATGACCATGGCACGTTTGTCATTTTGTTGGGTTTTTATGAGTGCGCAGATGGCTGAAGAGGCCAATCCGAGCCCGGAATTCTCTGTGGCACACTGGACAGGTCAGGGTGGATGTAGAGCTCTGAGGTGCAGCCACACGTCCTTCCTTGGTAGATTTGCGCTGCTGCCTCTTCAAGATAGCACAGGAGCTTCTCCTCCTCTCACAGAGGACTGCACCATCCTGTACTTTTCTTCTCCAGGCAGGTCGGTCCTGTGTTAGAGACAAAGCAAACCCCCCCCCGCCTCCAAATATAAAATTCAAACACCGTCAATGAGTCGTAGACCACCAAACCAGATGTAGATCTCTCAGCGCCAGGGAAGAGACGTTGCCACCGATGATGACTCTGGCAGCTGACGTCAGAGGTGCATGAACACATTCCTGCGGAGGGAGCTGGTAGGAACGTTGGGTTGCTCGATCAATGGCCAGGGTCAACGGCGGCGTGGTGTATTCCGCAAATATGCCCGACTGTGAAGGCGGGCACAAGCCGGCGTGAGTAGGTTAAACGTTGAGTTGTATAAGGGCACTACGTGGTGACCAGCCCCTCCCCACCCAGCCCCTCCCCACCCTCCCCACCCAGCCCCTCCCCACCCTCCCCTCCCCAATCAGCCCCTCCCTTCCCACCCAGCCCCTCCCTGCATGACGGACGAACGGACACAATAATCCCCTGTGGGCTGGTGGAACCAGAAGGTTCCAACCAGTATATTTAGTCCGTGTGGGAGGCTACGGCATACGATGATTCATAATATAGGTTTTTGGGTTAAATCGCGTTATTTATAAATGTGTCACAACCCTCGATCATCCGACACGACCAATCGGTAAAAAATGTGTGACGTTGACAAAAGACAAATAGTTCACTACTTTAGCCCACCGGTGTGTTGAAGAGTGGATGCACAACATTTACAATTTGAGGAGTACGACGTTTCGCTGGAAATTACATCCAGCATCTTCGGGCAAAATGTTGCTATAGCCTTGGTCGAGAATCAAACTCGGGTGGACAGATTTCATGGTGCAGCGCATTAACCGCTGCGCGACCGTTTTATATATTATCATTATATATTATCGCATCGGTATGATTTTACGATACGATGTATAACAGCGCAGTCGTTACTTGACACTTTCCCCCAAGTTTTACTCAGCAGATTGGTGAGCTGCGTAGACGTGGGTGTATAGAATCTCTGCGCACAGCGCCGGATGAAGCTAGTATCATGGTGTTATAAAGGGGCCCTAAATAAATATTAAAATACATACATTTTTTACTTGCATAATAAAGTAATTGTATTTTTTCATTTGCTATACAGCCAGATAATAGACAAATCGCTAACCTTAAACACCAAGTCGTTCATAAAAGTTGAAGGCAGTATAGTACTATAGTAATAGAGCAAGTGCAGAACCACTGAACCGGAATTGATAGCTTGAAAGCATTTAGCGCGGGGCCCTTGAAAGTGCGGGGACCCGTAGCATATGTAGCTACTTTTGCTACTAGGATAATCCGGCACTGATTGTACAGAACAACAATTGGTTTCGTTTGTATTACCTTCTGTGGCCTGGAACGTAGACCCCCGTGCAGCCTATAACACCTGTTTTTTTTATCAATGATTATCGCCCCAGCCATTATCCAGGCTCAACATCCGTTGAGCTTTCTTAGGTGTGACAAGAGCAGTCCCATTGCGTGTGATTTGAGAACGTTAGACATCACTTCTGATGCCAAACGGGAATACTACTGGGAGAAAGTAACATTTAAATACAACGCTGAATATGGTCATGAGCCACACTGCTCAATGCGATCCTGACCTAACAAGGCCACGTGTTTACACGGTGGAAATTTTAAGTTAACAGCACACGTGCAGAAAAAAAAAGTGCGGAACGGCCAGCGAAACGTATCGTATGATTCCAAAGCCACTCTCACATATGCCTGCAATTAAACTAGACAGCCTGTATATAAAAAAACATACCCCCTTTGATGTCTACACACCAAGAGGATTCTGATATAATCACACACATTCAGTGGTAATGTTTCGAATAAAGATGGAGCTTCTGCCCAGCACACAATAAATATTTAAAGACGTGTGCTGTTGTACCTCGGCAGATATTAAATTGGCACGAACATTTCGATTTAAAGCTTTCGTGACTGCAGGGATTCATCTTCTTGGTTCTTTCGGTAAAGTCACGTAGAAAGGAAGTAATAAAATAATAAATATAAAACATAATAAAATTATGTCATAAAATAATAAAAATAAAACATAATAAAATTGTGTTTTATTTTTATTATTTTATTACTTCCCTTCTACGTGACTTTACCGAAAGAACCAAGAAGTTGGCACGAACTGTTTTGAATTGGCATATTTTTGTTGCTTAGGGACAAAAATAGTTATTATACACACGGCTCAATGCATGTATCTTGAGTGTTCCATTTGGTTTTAATCAATTCATGAATACATCGTTAAATGCTTAATACACTTAAACACCACGGGGTTTGGGGGCCCTCGCATTGTAAGCGCTAAGGGGTCTGGGGGGCTCTAGTGGTTAGCTCACGTTTTAAACACCAAGGAGTTTGGGGAGCCCTCACATTCTAGATTTGAAGCTTTCGTGACTGCAAGGATTCATACTCTTAGTTCTTTCGGTAAAGTCACGTAGGTAAAAAAATGAAATTAAAATTAATAAAATGTATTAAAATATTTTATTTTTATTAATTATAATTTCATTTTTTTTACCTACATGACTTTACCGAAAGAACTAAGAGTATGGCCCTCACATTGTAAGCGCTAATGGGTCTGGGGGGCCCTAGTGGTTAGCTCACGTTTTAAACGCTAAGGAGTTTGGGGGGCCCTCCCATTGTAAGTGCTAAGGGGTCTGGGGGGCTCTAGTGGTGAGCTCACGTTTTAAACACCAAGGAGTTTGGGGGGCCCTCACATTGTAAGCGCTAAGGGGTCTGGGGGGCACTAGTGGTCAGCTCACGCTGTAAACACCCAGGGGCCTCGTGGTCAGCTTGCCCTGTGCGCACTCAGGGCCCTTGCGTTCAACTTGTGTTTAACTTCTTTCGCGCCGTACGTAGCCAAGCGTGCTAATCGGATGTGCGGGGGGAAGAACAACACACTAAACACAAACATCAATTCGAGAGAAATTAGTTTTCAATCTGGATTTAAAAGTGCATAGCTCGGAAGGAAGACATTAACTCCTTGCAACGTTCTCGTTATCACGTAGAATGGAAATAATAAAATAATAAAACATAATAAAATTATTCTCACGACGTTTCGGCCACAACGCAAGCAGCCGTCCTCAGGTCTGTCGGGGAGACGCTTAAATATACGCTCCAAGGGTGGTGTTGTTTCATTCAGAAGCTGTCTCCCCGACAGACCTGGTCTTCACCTGAGGACGGCTGCTTGCGTTGTGGCCGAAACGTCGTGAGAATTATTTTATTGTGTTTTATTTTTATTATTTTATTATTTCCCTTCTACGTGACTTTACCGAAAGAACCAAGAAGATGTTCTCGTTATCGTTACTAGTTCAGCACCACCGGTTGTGTGTTGGAGAGTAACGTTTCGTCGGTACTAATTACACCAACAGCCAGAGAGTTGTAGAGACAAAATTATCCTGTGTCGGTCTTAAATAGAGCTGGGTATGAATGTGATGTCAGTTTAATATCTAGTGGGAGCTTTCACGACCAATATCATCCATAATAGAGGGTGTTTTTAAAATCGTTTATATTAAGTTCACTTGCTTGCTTGCTTGCGCGCTTACGACCGTGCAAATCTTTCGGTCGTTTTTTAACCCACTTCCCGTGATCCAATCGAGCTGACATTTTACACACAGACTCGTTGTGCGTGACAATTTATTTTCGTGAAATTTTTTTTCCATAACTTTACACTTTTTAGGAAAAAAAAAATGTATTATATATTAATTACCAATTGCTTAATGGTGGCAGGCAATCATCTGACCCATAGGTGGCAGCCATCTCAAGCCAGAGGACGAGAGGACTCTAGCCGCCACGCATATAAAGGATTTATAGTGAAAAACTTTGTTTTTACGGGTTAATTTTTTTGGGTTACATCGCGTAAATATATGTGTCGTTAAACCAGCCACCACCCGACACAGCCAACTAGTAAGGTTTGTCACGTAAACAGAAGGTGCCAATTAGTTACTAGTACAGCACACCGGTTGTGTGTTGAAGAGCAAATCCACTAGATTTGAAGCTTTCGTGACTGCAAGGATTCATACTCCTTAGGTTCTTTCGGTAAAGTCACGTAGGTAAAAAATGAAATTAAAATTAATAAAAATACAACGACGTTTCGGAGGCAACACAAGTCTCCGTCATCAGGTGGGACCGTCACAGCCAGATTTGCTGCATCAAGTGACTTTACCGAAAGAACTAAGAGTAGCAAATCCACTACAACTTTACAATCTTGATTCGGACGTTTCGCCAGTAATTACAACCGGCACCATCAGGCGACAGCCATATCTGGATTTTACTCTCCAACACACTACCGGTGTTGCTGTACTAAGTGACAAATGGACACGTTCCGTTTACGTGAGAAACCCATTACTAACTGGCTGTGTCGGGTGGTGGAAGGTTGAACGACACCACATTTATATATTTACACGATCTAACTCTCCCCCCCTCCTGTATTATCGATGAATGTCATGCGATGGGAACTTGAGTTTAGACAAATGACCGCGGTGCCTTATATGGGAGTGGGTGTTAGGGGTGGGTGGTGAGTGGGGTGGGTGGGTGCGGTGGTGGTGGGTGGGGTGGGTGTTAGGGATGGGTGGGTGGTGGTGGTGGGGGGGAGTGGTGGTGTTGGTGGGGGGGGAGTGGTGGTGTTGGTGGGGGGGGGAGTGGTGGAGGGGGTGGGGGAGTGGTGGGGGGGGTGGGGGAGTGGTGGTGGTGGGGGAGTGGTGGTGTTGGTGGGGGGAGTGGTGGTGGTGGTGGGGGGAGTGGTGGGGGGGAGTGGTGTTGGTGGGGGGAGTGGTGGGGGGGGGGGAGTGGTGGTGGTGGGGGGGAGTGGTGGTGTTGGTGGTGGGGGTGGTGGGGGGAAGTGGTGGTGTTGGTGGGGGGTAGTGGTGGTGTTGGTGGGGGGTGGGTGGGGTGGTGGGGGTGGGGGGGGGGGAGTGGTGGGGGGGAGTGGTGAGGGGGAGTGGTGGTGTTGGTGGTGGGGGGCGGTGGTGTTGGTGGGGGGGGTGGTGGGGGGGGGAGTGGTGGGGGGTGGGGGGGGAGTGGTGGGGGGGAGTGGTGGTGGGGGTGGGGAGGGAGTGGTGGGGGGAAGTGGTGGTGTTGGTGGGGAGTGGTGGTGGCGGGGGGAGTGGTGGTGGTGGTGGGGGGGGAGTGGTGGGGGGAAGTGGTGGTGTTGGTGGGGGGAGTGGTGGTGGGGGGGAGTGGTGGTGGGGGGGAGTGGTGGTGTTGGTGGGGGGGAGTGGTGGTGGGGGGAGTGGTGGTGGTGGTGGGGGGTGAGTGGGGTGGGAGTGGTGGTGGTGGTGGGGGGGAGTGGTGGTGTTGGTGGGGGGGAGTGGTGGTGGGGGGGAGTGGTGGTGTTGGTGGGAGGAGTGGTGGGAGTAGTGGTGGGGGAGGCGATCTTAGGGCACGCGGAGTCTCACGTCTCGAGACCCGGGGGCGGAAACGGCTCGGATCGTGACGCGGCTGACATCACTGGCAGGGCCTACTGCTGCTACTGCTGCTGCTGCTACTCTCATTGTTTCATCAACACAATTCACTCGACGACGATCGAATTAAAGTCTTCGTCTTCGATTCGCGACGCTCGGCCTACAAAAGCGTGGCTCCGACACATCCATTTAGCCTCGGTCCTACAACAATAACAAGTGTTTGTAGCACTGTACACGGTACTGTACGCCACACCTATTTACCGTACGAAAGCGCAAATACTGCGTCGTAATTGTGAATTTGTTTGAAATATTATGTTTAAATGTGCGTTATTCCTACGTGATTGTAATGTTTTGTAGTTTTGGTAGTGATCGTGTTAACCGCTAGTAACGATAGACTATTGGAGATCGTCACGTGTGCTGCATTTACTGCAACTAATTCAGTAATCGCTGTCGTGTTTTAAATAATGATATTATTGAGATATATGTTGTAACGTACGTGCAACATTATTATGTATTACAATATCGTCTCCTGCAGACTGTGTAGTGTAATATCAGGTACAAGCGCAGCCCTGCAATTGCTTATTTACGCCACTTTTTAGATTTGAAGCTTTCGTGACTGCAAGGATTCATACTCTTAGGGTTTTTTTCGGTAAAGTCACGTAGGTAAAAATAATAGAAATAATATAAATAAAACCATATATTTAAAATAAAATAAAAATAATAGAAATAGAACAATAAATTAAAAATAAATAATAAAAATTATAGGAATTAAATAATACATTTATTTATATTATTTTTATTAATAATAGAAATAAAATAATACATTTATTTCGATTATTATTTCTATTATTTTTATTATTGATTTTTATTTTTACCTACGTGATTTTACCGAAAAAAACCTAAGTATTTACGCCACTGTCAGAGGAAATGTGGCTTGGCCAAACGCCTTGGTAGAGGTGGGAATAGCCACACTTTACCTTCACCACACTTTCCCATGATCACTGTTACACATTGCTTTTATGGCTTTATTTGGGTGATTTCGACAACGTTTTTTGGTTTGGCCATGTTTGTGTTTGTTGTAGTACGGAGTTAGAATGATGGCTTTAATCTAAGTTGTCTTGTGATTGTTGTTGTTGTTTGACTTGCATCCCACTGGGATTTTTGCACACAGCGTTGGTGTACGGTGTTTTTTCTGCAATATTTTGCTGTCTTTTCTTGGATTTTCTGCTTGCACAGAGTCACATAGTCACTTTAAGATGTTTTCTTGATCATGTTTTTTGTTTGTTGCGGTTGCACTCGATTCAAGAGCCGAATGGCTCACAGGGCTATACCTAATAAATGAAACTGAAACTGAAATGAAACCTGCCGATCGGCCCGCTTGTCTGTGGTGATCCCATTTATACTTCAGGGTGGACAGAAGCAGCAGTTTGTGGGTAACCACCACAAGCTGTTACTACAGGCCATATTTTTCTCTTCGCATTTACATTGAAGTGGTGAATTATGGTGAAACAAACCGCAACAGGCGAGGGGGGACCTTCATCCAGCAAGGGTTGGCCATATTATCGTTCGTGCTGCAAAGATGTTGAGATTTCATTGCACACAAAGTGCTTGCCGCAAATGAACCACAATAACATAAACCATTACGCAAACTCCAGTCATCCTCGCAGCGGCGTTTGGCTAACCATCGAACAAAGACGGTCACTGCATCCCGTGCTTTCAGATACGCTTCTGCGCCTGTCAGAAACGTGCTTCCGATGTTAGGAATCCACTGAGCTTCGTGCTTTTAAATCTAGATTGAAAACTCGTCTCGTTAGAAATGCATTTTTGTGTTTAGTTTGTTGTGGCTTTCCCGGCAACTCCGATTAGCACGGTTGGCTACGTCCGGCGCGAAATAAGTTTGACGTATCATCATGGGACCTCCTTTGCCAGTACCAAAATATACTAATAGGGTTTTCCCCCTTTTTTTCCCTTTTTTCTGGCAACAAAACTGACACCTTTTGCAAGGCATCATGCTTACATTAACCACAATACTTGCAGTCAAATGCAAACAATTATCAGAGTATTGTTTTTTTTTGCATTTGACTGCAAGTATTGTGGTTAATGTAAGCATGATGCCTTGCAAAAGGTGTTAGTTTTGTTGCCAGAAAAAAAGGGGAAAACCCTATTAGTAAGTTTGACGTACTTTCACGTTTGATCGTTTCAGATGGAGAACGCCACTGGACTTAAAGACGAAGGGAACAAATGCTTCAACGCAGGCGACTACGCGAACGCTCTGGTGTACTACACGAAAGCCATCGCGTGCACAGAGGACAAGCGAGACCTGGCAGTCCTGTACAAGAACAGGGCGGCTTGCTACCTGAAGCAGGTGAGTGAGCGAGCGTCTGTGCTTGAAAGGCTTCCCACTCCATTTAAAACAAGTTATTTGGTGTTGCTGCTGCCACTGGCAGCGGTGCGCAAGTGTAGTAGGTTCAAAGAGACTTGGACGACGTAGTCGGAGGCACACTTATTTATTAAACGTTCCACTATATACAGGCCAAGGTATACGACACTCGAAGGGATATCGGCCCCTTCACCCGTCTAACAGGGAGATCCCACAATCTCTATCTCGGCTAGCCTACTCCCAGGTCCTCCACTACGGAGCTAGGGGAGGCTAGCTGATCCAGCTCTGGTCAAGCTGGGATTACGGCACCCTTAGTCACCAGACCGGCTCTTACAAGAGCATCGGCTCTGGGCTCTCGGGGCCACGCCACTGGCTTGCCCTGGTCGGTCCTTAGAAGAACGGAGATCCAGGGGAGTCCCAGGGCCTATCTAGCCGGTCTTCCTTGTTCGCTGGTTTAAGCTAAACACTGAACCCCGAGCCCACCGGCTCACCGCCTTATATAGCAACTCCCCCCACGAGGGGTGGGGTCGTGGGGGATCACAGCGCCGTTTCAGCCCCCCAGGCTAAACGATGCGGACGTGGATGTAAGCATCCTTCCGCGTGCGGGCATAACCACCCCTGGTGTGTTTGTTCGCCCTCCCGTAACACCTCTACACAAGCACAATTAACTAAAATAAAAAATCAACACTTGCGTGAATAACGCTGCTTAAAAAATATATATATATAAAGGTGACGTTTTGGGCAATTGTGTCTTCTTCATAGCACATAAAGCAGCGGTGGTGTGCAGCGTATGGGTCACGTCTTAATTTAATATTACCCACGACTTCACTTGATGCGACCCGTGACTTAGTGCGACCCGCGACGTGGCTATTTATGAATGGCTCCGTCTTGTAAAAAGAGCAATGTCATTTTACAAATGTAGCTCACGTAGGTCCGTCATTCAGAGGGCTGAACAGATGACAGTGTGTGAGGATGCCAGATCTGGACAAGGTGGCAGGTGTGGGGTAGCACAGTCCGCCTACACTGCAAGCTTCTCCAATGTTCTCTGGCTCGAGTAGGGTCTGGCATTGTCGTGTTGGAGGAGGAGGGCTTGTGCCATCTGACAATCGTTTACAAAGTGCCTTGGATAAATACAGAATATTTTATATATGTTTAATTTTTAAAAATTACAATCGGCATTACCTTGTATCCCTCTTGTTACAGGATCAATGGCGACATTGATTGTGAACAGCATTGAATGATATTCATAATTGAAGTAATTTTTTTTTGGTTAGGCCATGTAATATGTGTCGTGATCCAAGCTCCACCTGATAGCTGTACACATTACATTGTCACGGGTACAAACGTTTAAACACCCCAACCTATTATTCTTTCAGCTCGCCAGTCAGTTGAAGAGCAATTCTCACAACCAAATATAGCTATGGTCAGATCATTACATGGCCAAACCCAAAAATCGATTACGAATCGTAACTGTCTACGGAAACCCAAGCGTTGGATTGAATATAATATGTCCAAAAGATATTGATGCAACATTTCCTTTCCCCTCTCTCTTCCGAACCCAGGAGGATTACACACGAGCTGTGGAAGATGCTTCTAAAGGTGACGTCCCATCCATCATTCCATAACCAAAGCTACTGCACTTAACGATAATGCCGACAGAGTGTGCGCGCGCTTATGTTTATGTATGTTCAACTTCTTTCGCACAGTACGTAGCCAACCCTTAGTAATCGGAGGCGCGGGTGAGACTGTATCGGTGTGTTTAGTTTCGTGTGTTTGTGCCTGTGCGAGTGCTTTCAGTGCGGATGGTCGTGTCGCAATGCAAGAGCGTGCTTGCGTGCGTGGACTTGCTTGGTCTTTTGTTATGCCGCTAGATGCTTGCTTTGGCACTGTAGCGTGGTCTGTTTGGAGGAGTGAAAAAGTGTCCTGTCCAGAGCTGGACTATGCTGCTAGAGTGCATGTCTGAGGAAAGGTCAACAATAAAATAATGTCCTTTATGGGGTTAAACCACACAGCGTCTGCATGTGGGAGGAATCCAGAGTGCTGTTTTCACCACCAGTGAGAGAATAATGTTCAAAGTTTAATACCAGTGGCTTCACAAACCCATTTGCTGTGCTGCCTTTTGTTGGCTGCCTCACCATACAAGCAGGTTTGACGAATCTACGTTCCGCCAACCCTTGCCTCCAAGGCGATGGAATATTTCTAGGCTTGTGCCTCAACTCCTAGCTCCAATGTTTTAGCACGAGGTCCTTCACCTTGCGGCTCTTGGAGTGGCTTGTAGAGAGATATCGCTCGCCAACAAGATAAAGATTAGTCGGTTGAACACGTAGGCTTTCGCGACCAATATCATCCATAATAGAGGTTTTTGGGTTAGATCGTGTGTAAATATATAAATGTGTCGTTAAAACACGCCACTACCCGACACAGCCAACTCGTAAGGGTTGTCGCGTAAACAGAACGTGGCCAATTCGTCACTAGTACAGCACACCGGTGTGTTGGAGAGCCCAGCCACAACATTTACAAACGGTGTACGAGGTTTCGGCAGTAATTACTGGCGAAACGTCGTACTCTGTTTGGATTGAGAAGGGACTGCGCCAAGCTCGCCATATACAGGGCGATGAAGGTGGCCCTGGAGGGGAAACATCCGGCCAGCAGCCTGGGCATCTTCCGCGCTCTGGTCGGAGCCAGGGTGTGTAGGCCGGAGTTCCGCCATGCGCGGCTGACCCACGCCGTGCCGGCCTTCAAGGAGCAGTGGGTGATGGAGGAGGCCGTGTGCTCGGTGGCAGATGACGGGGAGCTCTGCATGCTGATATGAGCTACCCGTCGGAGGCCGTTGGACTGCGAGAAGGGCTGCGTGCAGATGCCGCACTTGTCGTAGTTAAACAAAAATGAAAAAAAGAGAGAGAGCGAGGGAGAGCGGGGGGGGGGGGGTACATAAAGCAAAGATTTAAAAAAACAAAAAGAACGAAATGATGAACGAAGCAAAGTGCCGACTACACCGAGCATCTTCTTGTTTCCACTGATGGTAAAAAAGAGAAGAGACTGACAGTGCGAGACTTTTCAGGCCTTGCTGCTTCAATAGAATCTGTCTTTGTGGAATGTTTGGACAGTGGCGCCATCTGTCGTCTGGAGCAATAGTCACAAGTGGAGGGTATTGCTACAAAATGGGACCTTTTTTGCCAGTTTCAAAGTATGAAAAAATAGGAATAGGTTGTTTACCCTTTCTGGCAATAAAACAAGGTGTGGGAAGATGTTCATGCATATATTATCAGAGCATGTTTGTTTGCATGTTCACCACAAGTACGTGTGGTTAATGCGAACTTGATTTCTAAGGTTTCTATTTGATGTTTTAACAACTTAACACCTGTTTTATTTCCGGTTTTAGTTTTTTTCACCCAACCTCTGGCCTGCGAAGAAGGGCTATTGTGCAAAACGTCGTGATTTAGTTATTTTTGATTTTATTTTCACCAACGCGACTTTACCGAAAGAACCAAAGAGTAAAGTCCTTGGGACTTTGAAGTGACGACAGTGCACATCCTTTTACATCTTCATTCATGTCCCTGTGACGTCACGATCGTCAACGTGCCATGACGTCAATGTCTCTTAATGGCTTCGATTGACACGCACGCTCTCTTCGCAGCTGTTGAAGACAACGAGAGCGATGTGAAAGCCCTCTATCGGCGTTGCCAGGCTTACGAGAAGATGGGCAGGTTGGACCAGGCATTCAGAGATGCCCAGAGGTGTTCGTCCATCGAACCGCAAAACAAGGCGTTTGTGGAAACCTTGAGAAAACTGAGCATTCAGATGCAGGAAAAGGTGCGTGTCTGTGGATGTTTGTCTTGTGGGGTGCAGGTAGTGTAGTCTAGTGGTTAGCACGCCTGCGCTATGTGCCCGGTGACCCGAGTTCGATTCCCGCTCATGGCCAATACCAGTGACGATTATTATAACCGGTCCTGGGCCTCCCCTAGGTCAACTCGGCCTCAAATGAGTACCTGGTGCGGTGTGGAAACATCGCCACTGGGGAGACAAAGGCGGTCGGGCGTGGTGCTGGCCACCCCCACCCCCTCGTGTGCCGTTCCGGCATTCATAGGTTCATGCTAACAGCACTTGGCCCCCAACAGTCTGTTAAGGCTATACGGGGGAGCTTTCTTTGTCTAACATACTGCAGACCTTTCATCGATCCACTGCTGGATGAGGGCGTGCCTACACGACTGGTCATGGGGGTTAATCGACCACACTTTACCACCGTGGAGGGTTGGTGAAGGTGGGCAGTGTAGGGCACCTGGAGCATTCTGCAATCCAGCAATGGATTTCAGCAAGTAATAATATTTTGGAATATTTTGATAGCAAAGTGGGTTTTGTGCACTGCGCCGTGACTTAGAGGGGTATCTGAACCGGCCCTGAGCTTCCCCTTCACCAACACGCACTGGTTAAAGAACCCTCCAACTCTGGTTAAAGAACCCTCAACGACCAGGATGGCATTTCGGCACCCCGGTTTTGACTAAGGGGCCATCGATTTGGTGATTTGGCAAGATAGCATTGTGTTATTTAGAGCACTTGACTTTTGAGTCTCGGAGGTCCACTCATGCCACCATTCTACCAGATTTAATACAATTCGTACGTAGTGGGAAGTTAACTGTGGAAAGCCTATGAATGAGCTGTATTTTTCATGGGAATGTGGAATTTCCATACACTGGCTGAAGGCCACAGACATAGTGAGTGCTGGCTCTGCTCATTTTAAGTAAAGTAACAATCTAGATTTGAAGCTTTCGTGACTGCAGGAATCCATGCTCTTTGGTTCTTTCGGTGAAGTCACGTCGGTCATCAGATGGAAAAGCTTTCCCACCTGATGACGGGCGCTTGTGTTGTGCCCGAAACGTCGTGATTTATTTTATTTCATACCTACTTGACTTTACTGAAAGAACCAAAGAGTTTATAGTACAGTAACACTTTGGGCTATTGCTGCTATGATTACCAAAATCACCCTAGAATATGCCTAGCCTCATCGGATCTCGTAATGCTAAGAAGGTTTGAGCCTGGATGGTGTTTGGATTGGGGACTACCAGGTATAACACAGGTGTTAGGAGGCTGCTGCAGAGCTACGTCATGGGCACGTATAGTCCAGTGCGGCAGAATCTATTGTTTTACTCTGCTTTGGTACAATGTTTACACCTGCCCAACTTGCCCAACCCGCACTGACGAGCATGGTGAACCGTTGCCATTAAACCCCATGAGCCCCACACATCATGGGGGGGGGGGAGACCCTTATCCAGCAGAATATTGAGTAAAGGTCTGTGTGTGTACATGCACATTTTCTTGGTTCTTTCAGTAAAGTCACGTAGAAGGGAAGTAATAAAATAATAAAAATAAAACATAATAAAATAGTGAGAATTATTTTATTATGTTTTACTTGTATTATTTTATTACTTCTCTTCTACGTGACTTTACCGAAAGAGCCAAGAAGATGAATCCCTGCAGTCACGAAAGCTTTAAATCGAAAAATACATGCACGTTGTTTTTTTTTATGACGGCACAACTGCCCCGTGCCTCTGGGATTTTCCCCTCCCTTGACCGGACGTTGGTTTTCTCTGTCAGCTGAAGGTAAACCTCTCCACGGAGAGCAAAGTCGAACAGATGTTCAAGATATTGTTCGACGAAAACATTCCCGATGGCGACAAGGAAAAGGTACGCTTGCTCCCGTGCGCACGTTCGGGCCTCTCCGCTTGCAGGCGGGGCTCAAGGTTCGAGCTCAACGGCCTCCCCTGGGTTAATGCATCGCGTGCAGTCTCCAAAATATACTGATAGGGTTTTTCCCCTTTTTTCTGGCAACAAAAACACCTTTTGCAAGGAATCATGCTTACATTAACCACAATACTTGCAGTCAAATGCTAACAAAAAACAATACTCTGATAATTTATGCATTGTCTTTGAAACTGATTGGTCCACACCAGAGACAGCTTTCTTTAGAGCCTAGTCTCATATGGTGTTCGACCAGATGACGCCAAAAGGCGCACAGTTCAAAGACAATGCACTACCAGAGTAATGAGAGCTCGGTGGTGAGCAGCTACATCATGGGACGTGACTTTTATTCCTCGTTTTGGCGTTCTGCGTTGCCCACCCAGTGAGGGCGGGTCGCGTATGGCACGGTCTTTTAAACGCGTCTGCTCCGTCGTTACCCCAGGCGGCTCAGAACATGGTGATCCTCGCTCGGGATGCCGCTGGCGCCGATAGCATCTTCCAGAGCGACGGGGTGCGGCAACTGCAGCGCCTCATCGGCACCGACAAGCCCAGTATGGTCCTCGCGGTCATGCGCACGCTGGTGGGGCTGTGCACTGCGCACGAAGCCAGGGTAAGTGACGTGTGCGGGGACCGGTGGCGCAGTGGTTAGCGCACCGTGTGCGCGAGTGGTGCCACAGTGGTTAGCGCACCGTGTGTGTGAGTGGGGAGTGTTGGCGCAGTGGTTAGCACACTGTGTGTGTAAGTGGGGAGCGGTGCCGCAGTGGTTAGCGCCCCGTGTGTGTGAGTGGGGAGTGGTGCCGCAGTGGTTAGCGCACTGTGTGTGTGAGCGGGGAGTGGTGCCGCAGTGGTTAGCGCACCGTGTGTGTGAGTGGTGCCGCAGTGGTACGCGCACTGTGTGTGTGAGCGGTGGCGCAGTGGTTAACGCACCGTGTGTGTGAGTGGGGAGTGTTGCCGCAGTGGTTAGCGCACCGTGTGTGTGAGTGGGGAGTGGTGCCGCAGTGGTTAGCGCACTGTGTGTGTGTGTGAGTGGTGCCGCAGTGGTTAGCGCACCGTGTGTGTGAGTGGGGAGTGGTGCCGCAGTGGTTAGCGCACTGTGTATGTGAGTGGGGAGTGTTGGCGCAGTACTCTTTGGTTTTTCGGTAAAGTCCCGTAGGTAAAAAATAAAAATGTAATCACGACGTTTGCTGTGACGGTTCCACCCGAAGACGGAAGCTTGTGTTGCCTCCGAAACGTCGTGATTTAATTTATTTTAATTTTTTACCTACGTGACTCTACCAAAAAAACCAAAGAGTATATGTATCCTTGCAGACACGAAAACTTCAAATCTAGAATGTTGGCGCAGTGTTTAGCGCACTGTGTGTGTGAGCGGGGAGTGTTGGCACAGTGTTTAGAGCACCGTATGTGAGTGGGGAGCTGGAGTTAGTCCTGCGATGATAGATTGTTTCCGCACCTCCGATTAGCACAGTTGGCTGCGTACAGTGCAAAAGAAGTTATACATATGGGCAATTACTTACAGACAGACGTTATGACAGAGAGGCAGACAAGCGAGGCAGCATGGTCAGAAGACAGACACACAGGCAGACAAGGCAGACTGGGGGATGCGAAAAGAGACGTGCAGACAGGCAAATGTGACGGTGCCCAGCTTTAGCCTGTTCACTGCTTTGTTGCAGAGCTTCGAATCTGACAGGCAGCCCCAGTTATTACTGCCGGTGTATTAACTGCGTAACACGCGCTGGCTACTTTAGAGTAGATGTGTGCCAGCGTCATGGTCCAAGAATGTCAAATTAGAAACAAATATATCTGCAAATTGCTCATTTGGGATTACACGTAGCTTATCAAGGGCACTCAATAAAAAAACTAATAGTTATGGTTGAAGATCGGTAGGTAATTTATCTAATGCTGCAGTCATGGCCAAAATATTAAATTATGCTCCAGCGAGAAGCGTGCGTGTTGTGTGTGTCCAGGCCAGCGACCTGGAAAATATTTCTTGCACCCTGCACGCCGCATCCAGTTTACCTCTTTACTGTAACTTTGGCTTTTAAGCGCCCGTCACTTACTCCCGTCTGCCAGAGACCTACGAAATTACGAGTGGTAAATGAACGTTGCGTGTCCTCTTTCAGGCGACCGCCATCCTGCGAGCGATCGGCATGGAGACCCTGTGCAGGGTGATGGCCAGCGACGATGAGGGCATCTCCATCGCCACCTGCAAGGTGGTGCAGGCTGTGTGGGAGTCCATTGTGGAAAGCCTACCCAAGGATCATGACAAGCCGCAGTCGCTTCTGCTGGGTAACGGTCGTTCCCCCGCGTCAATATGTGAACATGTGTGAACATACGTGTAGGGAGCGGTAGTCTAGTGGTTCGCGCGCTGCGCTACGAACCCGGCGTCCTGAGTTCGCTTTCCCGCTCACGGCCAACACCAGTGACGATAATCTGAACCGGTCCTAGGCCATTCCTAGGTCAACTCCGCCTCAAATGAGTACCTGGTGCGGTGTGTAAACATCGCCGCTGCGGAGACAAAGGCGGTCGGGCGTGGTGTTGGCCACCAACCCCCTCGTGTGCCGTGTCGGCCTTCATAGGTGCTCGCTAACAGCACTTGTCCCTGCAGTCTGTCAAGGCTATATGGGGGATCTTTGCATTTGTGGGGAGTGCAGCGGTTTGTGAGCCACGCTGCGAACCCAGCAACCCGAGTTCGATCTCCGCTCACGGCCAACACCAGTGGCAATTATTTAAACCAGTCCTGGGCCTCCCTTAGGTCGAGTCAGCCTCAAATAAGTACCTGGTGTGGTGTGTAATCATTGCCATTATTGAGACAAACTGGTGCTGGTGTGAAGCTGGCCACCCATCCCCTCCTATCACGTGCTGGCCTTCATAGGCGCTCGCTAACAACCCTTGCTCCAACAGTCTGAGGGATATTCATATTCTTAGGTTTATTCGGTAAAGTCACGTAGGTAAAAAATTTAAATTTAAATTACCTCCGTGACTTTACCGAAAAAACCTAAGAATATGAATCCTTGCAGTCACGAAAGCTTCAAATCTAGAAGTTTGAGGGATCTTTGTTTTTGTAGGTTCACACATGCGTACAGTGGAATAGCGGTCTCGTTGTGGTTGGCGTGCTGCGCTCACAACCCGGCGGCCTGAATCCGATATTCCGGCCATGGCTTAAAATCGGTGACCGAATATCTGAACCGGGGCACGTGGAGGCATTTAACCTGGCAGCGATTTGATGTGGACAGGTTTCCCTCGCTTCATCCGGGTTCGGTTTGTGCTATTTTGCGCATGTATACGGCTCGCCTATTTTTACCCGAAAAAATTTCTACGTCACGCGGTTGAAATTCACTCGCATGCGGCTATGCGCTCGGATATGAAACTGCATCGTGTTTGCGCTAATCGGCAGGCAGCCGTCTTCCCCGTGCGATGTCGCTTTGTGCACCCTTTGTGTTTGGAACGCATCTACTACCGCGTAGAGCAGGGGCGGTGAACATTTTTTCTTCCAAGGGCCATTTGGATATTTATAACATCATTCGCGGGCCATACAAAATTATCAACTTAAAAGTTTGGCCGTTATATTTGGTAAAACATTTAATTAACTCACTCCTAATGTCATGGCTGGAACTGCTTCTCTTTGGTGAGGCGTGTGATGTTAGCTGGTGTTGATGATGTTCCTACTCGCAACTGCTTTTCTAGGTTTGCTCCTAGATTGATTGAATTTCGAGTCCCGCCTGCGGTTGCCTTGGCAGGGGCAAATCAAATGATTTTGCGGGCCTCATACGGCCCGCCCCTGACGTAGAGCGAGGGGGAAACTTGTACTCTCTTTGTGTGTAACATCATGCCAAGTGAAGTGGTTGACTTGTTGTTTGCAGATAGCAACAGTGACCTGAAGGGAATGGTTGTGCGTTTGGTGGAGATGTTGGTGGACAAAGGCGTGTCTGGATTTGGGAGGGACAACGCTTTGAATATTCTCATCAAGATCATTCCTCGCAAGTCACTGAAAAACCCGGACAATTCGGTCTCACTCAAGTTCATTGACTACGGTGAGTGCCGTTCGATTTTATAGTTGTTCAAATGTTACTTTTATCTTGTTGTTATACAGGTAGGAACCTCCTGGTTACACCAGCCCACAGGGGATTATTGTGTATGTCCGTCCATCGTGCAGGGAGGGGCTGGGTGGGGAGGGAGGGGAGGGTGGGGAGGGGTTGGGTGGGGAGGGTGGGGCTGGGTGGGGAGGGGAGGGTGGGGAGGGGCTGGGTGGGGAGTGTGGGTGGGGGGGGGCTGGGTGGGGAGGGTGGGGAGGGGCTGGGTGGGGGGTGGGAGGGGTGGGGCTGGGTTGGGAGGGGCTGGTCACCCCGTGGTGCCCTTATAAAACTCAACGTTTAACCTACTCACGCCGGCTTGTGCCCGCCCTCACAGTGGGGCATATTTGCGGAATACACCACGCCGCCGTTGACCCTGGCCATTGACCGAGCAACCCAACGTTCCTACCAGCTCCCTCCGCAGGAATGTGTTTATGACCATAATGATCATTGAGGTATTTATTTATTTGCACACCCAGGGATGCGTCACTGAGTCCTTTGGCTCTCTTTCAGGAGGATCCTGCATTGGGATATTTGACCACTTTCATTCATGGGTGATTGTCATGTGCCAGTAAATTTAAGAAATCTTTGAAACTCCCAACTCTTCTCGGTGGCTAGGAGATGTTAACTACCTCGCCTGGTATACAGGAGGTCGTGAGATCGATCCCGACTCTGATGCCTGTATATGGCTGCAGTGCACAAAGCACTGCGCCCAATACTCCCCCATATGTAGCTGTAGTAACAAGAGGGCAGTGCCTTCAAATCCATTGTACTCTACTGCTTTGATCCCTCGTGGATGCTTCGCACCTTCACCAACCTGCATTGATGAGTGCGGTGATAATCTGGTCAAACGGCACATCCAGCAGTAGAAAGGGCTGTTAACTATACTCTTTGGTTCTTTCGGTAAAGTCACGTAGGTATACAAATAAGATAAAATAAATCAAGACGTTTCGGGCGCAACACAAGCATTCCGTCATCAGGTGGGAAAGCATGGCCTGTTGCTGATGCAGACTGTTTTAAAGGTTTTAAATGGATCCACTTCATAATCGCCATCAAATTTCCACACGACAGTGGGGGTCACACACACACACACACACGCAAAAAAAAGTTTAACCGACGCGGCGTTGCTTCGCCTTTGGCCCTGTAGGGATGAAGCACGTGCTCAAAGTGGCTGGGATTGTCGCGGAGTCGCCGGGCGGTCTCGCCGCGACGGAGAACACGTGCATGACAGCGGCGGTGCTTCTCAACAAGCTGTACGAGGACCTGAGGGGCGACGCGGAGCGGGAGAACTATGAGAAGATTTGCGCCGAGTATGTCACGTAAGTATCCCCTCCGCGTCTCTCTTTTTCGATTGAAAGCTTTCGTGACTGCAGGGATTCATCTTCTTGATTCCTTCGGTAAAGTCACCACGTAGAAGGGAAATAATAAAAGAATAAAAATAAAACATAATAAAATAATTCTCACGACGTTTCGGCCACAACGCAAGCAGACGTCCTCAGGTGAAGAACAGGCGCTCTTCCCCCCTCCAACCCAGCTTAAATATACGCTCCAAGCCTGGGGTGTTTCATTCAGACTCTGTCTTCCCGACAGACCTGTTCTTCACCTGAGGACGGCTGCTTGCGTTGTGGCCGAAACGTCGTGAGAATTATTTTATTATGTTTTATTTTTATTCTTTTATTATTTCCCTTCTACGTGACTTTACCGAAAGAACCAAGAAGATGTCTCTCTTTTTGTTTAGTTCGAGCAGCTTGAGAAACTAACCCGGGAGACTCCGCCGAATGTGTATTCTTCTTTGCAAGAGCAAACTGGCGCTTGTAATCTGCCGATTGAAGAGGCGGGGGGGGGGGGGCGATGACTGATACATGTCGAAAAAGAGCTTCGTAGCTCGTCGGATTCTTCCGAGACGAAGAAAAATTCTGAAGTATTAAAACCAAAACATTCTCGTTCTGTATACTTAGTCCCAATTGAGTACTTTACACGATGGGCCTCATCTTGTGAAGTACTTCAGGGGGATATTTAACGCCTGCTGTAAGTTTGCAGATGAGCAGTGCTCGTTTGAGCAGGCAATCAATTGCACTTTAATTGAAAAAAAAATGTTCTATGAAATTGTTTTTTCCTTTAACTGTTTTGTAAAGATGGAAACGCTTGTTTTTTAGATTTTCCTTAATAGTCTGGGTTGTAATTGTATTCATGTGTAGTTTTATTTTATGTTAGGGTTGTAAAGAAACTTTTGATGACTCGCCGTGCAATTGTGGCTTTCACATTAACATTTATGAATGAAGACTTCTCGTATTATACATTTAGAAGTGTCCAGTTGACCTTTCTTAAACTTTAAAAGTGTTTTCAATTTGCTGCACTTACAAGGTGCAGTCTTCAACTGTAATAAGTCAGTAGTAGGGTTTTACCCTTTAAACTGGTACAAAACTGACACCTTTATACAAGGCATCATGTTTGCAATAACCACAACACAAGCAGTCAAAATGCAAACAAAAAGAAACAACGCTGATGATGATAGTGATATGCACTGTCCTTGAAGTTGATTGGTCCACACCCGAGAGACAGCTTTCCTTAGAGCCTTGTCTCCATTGGTGTTGGACCAGATGACACCAAAAGGCGTACAACTCAAAAACAGCGCACTATCAGAGTATTGAGAGCTTATTGAGAGGTTATTGCAAACATGATGCCTTGTATAAAGGTGTCAGTTTTGTACCAGTTTAAAGGGTAAAAACCTACTACTATATTTTGCCACTGGTAAAGGAGGTCTCATAGTGTAATAAGTCAGTCAGTCTCTCTGCCTGCTGTCTCTACTGAGTAAACATTGTATGTGTAAATGTACAGCGGGTCTGTGAATCCGCTGCTTGATGCAGGCTGTGGGGGTTATTTGACCTCGCCATGTTGGTCGAGGCCGGTTTAAAACTCACAAACACAAATAAATTAGAAGCACATACTCTTAGTTCTTCCGGTAAAGTCACGTAGGTAAAAAATGAAATTAAAATTAATAAAAATAAAACCATAAAATCACGACGTTTCGTTGTGATAAAAACAATTTTATTGTTTTATTTTTATTAATTTTAATTTCATTTTCTACCTACGTGACTTTACCGAAAGAACTAAGAGTATGAATCCTTGTGGTCACGAAAGCTTCAAATCTAGAATTAGAAGCACGGTGTTGCCCAGTCGAAAATATCTCTCCGCGAGTGTCCAAAACTAACGTTGCTTGAATGCTCGAGTGACGGATACAAATTAAATTTGCAGTCCATTCGGAAGTGAGAGCCTCCATCAGGATGTGACGTAATAAAGTGGTGGGCCCGCTGTGGACTGTAGGCTGCGGCCTCCCCCCACTCCACATCGAGGCAGGCAGCTCAGGCGCAGGAGCACAGTGAAATACAACAATGAATTTTGCTGCACTGCCATCAAACGACCGCCATCGTTGACTTCCGACAAGCGCGTCGCTAACCGTGCGTTTTGTGTTTTTTTTTTTCGCGTCGCCGCAGGAAATATTTCGGTGGGAGCGACGTGGCCGGAAATCTGCACGCCATCCAGACCATATCGGGCCTTCTGCAGGGCCCATTTGATGTGGGCAACAAGATCCTGGAACTCAAGGGCGTCTTGGAGACGATGGTGGCTTTGGTGGCCTCGGAGCGCGAGCTTGATCAGCTGGTGGCCACGGAGGCGCTGATCTACGCCGCCGCTAAGTCCAACCGCGCCACCTTCATCACCGGCAACGGCGTGTCGCTGCTCAAGGACATCTACAAGAAAACGACCAACGACAAAATCAAGATACGCGCGCTGGTGGTGCGTTCGGCGGCGGTTTTCTTCGCGGCGATTTGTATGCGTCGCTCTGCTCCGCCGAGTGTTTATCCCCGTCGTAACCAAGGGTCGACGTCCGTGACGGACCGCTTGCCAGCTTTTGCAATCCTCAGCTTCTCGCGTGGCGAGTCCAGTCCATGTGCTCGCACGACCCTGCTCACCGTCTAACATTTTTTCACCTTTTTGAAAAGGCTGTTTTAGTCTTGACTTGTATTCAGATGATGGTTCTCCTGGCCTTTGGATATAGCTGTTTGCGGAGGATCTTTCCCCGACCTTCTAACAGCGAACCCACCAATGAGCAAATCATAATAATACGTGCGATGCACGTGTGTTTTTACAGGGACTGTGTAAAGTGGGCTCCGCTGGAGGCACTGACTATAGCCTGAGGCAGTTTGCAGAAGGCTCAATGGAGAAACTGGCCAAGCAATGCAGGAAGTAAGTGATTATTAAGGGAACCTTTTTTTCCGGTATCAAAGTATGAAAAGTAAGAATGGGTTTTACCCTTTCTGGCAATAAAACAGGAGTTGTGTTAAGATGTTCAAACACCAAATATATACCGTTTGCAAGGAATCAATTACTTGTGGCAAAACATGCAGACAAACGTGATCTGATAGACTTGCCAGGAAGGGGTAAAACCTATTCTTATTTTTAAATCCTTTATATTAAGTTCACTTGCTTGCGTGCTTGCTTGCTTGCTTACGACCGTGCAAATCTTTCGGTCGTTTTTTAACCCACTTCCCGTGATCCAATCGAGCTGACATTTTGCACACAGACTCGTTGTGCATGACAATTAATTTTCGTGAATTTTTTTTCCCAAAATTTTACACTGTTTAGGGAATTTTTTTAAAAATATGTATTTACCAATTGCTTAATGCTGCCAGACAATCATCTGACCCATAGGTGGCAGCCATCTCAAGCCAGAGGACGAGAGGACTCTAGCCGCCACGCATATAAAGGATTTATAGTGAAAAACTTTGTTTTTACGGGTTAATTTTTTCATAAGTGATTTTTGTGTTCGTCCACTAATAGGCTACGATGCTCTTCCCGTGTTGTGAATGCGAGCACACTGGACTTGCTATGTGGGAGTCGCAAAGTGCGATCTCCCGGCAGATCCAGTGTCGTAAACGTGTTTCTCAAATCGACGACTCCGCCTCTGTCCACCTAACTATACAGGTAGTCCTCTGCTTACGATGGAGATGCGTTACGACGACCCCATCGTAAGTCAAAAATATCGTAAGTCGAAGATGGCCTAGCCTACCCAGGAGTCTTAAAGAATGGTGATAATTTAGCAAAACAGAGCAATTTACAGTACCGTATTGTATAAACTATATACAGTACTGTATGTATTTATTAATTACAAAACTGTATTGCCCAGCATCCCAAAGTACAGTATCGTAACCTCGTACGCTGCTGCCTTTGCCTGCCGCGCGAAATTTCAAATATTTTACAATTGTGCCGTATCGCTATCGCCATCGTAAGATTGAAATATCGTAACTCGGGGACTATCTGTACATGGGTACAGTGTCAGTTAGTCCACAGGCAGGGCCACGTGTGGTGGTGTGAAGTGTGGGTATTGTCAACTTCTACTATTGATTTATTTGACCAAATGAGGCTCACTGAGCTATGTAGCTCTTTTTCAGAAGCGACCTGGCCACAAATGATATCGCAATGAAGTGGCTTATCGCGTGAACATTTATAGCAGCAGCCAAATACTCTAAAACGCGCGATGTTGATTCTAAATGTGGAGGGGAAAACTGGAGGACCCGGAGAAAAATCCACACCACCAATGGGAAAGAGACGTCCAAACTCCAAATATACAGGCGTCGGGGTCGGGATCGAACCCACAAACTCCTGTATACCAGGCAAGAGAGTTAACATCTCTTCCAAGATATCTAGGAACTGTGAAAGAGAAGATCAAATATCCAGTCGAGGGCGTCTTGAGCTCCCTCTAGTTGAGGCCCTTCCACCAGCAAGCAATTTCAGGCCTCTTAAGCTATAATTTGTGGCCACGTCGCTTCTGAAAAGAGCTATATAGTTCAGTGGGGCTTACCTTGTGAAATAAAATAAGTGAGGTGCTGAGTGGATGATTACATTCATGGGATTGTGAGTGGCGGTGGCTTGCGGAGGCCTTCGACCAGCAGTGGATTAAACATGCCCGATGATGCTGACGATGATATGGAACAGCGGTCGTTTACTTAATTAATCGTGTCATTTCAGGTGGCTAACCAATGACACCATCGACATCCGAACGCGAAAGTGGGCCATAGAAGGTATGGCCTATCTCACTCTCGATGCTGACGTGAAGGATGAATTTGTTGAAGACGAAGATGCATTGCGATGCATGCTGGAATTAGCCAAGGTACCGTTCTTGTTGCGAGCGACAAATCGCTCGAGTGCCGCCACCTTTCATTCCCGAAGACACTCCGGGCGATCAGTTGCACGACTTGGTTTGCGTGTAACCTGATCGCTTACATGTAGACGTTTTATGCAACCGATTGCGAGCGGTCGCGCAACCGGTTTCTCACCGTAGAGACAGACTCCACTTCAGCGATTTGGCTGCACATGAGAAATCGAAAATATTGCGCAAACCTGAATAGTTGTTTCATGTGTATTCCTTTTTTGACACGGGTTAGCTCGGGTGGATTATTTGCAAACTGATCATGGTGACAATTACAAAATTAAGTTACACAAACATTACGCAAATATTGTACGAATAAATACATCTTAATTTCAATCTAACATTTACAGTATTCGCTCACTTTCGAAGACGGAGAATGAATATGTACCAATATATACCATTTTGTACGTATAGGGTGGAGGAGGGTGTACGACACACATTGGAATTTATAGTCAACGCAGCCTGACCAAAAATAAAAATCAATTTCGAATCGTAAGCCGATTTGCTTTGATCGAGGCTGGCCACATCGTATGTCGCTATGTATTTATGTTGAACTTTTTTCGCACCCAATGTAGCTGACCGTGATAATTGGAGGTATGGGGGGGGGGGACGCACAACAAACTAAACGCAAAAAGCAATTAGTTCACGACACATTTTGCACCTCGTTAAAGACACGTTGCATCACACCATGGTTTTCTACGTACGGTGCGAGAGACGTTCACCGTTCGACGACGTGTGAAATGTCTCCGGTCGGCGACGCAGTCCAGCGATAAGACCATCCTGTACGCGGTGGCCTCCACGCTGGTCAACTGCACCAACAGCTACGACAAGAAGGAGCCTCCTGTGGAGATGGTGGAGCTCGCCAAGTACGCTAAGCAGCACGTGCCCGAGCTACACCCCAAGGTACGCGCGTCGAACGCGTCTCTCAGACTTGCACCCCCGCTCGGATCAGCCGCTCGCCCGCCCGCCCGCTCAGCGTCTTGACACATTAACAAAAAACACGAGGTTTGTATATTCTTAGGTTTTTTCCGGTAAAGTCACGTAGGTAAAAAATTTAAATAAATAAAAGTAAAATAAAAATAAAATAAAAAATCACGACGTTTCGGAGGCAACACAAGCTTCCGTCTTCAGGTGGAACCGTCACAGCACGATTGCTGTATCAAGTAAATGAGAAATTCCAAGAAAACAGTCCTTGTATATATACTGGTTGAGGGTGGGAGGAGCCAAGGTAGGCCCTGGATATTATTTTTTGTTAGATTTTTTTCGGTAAAGTCACGTAGGTGAAAATAAAAATAAATAATAAAAATAATAGAAATTATAGTAGTAGAAATAAAATAAAAATCACGACGTTTCGGAGGCAACACAAGCTTCCGTCTTTAGGTGGAACCGTCACAGCACGATAGCTGTATCAAGTGAACGAGGTTTGTAACAACACGAGGTTTGTAACCCGGTGAAGTGTGGGGGACGGGACGGGGGGGGGTGATATTCGCCAACCCCGCGATCATAATATAATTCACCTCCGATTAGCGCAGTTGGCTACGTACGGCGCCAAAGAAGTTCCACTTCAATGTCACATCACGATCCATGGGCAAATAGCCCGTGTAGGTGTCCCCTGCACATTTCCCCATATTTTTTCCACTTTCCTCTCTGTCTCGTGTGCCAATCTGCTCAAGTGGTGCACGTGTTTCTGGCACCACCACTCTCTTATTTCGTCATCTGTCTCTCCTTCGGGTTCTTTCCAACAACAACAACAACGCTCGTAATTTTGTTGTCCATCCGAGGTATGTGTCCAAAATACATACGTACAAAAACACGAGGGTTTGCAACTGCCTACGTGACTTTACAGAAAGAACCGAGGAGTATACATGCACACATAGTACGTCTGTAACTCCGTGCATCTGTTAATACTTCTGTGCGCACAGAAATAATGATTTAAAGCTTTCATGACTGTAGGGATTCATAGTCTTGGTTCTTTCGGTAAAGTCACGTAGAAGGGAAACAATAAAATAATAAAAATACATTTGTTTTTATTGTTTTATATTTAGAAATAATGATGTTTTGTTAGCCCTGATTGGTCTTTATGAGTATCAAAGTTAATTCTACATTTGAAGCTTTTTAAAACAGTCTGCATCGGCAGTAGACCAAGCTTTCCCACCTGATGACGGACGCTTGTGTTGCGCCCAAAACGTCGGGATTTATTTTATTTTATTTTTTACCTACGTGACTTTACCGAACAAACCAAAGAGTATTATCAAAGTTCTTTCCTGGGACCGCTGTGCTTGGGAAAATTGGTAAATTCCTCATCGAGTGTGTTGCTGTAAATGTTCCATGAAGGGCACTGTGAATCACATTACTTTTGTAATGTGAAGATATATCCGGCTCACTGACGTATCACAACTCGTCATGGTGATTGGCTCTGCCGGTCCTGGTTTATAGCCAATGGGGGGAAGCCTAGGGGCGTGGCCCTGACGTAATGGAAAGGTGACAGCTGTAAGGAGAGGATTGGTTCTGCTGGCTTTGGCCACAGCCAATGGGGAGACGAGTCAGGGGCGTGGCCCCGGGAGCCTACGAGGGAGCCTGGAATATTCCATGGAGGCTAACCAGGATTGGCGGAAACGTACCACGTGACCCGGGTATTAAATAGGGGTGGAGACGAACGACAGGTGGTCAGAACGGGAACGAACGGAGGAAGGGGGCCACGCGGGAGCGGGGCTCCGGGTTGCCACGTGGTCCAAGCTGCCACGTGGTCCAGGCTGCCACGTGGTCCAGGCTGCCACGTGGTCCAGGCTGCCACGTGGCGGTGCGTCTCTCTCTCTATCCCTCTCACGCTGCTTGTCAGCAGTGTGAAGGAAAGCTGTAATGCAAGTTGAATAAAAGACCGGATTCCAGAAGTCGACTCAACGACCTTTATTACACTTCCACGCACCCTAAGGCAAGCACATGTTTTCCAGGACAAGAAGAAGTTTGTTAATATTCGCGTGAAGAAGCTGCTCAAGGCTGGCCTGGTGTCCGCGCTGGTTTGCATGGTGAAGTCGGACAGTGCCGTGCTCACCGACGCCAGCAAGGAGCTCATGTCCAGGTGAGACACTCATCCATCGTCAACATCAGCTCGTATTCAATCCACTGCTGGATGAAGGCCTCCCCAAGCTGCCGTGAACCACCTGTCACGATCGTGCGATGTAATAACCCGCCTTGCTGCGCTTGTGAAATGTGAGGTTATATCCGGGTCGTTGAGGGATTACAACTCGTCACGATGATTGGTTCTGCCGGTCCTGGTCCATAGCCAATGGGGGGAAGCCTAGGAATGGAAAGGTGACAGCTGTATGTAGAGGATTGGTTCTGCTGGCTTTAGCCACAGCCAATGGGGAGACGAGTCAGGGGCGTGGTCCCGGGAGCCTACGGTGGAATCTAGAAGATTCCATAGGGGCTAACCAGGATTGGTGGAAACGTACCACGTGACCCGGGTATTAAATAGGGGTGGAGACGAGCAACACGTGGTCAGAACTGGAACGAACGAAGGGAAGGGGGCCACGTGAGAGCGGGGGTCCAGGCTGCCACGTGGTCCAGGCTGCCACGTGGTCCAGGCTGCCACGTGGTCCAGGCTGCCACGTGGTCCAGGCTGCCACGGGGTCCAGGCTGCCACGGGGTCCAGGCTGCCACGTGGTCCAGGCTGCCACGGGGTCCAGGCTGCCACGTGGTCCAGGCTGCCACGGGGTCCAGGCTGCCACGTGGTCCAGGCTGCCACGGGGTCCAGGCTGCCACGTGGTCCAGGCTGCCGCGGGGTCCAGGCTGCCACGTGGTCCAGGCTGCCACGTGGCTGCGCGCGTCTCTCTCTATCCCTCTCACGCTGTCTGTCAGCAGCGTGAAGGAGTGCTGTAATGAAAAACAAATAAAGACCGGATTCCAGAAGTCGCTTCAACGACCTTTATTACACTTGCACACGATATCTCTCTCCGATGGTCATCGCTCGACCCTCCCCGATGGATTAGTTAGATAGATTTCATTTATTTCATTAGGCTGTTAGTCTCGATTTCATTGGGGTTCTACGATGGACGTACTCTTGAATGCGTTCCATTCATTGGCTGCCTACAACGGCCGGTATAATCAAGCCGGCACTTGAACACTACGAGTGTGAAACTAGAATTGGTTTCATTGGTAACAGTGATGATTTGAAGCTTTCGTGACTGCAGGAACCCATACTCTTTGGTTCTTTCGGCAAAGTCACGATGTTATTTTATTTTATTTCTAACTACGCGACTTTACCGAAAGAGCCAAAGAGTATGGTGACAGTGAGTGAAGGAAAATGGAAACGTCGTAGCTGATCGTCAATAGTGTGTGGATTGCTCCTCCCAACGTACCAATGAAGTAGAAATGAATCGGCGCGTTTGTTCACGTGACAACTTTCGTCGATTCGTTTGTGTCGGGTGGAGGCGGGTGTACGACACAAACTTGCATCGCGCTCGCATGATCGGACCCAAATATGCATTTTTATGTTGCCAGAAAAAATGGGAAAAGCTATTCTCATGAATTTTTATGATTTAATATTTTATTGGGTTGTAACGTTTTTCAGGGCACCCCTTCCTTTACGTGACTTCACATTTTATACGTAAATATTTCGAGATTTATTTAACGTTTTTTTTTTTGCAGGGCTGAACAGGGTATCATGTTTATACTTTTTTTTAGACATTGTTAATTATTGACGATGTTTTTTTTCGTCTCTACAGTGGTCTGGACATTATTAATTGCCTTGTTAAAATGTGAAATGCTTTCAGGGTGTTCTTGGCACTGGTGGAAGAAACTGAAAACAGGGGAACGATCGTGGCAGAAGGCGGTGGGAAGGTAAGAAGTGTCGGTTTCAACAAAACCGCAACAAGAAATCATTTACACCATTGGTAGTTCATTTGCCAGTAAAAAAATATGATAATTGTTTTTTTACCCTTCTATCTGGCAACAAAACTGACACCTTTTTTTACGAGGAGTCACGTTTGCATAGACCACAATACCTGCAGTCATAATGCAAACAAAAAACATAACTCTGATAATGTATGCACTGTCCTTGAAGTTGATTGGTCCACACCCGAGACAGCTTTCCTTAGAGCCCAGTCTCACATGGTGTTGGACCAGATGACGCCAAAAGGCGCACAACTCAAAGACAATGCACCATCAGAGTATGAGAGCTCGGGGTAAGCATTGTAATAAATATTTTAAAGAATAAAAATTAATAACTATTTTAGATTTATTAATTTGGGCTCAAGGGAAAATCCACGAGTTACTAATGTATTCATAATATAGGTTTTTGGGTCAGATCACGTTATTTATAAATGTGTCGTAACCCTCCACCATCCGACACGGCCAATCAGTAAAAAATGTGTCACTTTTTCAAAGGACAAAATAATTCACTTCTTTAGCCCAACCGGTGTGCTGAAGAGAGATTCAACAGCATTTTTAAATTTCGATTTAAAGCTTTCGTGACTGCAGGGATTCATCTTCTTGGTTCTTTCGGTAAAGTCACGTAGAAGGGAAGTAATAAAATTAAAAAAACATAATACAATAATTCCCACGACGTTTCGGCCACAACGCAAGCAGCCATCCTCAGGTGAAGACCAGGTCTGTCGGGGAGACAGCGAAACGTCGTGAGAATTATTTTAGTATGTTTTATTTTTATTATTTTATTACTTCCCTTCTACATGACTTTACCGAAAGAACCAAGAAGCATTTTTTAAGTTGAGCACGACGTTTCGCTGATAGTTACAATCAACTTCATCGGGCAAGAATGGTGAAGCTCTCCTATTGCTTCCGGTCTTAAATAGAGCAGCATCAGGGTGATGTCATCATTTAATTCAATTTATTTTTTACTGATTGGCCGTGTCGGGTGGTGGAGGGTTACGACACATTTATAAATAACGCGATCTGACCCAAAAAACCTATATTATGAATAATATTGGTCGCGAAAGCCTGCTACGTGTTAAATTACTAATTTATGTTAAAATTTCAAGGTGCGCGGTTAATCCGCAAATCGGATAAACCGTACGCGGATAATCGAGAGTCTACTTTATATTTTTTATAGTCTTCATGTGCAATGTTCTGAAACTACAACGTTTCATTTACCTCGGACCTGTCACGTTCACCCCCGCCCCCCGCCCCACTCGCCGCAGGCTTTAATTCCTCTCGCCCTGGAAGGAACGGAAGTGGGAAAGAGTAAAGCCGCTCAAGCCTTGGCCAAAATCACCATCACGGCCAACCCAGTGATCGCCTTTCCTGGCGAGAGGGTAAGTACCTTGGGGGGAATGCCAACCGGTTATTTTTTATTTTTTGCAGAGTAAATTAATTTTTACATCCCTTATATTAAGTTCGCTTGCTTGCGCGCTTACGACCGTGCAAATCTTTCGGTCGTTTTTTAACCCACTTCCCGTGATCCAATCGAGCTGACATTTTGCACACAGACTCGTTGTGCGTGACAATTTATTTTCGTGAAAATTGTTTTTTCTAAAATTTTACACTTTTTAGGAAAAAATAAATTATATTTAATTACCAATTGCCTAATGGTGGCAGGCAATCATCTGACCCGTAGGTGGCAGCCATCTCAAGCCAGAGGACGAGAGGACTCTCGCCGCCACGCATATAAAGGATTTATAGTGAAAAACTTTGTTTTTACGGGTTAATTTTATTACTGTATCAGAATCGTATTTTTTTTACTTAAGGCTGAAGGAATCCGATGAGCCTATGAATGTCCAGTCATTTTTGACAGATGTCATACCTATCAACCAGAGGTCGCAAACGGGTTTTGATTCCTTACCCGTACCTGGCCGCACCAGGGTCGCAAACAGGTACCCGTACCCGGCCGTACCCTACCCGTACCCGGGTACGGGTAGGGTACGGGTATCGGGTACCCGATTGCGACCTCTGGGATGAAGCCATGTTGCAGGCGCGGGTGGGTTGATTCTAGGAACTTGAATTGTGAGAAGAGACAAGACGTTGGGAAATGAGTGACAAACGGTTACTCACCAGTGACTCACGGCCTACCCGTACCCGTACCCGGCCGCACCAGGGTCGCAAACGGGTACCCGTACCCGGCCGTCTTTTCCGACAGACCTGTTCTTCACCTGAGGACGGTTGCTTGCGTTGTGGCCGAAACGTCGTGAGAATTTTATTTATTATGTTTTATTTGTATTACTTTATTATTTCCCTTCTACGTGACTTTACCGAAAGAACCAAGAAGATGAATCCCTGCAGTCACGAAAGCTTTAAATCACTGTAATGAGGATTGTCGTGAATTCCTGTAACCGCAGATCTACGAGGTGGTGCGTCCCCTCGTGAGCCTCCTGAACATGGAGAATTCTGGGCTGCAGAATTTCGAGTCACTCATGGCCCTCACTAATCTGGCAGGAATCAACGACAAGCTGAGGTGAGCGATCGTATTGCTGGAAGCACCGTTTGCTGGTTGTGGTATCGTGTATACAGGGTGCTTAAAACAAATGTTAACACTTCTGAGAATTTGCAACAATACCACTAGAAATGTGCGGATAATACAGTGTGTTATCCGTTCTTTTTCCGTTCAAAACGATAGTCCCATATAAGTGTTAACATTTTTTGAAGCATCCTATATATATTTTTTATTTTATTTTAAGGCCCACGGAGCTATAAAGCAACCTGACCACAAATCCTCAATGAAGTGGCTTAAACGCATGTTTCTAAATGTGGAGGGAAAAACAGGAGGACCCGGACAAAAATATACGCGGGCGATTGCCCAAGACGAAAGCACAATCGCGAAGGAATTGGCGGGGGGGGGGGGGGGGTTGGCGGGAAAGATACATTAAACAAAAAAAACTTACTCATGAAAGTTGAACACTTGCACGTAAAAGCAAAACTGCAGAGGCACTGAATATGTTTGTTGCACTCTAGGAAGCAGATGCTCAAAGAGAAGGCTTTCCCAATGATCGAAAGCCACATGTTCGAAGATCACGAGCAAATCCGCGCCGCCGCCACCGAGTGCATGTGCAACATGGTCCTCAACAAGGAGGTTGGTGATGACCTCACACTTCAGGTTTCGGGTGATCACACCGAGAGCGTCAGAATCTCGGCGCGATCACGGATTCTTACGCTCTTCATCGGCGAATCGTTGAGCGCGCCTGTTTCGTTCCACCCCCTTTCCCACGAGTGCCTTCGCAGGTGCAAGAGATGTTTGAGGCAGACGGTAACGATCGGATGAAGCTGTTGGTCCTGTACAGCGGCATGGACGACGAGAAGGTGCAGATGGCAGCCTCTGGGGCGCTGGCCATGCTAACGACCGAAAACACGAAGCTGTGTGCTAAAGCCACACAAGTGGTACGTGCCAAGCTTGGCGTGACTGACTCCACTTCAGGTTTCTCACCAGGTGCACGGCTGTGGGTTGACGGCAGCGAGGGTCCGTGGATTATCACACAAACATTGGAAATTTCCTTCGCCAGGTGAAGGCGGTACAGCAGAAATGTGGACTCTTTTCTGTAAATATGGGATAGAGTGTTTCTCCCTCGCACGCTCTGCGATGAAGCCACAACGGTGGTCTTCCTTTTGGGACATTCGAACCTGCCATAGGAACGTGGAATTTCCACCACCGGCTCAGCCACGTAGAATGGAAATAATAAAATAATACAAATAAAACAATACAATTATTATGCTTTATTTTTAATATTATTATTATTATGTTTTATTATAAATATTTGTAAAAATAAATATTAAAAATAAAACATTATTAAAAATAAAACATAAAATTATTATGTTTTATTATTTTATTATTTCCATTCTACGTGACTTTACCGAAAGAACCAAGAAGATGAATCCCTGCAGTCACGAAAGCTTGACATCGAAATTACTTTTCCTGTTGCAGACGTCGCAGTGGCTAGAGATCCTGCAGCACCTGGTGATGCACGAGAAGAAGGACCTGCAGGTGCGCGGGCTTGCCGTCACCCTCAACCTGATGAGCGCCGAGAAGGGCATCGCCGAGAAACTGATGGAGAGCGAGATGATGGAAATCCTGTCGTTGATCGCAAAGCAGGAGGGCAGCGATTCGGAGAGCCAGAACGTGATATTGGCTCGCGAGTGTCTGTCCAAGGCCCTCAACTACGGACTCATTAAACCCTTCTCTGATGCTGCTGTGCAGCCGTAAACGGCAGGTGAGGAAGAGGATCCCACGCACCGTTCTCTCAAGTAGGTTTCATTCACCGGACTGCTTAGATCACGAGTGCTCCGCTGCACGGACAAGCTTTTAGACCAACATTTTACTGGTGGGAACCTCCTGGTTACAATAAAAACTAGTTTAAATAGTTTTAGATTTAATCGTTCACCGCATGACCGTGAAAGCGATATTTTTAATTCTCAGAGCTGTCGTTTAGCCAAGCAAGCGCAAGACACTATTTCAATGTGATGGTGTTTTTGTGTGTGTGTGTGTGCAGTAATTGGTGATCGGACAGAGACCATCGCTACACTTGGCATCTTACTTCACTCCTGCCTGGAATGATTTGAACCCAGGATCTTCGTGGTACCAGCTCACCCATTAGACTATATATTATAACATCTACAAGCAAAGTACAAATATCGTGTGTCCGTTTGGTTCTTAAATTGCAAGCAGTCTGTGCTTGGAAGCATCGTCACCTATAGTAATGGATATTAAGAATGTATTCATAAGTTAATCCGTTGATTTCCTTAATTAAAATGTACACAGTTTTTTGTACTTTTTCAAAGTTGGTTAGCAGCACGCATTCTCAAACAAATGCGCTTTTATTTATGTCAAAGGTTGACCGGTAAATGGCGTTGCCATACAACTTTCAGTCATTCTGGCTCCAATTGGAACACGTCTGTCAATCTACGCTCGTTTTATTTGGGAGTCGAAGTTTGCACACGGATACTTATAAAAACGTTTTACTTAACCACAGACAAGCATATATAGACAATAGTTTTCAGGTTTGGGAGCCTCCGAAAACTAAGATTGTCTAATTATTTAAACTTCTCACTTTTTAAAGGAATGCACCCAATATTTAACCAACAAACAGGATTGATATTGCATATTTACAAAATTCAAGCGCCACATTTGCGCCTAGACTGTTCACAAATATAACGTCATTTTTTTTCTCTTCACTTCACTTCAGAGGTTGTAGAGTAGGGCACGTTATCTGTGTATCGATCGAAAACGTAATAAGTATAACCCATAAAAACAAAGTTTTTCACTCTAAATCCTTTATATGCGTGGCGGCTCGAGTCCTCTCGTCCTCTGGCTTCAGATGGCTGCCACCTATGGGTCAGATGATTGTCTGCAGTATTAAACAATTGGTAATTAAATATTTAATTTGTTTTCCCTAAACAGTGTAAAATTTTTGAAAAAAAATTTCACGAACATTAATTGTCAGGCACAACGAGTCGGTGTACAAAATGTCAGCTCGATTGGATCACGGGAAGTGGGTTAAAAAACGACCGAAAGGTTTGCACGGTCGTAAGCAAGCAAGCAAGCACGCACGGTCGTAAGCAAGCAAGCAAGCACGCACGCAAGCACGCAAGCAAGCGAACTTAATATAAAGGATTTAAAAATATTTCGTCATCAGTATCACGGCATTTTCAAAAAATATTAAACGGACAGCTCGCTGTTGTGTTTTCGACTTGTACCGATTGTCTTGGGGCACGGAGTCTGACGGTTTACCCCCCACGGGCTGCGAAAACCTCCGCGGCAGTGGAAGGGAAACTGAATCTTGAACGTCTTTCTCTTGTGGGGACCCCCACCGCCTTCGTGAACATTTCGCTCAATTCCGCGGGAATGTAAAGCTTTCAAATGCTTGTTAATTCGTGACGGATACATTCCAGAGATGCCCGTGAACATTACGTTTCGGGGATGATGATGATGATGATGTTGGCCTACAAAAACCTAATTATTAATGAATTCCCTTAAATAGGTACGTAAATAAGCTGTTAAATACATGACAGTTGTCATCAGACATCTCTTAATCTCATCACTTCATCTAATCACTTTCTCGCATCACATTCTCTTATCACATTCTCTCTCGTTTTATCTGATCACTTTAGCTCATCAATTTCTATCTCTCGATGCGATTTGCGGATCGCCAAAATCGCGGATAGCAAGTTTGTGAATAACGAGGGAATAATGTGCACATTTACAAACTTGCAATTCAAATGATTGTCAATTACTTTATTGTTTTACGTCAGTTTGTTTTACACCGATGCGTGTGTTTTTTTTTACTTCTAGTTACAACGGTGAAATATTTCCAGTGCTGTACACGTCAGGGGAAGGCTTTGGCCGCCCGCCTTCTTTTGTTCACGCGTTGGGTCACCGACGTATTTATTTAACGAATTGCGTTCTTCCATCTGGCGACAAGCAAAAAGTGTAACATCGTCTCGTGGGTCGGCTAACGCTCCGAGGAGATGAGATCGCAAGAAACGTGTTCAAGGTCCCTTCGTTCTAGCCACCGCTTTATCCTCAGTAGGTGGCGTCAACTCTCTCTCCTTGCCCCTGCGTAGCGTCCCCGTCCATCGCAATGGCAATCCAAGGAACAAAAAAAATGTTTGAATCCCCAGTGCTGGATCGTGACGGCAGGCGTTCAGATGAAGTTGGCGTTGGTCACCGAGATCGTAAATTCTCTACGCTTGAGAACCACGCTTTAATCACGATCGACCGTGATCTGGATTCAAACTCGTGGTCTTTACCGCTCAGAGGCCTCAGAACAGACCTCTGAACATGGCCTTGGCTCAATTAACCCATCTGATGAATCAAAACTCGTGATCTCTAGCAGTGCCCGCTCAGCAGAGGTCGCAACCGGGTACCTGATACCCGTACCCTACTCGATACCCGGCTACCCGTACCCGTTTGCGACCCTGGTGCGGCCGGGTACGGGTACGGGTAGGCCGTGAGTCACTGGTGAGTAACCGTTTGTCACTCATTTCCCAACGTCTTGTCTCTTCTCACAATTCAAGTTCCTAGAATCAACCCACCCGCGCCTGCAACATGGCTTCATCCCAGAGGTCGCAATCAGGTACCCGATACCCGTACCCTACCCGTACCCGGCCGGCCCGTACCCGTACCCGGCCGGGTACGGGTACCCGTTTGCGACCCTGGTGCGGCCGTGTACGAGTACGGGTTAGGAATCAAAACCCGTTTGCGACCTCTGCCGCTCAGAGGCCTTTGACATGGCCTTGGTTCGCTTAACCCATCTGATGAATCTCCGTGGTGTCTTGACGTTTTAAATTGTCTGCGGTAACCTCGTGACTTTTTGCAGGCAGCAGTTGGCACACAATTGATACCATTGATACTCTGACGTATATTCAATGAGTTGTATCAAAAAACATGACGGTAATTGAATCCCGTTTAACCGCACCAACCGATGGGTTTGAGCCAAAGCCGATCCGACCCCAGCGATGGTCTCGCTGAAGTTCGTCAATCACCATCTGTTATCCGAGCATGGATGATAAGTGTCACCTCTACGTGGTGGAACGTCCATCGTGGTTTCCACATTCTCCTCTGAAGTGTGGATAACGGGAATAAAATGTGCGTCTAATAGGATCTGCCTTCGAGTGGGTAAAATAATATTTACGGTGTATTGTCTTGAGGCCGTGTTAACGACCAAGGCAGCGATGTGTGTCGGTGTATGTTTCTCCACCACTGCCCGTAAGTCAATTATTTTATTTTTTGTATTTTAATTTATATCGCACGTTTGTTAATCAATGCACTCTTTGCCGTCTGCGCATCGCGGAGCGGACGTTTGAAAAGCATTCCGTTCAGTGCTGTCCTGCTGCTTTTATTGATGTTGAAAGTTTTATTTAATCTCACACTTAATTCTTCATTGCAAAAACTGTCGCTGTGCATTCACTGGAACATTGTTGCTGTGTTCATTTGCGCATTCCACAAAGGGCACGTGGCCGTTTCTACTTTAGAGTCGTATAAATATATTTCACTCCCCTTGCACAGCTGAGAAATAAATGTTGATGTGATTGGCGTGTGGTCAGCATATTTTTTTAATCGGTGATTTCCCAACACTTGCAATGTTTGTTTAAGTGTAACGACGGAGTGTGTATACTCTTTGGTTCTTTCGGTAAAGTCACGTAGGTAGAAAATAAAACATGATAAATAATTGCGGCTGTAGCGATTTTCACCTGAAGACGATGGCTTGTGTTGCTATCGAAACGTCGTGATTTATTTTGTTTTATTTGTACCTACGCGACTTTACCGAAAGAACCAAAGAGTATGGATTCCTGCAGTCACGAGAGCTTCAAATCAAGGGGTATGTATGCTTAGAGCGACTATTGAAGGCAGACCGGGATAAAAATGATACACGAGTGTTGTAAAATTTTAATTTATTTTTGAAAAGAAACACATCAATGTGCCTAAAAGAGTAAAGTTTTCAATCTTTGCGTCAGAATTAAAATTGCGGAAATAAGCATCGTAGCGTTGTGAATTCAAGAGTGGAAGAGAAACATTTGTGAGAGAACACATGCAAACTCGAGAGATGTATTTATTTTAAGAAAAGTCTGCGGGCCTAGGCAGAGGATACATTGGTACAAGGAGGTAATGGTTGATGGATGAGACTGATGACAGAATAGCAGCCAAAGAAGGGAGCATGCGGGGGAGGGGGTGGGGGAGGGGGCGGAGAGAGAGTGTGCCTATGTTTTGTTCTCTCTCTATGTATCTCTGTGATATCTGTCTGCTTATATGTCTGTCTATATGTTTCTGGATAGATTTTTGTTTCTATTTCATTTATACCTGATGATTGCTTGTATTGCAATCGAAACGTCGTATGCTATTATTTAATTTATTATTTTATCTTTATATGTGACTTTACCGAAAGAACCAAAGAGTGTATATTTGTAGTTTGTGTGTGTCTCACTTCCCGTGGTCGTGTGGATTTTTCTCCGGGTGCTTCGATTTTTTCCCTCCACATTTCGAATCAACATCGCACGTTTAAGACTATTTGGCTGCTCTAAATTTCCACGTGATCAGCCACTTCGTTGAGCTATCATTTGTGGCCAGGTCACGTCTGAAAAATAGCAACGTCGCTCATTGAGCCTTACCTGGTAAAATAAAAAATAGTTTAGTTTTGTATAGTTTATAGTCTGGTGAAAATTCCACATTCTTATGGCCGGTGCTGGTTTATTCATTAGGCAGCCACTTGATTTTATACAAGCGGCGCTAGTTTTAATGATCTCGTCGGAGGTGTGAAAGGCTGAATTGACCCACGACTGAGATCTGAATTCGCCGATTTGTATTTTATAATTCATAGCATGAAAAGCAATGTGCTTTGGTCTTACATCAGCTAGAGAAATACCCCAGGGGGGTCTTGCAAGGCGCGCGGTGTTGTTGCTCCGTGCAAAAAAGCCCTTTGGGGAACGCGGTACAAATTGAATGGAGCAGTTTAACACGCAGGCTTTCGCGGCCAATATCATCCATGATAGATTTTTGTTGGGTTAGATCGCGCAAATATAAGTGTCGTTAAACCCGCCACCACCCGACACGGTCAACTAGTAAGGTTTGTCACGTAAACAGAACGTGCCAGTTCGTCACTAGTACAGCACTAACCGGTGTGTTGGAGAGAAAATACACAACATTTACAACCTGCATCATGGGACCTCCTTTGCCAGTACCAACATATGATAATAGGTTTCCCCCTTTTTTCTGGCAACAAAACAGATGGAGGCCTTCATCCAGCAGCAGACTGACCGTGGTTGATGATGGCAGATATTTCGATTTAAAGCTTTCGTGACTGCAGGGATTAATCTTCTTGGTTCTTTCGGTAAAGTCACGTAGAATGGAAATAATAAAATAATAAAAATAAAACATGATAAAATAATTCTCACGACGTTTCGGCCACAATGCAAGCAGCCGTCCTCAGGTGAAGAACAGGTCTGTCGGAAAGACAGCGTCTGGTTTCAGACGTTTCAGACGCTGTCTTTCCAGCAGCCCTGTTCTTCACCTGAGGACGGCTGCTTGCGTTGTGGCCGAAACGTCGTGAGAATTATTTTATTATGTTTTATTATTTCCCTTCTACGTGACTTTACCGAAAGAACCAAGAAGATGGCATACATTTCAATGCTTTTGGCTGCATAACAATTGGCTCACATGGTGCATACCTATGTGATAACGAAAATTTTTAGGTTTCAAATATATGTTTTTTGCTTTTTCATTATCAAATGTGCCGTTATTTTTTTTGGTAACCACGGTTTCTAAGCACCGGACCAAAGTCCCCAAAAGAAACAGCACGATTGATGGTACAATAGATAAATAGTGTAACACGTTGTTATTGTAGGAGCTTGGGGGTGGGGGGGGAAAGAGACGATGGGGAAAGAGACGATGGGAGGAGGCATTTCGAAAGCGAAGCGGTGCACGGAAAGAGAAGTGTTTGTGGCCTGCAGTGTGATGAGCGAGTGGTGGGCGAGTGCGTTGTTGTGACCTCAAGTGTGGTTGAGTGAGCGAGTGCGTGGGTGATTGTGCCGTTGTGACCTGCAGTGTGATGAGCGAGTGGTGGGCGAGTGCGTTGTTGTGACCTCAAGTGTGGTTGAGTGAGTGCGTGGGTGATTGTGCCGTTGTGGCCTGCAGTGTGATGAGCGAGTGGGCGAGTGCGTTGTTGTGACCTCAAGTGTGGTTGAGCGAGTGAGTGCGTGGGTGATTGTGCCGTTGTGACCTGCAGTGTGATGAGCGAGTGGTGGGCGAGTGCGTTGTTGTGACCTCAAGTGTGGTTGAGTGAGTGACTGCGTGGGTGATTGTGCCGTTGTAACCTGCAGTGCAGTGCCGGATTATTCTAGTAGCATCTGCTACGGGCCCCGCACTTTCAACGGCTCCGCACTAAATGCTTTCAAGCTATCAATTCCGGTTCAGTGATTCTGCACTTGCTCTATTACTATAGTACTATACCGCCTTCAACTTTTATGAACGACTGGGTGTTTGAGGTTAGCGATTTTTCGTATTATCTGGCTGTATAGCAAATGAAAAAATACAATTAATCTTAATTTGGAGCTTTCGTGACTGCAGGAATTACTCTTTGGTTCTTTCGGTAAAGTCATGTATAAAGATAAAATAATAAATTAAATAATAGCATACGACGTTTCGATTGCAACACAAGCAATCATCATCAGGTATAAATGAAATAGCAACAAAAATCTAACCAGAAAACTATAGACAGACATATAAGCAGACAGATATCACAAAGATACATACGTGACTTTACCGAAAGAACCAAAGGGAAAATCCAATTACTTTACTATGCAAGTAATTTTTTTTAATTATGTTTTTTTTTTAAATCCTTTATATTAAGTTCACTTGCTTGCTTGCTTGCTTACAACCGTGCAAATCTTTCGGTCGTTTTTTAACCCACTTCCCGTGATCCAATCGAGCTGACATTTTGCACACAGACTCGTTGTGCGAGACAATTAATGTTCGTGAAAAAAAAATTCCCAAAATTGTACACTTTTTAGGCAAAATTTTTTTTATTTTTAAATCCTTTATATTAAGTTCGCTTGCTTGCTTGCGTGCTTGCTTGCTTACGACTGTGCAAATCTTTCGGTCGTTTTTTAACCCACTTCCCGTGATCCAATCGAGCTGACATTTTGCACACAGACTCGTTGTGCGAGACAATTAATGTTCGTGAAAAAAAATTCCAAAATTTTACACTGTTTAGGGAAAACAAATTAAATATTTAATTACCAATTGTTTAATGCTGGCAGACAATCATCTGACCCATAGGTGGCAGCCATCTCAAGCCAGAGGACGAGAGGACTCTAGCCGTCACGCATATAAAGGATTTAGAGTGAAAAACTTAGTTTTTACGGGTTATACTTATTGTACTTCAGTGCCCCTTTATAACATGTGCTACAGGTCCCGTGCGAGCTTAATCCGGCGCTGCTGCTGCAGCGTGGTGAATGAACACAGTGCGGAAAAGACAAAAGGATCAGAATCTTTATTTTAGACTGGGGGAAAAAATCCGACGAGCTGTATGGAACTCTCGCTTTATAGATGTCCAGTGAAGTCGAGTCAGTCCTCAACAACATGCCTGGAGGAATGGCGACGAGCCACGTGGCGTCTTCAGTAGTTGGGGTCAGATATGTTGGTGATACCACGGCCGTGAAGGCTTAATTCCCAACGCGAAAGCTGCTCCACGAATCCACGGTGCGGCCGCACGTTGCGTTGGCATTGCAGCAGATGCCCCCACGACTCCTGCGAAGAGAAAACCAAAACTCGCTCATCGGCAGAGGCGCAAGGCAAGAGTCCCACGCTGAAGCTGAACGTGTCAAACGCTGCGTCGTAAGGACGGTTATGGACGGTGCAATGTTGGTGACGTACGGTAAATTGATGCGTCCGTAAAATCTGAACGCTAATGTTCAGGAAATTAAAGTTCGATCGCTGTGCCAAGTTGTCAGAGAACACCTCTTGTGGTTTGCATGCTAAGGAGATTGATGGGGGTGGTTTTTTTTACATAATCTATATTTATACTTTCATACTTTGTTATGCTGTTTCTTTTTCGTCCTCCACAACTGACTGACATGCACTATTTTCTGTGTGTAAAAAAAAACATTAGCCTGGTAGATTTTTCATGATTTTTTTTTATATTCTTAAAATGCTGTAGGCAGGTGATAGGGTTGTTTAACAATAGACAGACGAGTTCTCTGATGGGGTATCCAGACAGTAGGCAGACCATGCGCTTACATTTATGTCAGTTTAATGCCCATAATACACCTCGCGACACGCTTCTCTGCACAGTTTCCAGCTTTTATAAAAAAAAAAAAATTGGCCATTTTTTGATCCATGTCACGACAAGTAGATTTAACTCGAGGAAAATGACTTAAGGCCCCAACGAAATAGGTTTGCAAAGTCGGGCTCAAGATAAATATGAACAAATAAAAGTGTCATGTAAAGCAAGTTATTACTGGTAGGAACCCACTGGCTCCACCAGCGCACAGGGGATTATTGTGTCCGTCCGTCGTGCAGGGAGGGGCTGGGTGGGGAGGGGCTGGGTGTGGAGGGTGGGGAGGGGCTGGGTGGGGAGGGTGGGGCTGGGTGGGGGGTGGGAGGGGTGGGGCTGGGTGGGGAGGGGCTGGTCACCCCGTAGTGCCCTTATAAAACTCAACGTTTAACCTACTCAAACCGGCTTGTGCCCGCCTTCACAGTCGGCCATATTTGCGGAATACGCTACGCCGCGTTGACCCTGGCCATTGACCGAGCAACCCAACGTTCCTACCAGCTCCCTCCGCAGGAATGTGTTTAAAGGAAATAAAACATTTGTCGGAGGGGGCCACAATTGGAAGATCCGACGGAATGTGCATACCTGGCCTAATTACTCTCACCGTAATCCAAATGATTCAATAAAGAAATGAATGAGCGAGAGCACGGTGGGAGGGATTTTGGAAAACTCAATTTAATTCCTACGACAACGGTGATTAAATTCATAGGACACCCACAGTTGACTTCCCCACAAAGTGGTACTATTTTATCGACCCTGGAAGTATGATGGGCTGAATAGATTCCCCCCCCCCCCCCAAATGGAATTTAATAAACTCGCAAACCTTCCAAATGTGAGGCCTGTTATCTAACCACTGTGCCACCTGGCTAGACACATCACTGGATGCAACTTCTGGGGCAATTCTATCTCTGATAAAGAGGCTCTCGCAATCGATTGCTTGTGTTGCGATCGAAACATCGTGATATTATTATTATTTTGATGATTGTTTTCTACCTACGTGGCTTTACCGAAAGACCCAAGGAATATGAATTCCTGCAGTCACGAAAGCTTGAAGTCATGAAAAATATTCCTTTCTCGCTAATATCCGATGAGTGCGAGCCACTAACGTACCGACATTTACGGACAAATATACGGCACGTGGGCCGTTTTGAAAGTGGGTGGGCCAACGTTTGTAGGATAGCAAACACGCATCTCGTCGCCTTGTCTCGCGCGTTTTACCTGCAGGTCCCACTTGAAGCGATGCATGAGGTACGCGATGGCCACCGTGCAACCACGGCTTATGGCCGATTGGGAGAAGACCAGCACCGGTCTTTTCAACTCGAGGGCTTCATCTGGAAGAAGAAGAAGAAAAAAAACATAATTATAATCTAAACTAAAAAAAAACTTGTTTTTTTATTTTTACCAGGTCAGGCTCACTGAGCTAATTTAGCTATTTTTTAAAATCCTTTATATTAAGTTCACTTGCTTGCTTGCGCACTTACGACCGTGCAAATCTTTCGGTCGTTTTTTAACCCACTTCCCGTGATCCAATCGAGCTGACATTTTGCACACAGACTAGTTGTGCGTGACAATGCATTTTCGTGAAAAAAATTTTTCCAAAATTTTCCAATTTTTAGGAATTTTTTTTTTATATTTAATTACCAATTGCTTAATGGTGGCAGCCATCTCAAGCCAGAGGACGAGAGGACTCTAGCCGCCTGTTTCAAAGACCAATGTGGGCTGGGTTGTGGCCCATTGAACACGCATATAAAGGATTTATAGTGAAAAACTTTGTTTTTACGGGTTAATTTTTTCAGAAGCTAGGCCACAAAGGATAGCTCAACGAAGTGGATTATCATGACGTGGAAATGTATGGAAGCCAAATGCTCCCAACGCGTGTGAATTCAAAATGTGGAGGTGAAAAACTGGAGAACCCGGAGAAAAATCCACGGGACCAAGGGGAGAGAGACATGCAAGCTCTATATAAGCAGGCTTCATTGTCTGGATCGAACCCACGACCTTCTGCATACCAGGCGAGGGAGTTAACAGCCCTTTGTCAACCCACTGCTGCATGTGCCGTTTGACCGGATATCACCACACTGAAATTTCGATTCAAAGCTTTCGTGACTGCAGGGATTCGTATTCTTGGTTCTTTCGGTAAAGTCACGTAGAAGGGAAATAATACAATTTATAAAAATAAAACAATAACATTCTCACGACGTTTCGATTGCAACACAAGCAATCATCATCAGGTGTGAAAAAACCACAGCAAGAATTTTAGGAATTTTTTTATTATTTTATTATTTCCCTTCTACGTGACTTTACTGCAAGAACCAAGAATATCACCACACGGGTCAATGCAGGTTGGTGAAGGTGCGAAGTAAACACGTGTGGGCATAGCAGTACAGTACAATGCATAACACTGGTCAACACACTTTTTCTGGCATAAGGTATTCCAACGGTCTTAATGTAATTTTGTGGTGTTGATTCCAAATCTGGCATCAGTTTTTGTCTATCACATCAGGTTTTTGAGATATTAAATATTGCATTTTCAATCAAAACTGCAGAAGAAAAATATTAAATAAATGTGGATATCTACATAAAATGATATTATAAACACACTATCCTAAAAATACAGCAACCATATTTTAACACTAAAGCAGTCACTGACTCGCAACAACTTGCAATCATAAGTGACAATAAAATGGGGTATGCCGATAGCATAAAAATGAGATGTGATAGAGCAAATCTGAGATCAGATTTGGAATCAGCACCCTGAAATTAGTCTAAAACAGCTGCAAAAGTCCAGGCCAGAAAAAAATGCTTTTTCTTGCTGTGTTTTTCACACCTGATGATGATTGCTTGTGTTGCAGTCGAAACGTCATGATAATTAAATTTTTCATATTTTTATTATTTTATTGTTTCCCTTCTATGTGACTTTACCGAAAGAACCAAGAATATAATAACAAACAAAACATCAACCCAGCTTAAATATATGCTCCAAGCATGGTGCTGTTTCATTCAGACGCTGTCGCCTCGACAGACCTGGTTTTCACCTGAGGACGGCTGCTTGCGTTGTGGCCGAAACATCGTGAGAATTATTTTATTATGTTTTATTTTTATTATTTTATTACTTCCCTTCTACGTGACTTTACCGAAAGAACCAAGAAGAAAAACACATCAACACGATAGTACTGCCCTGTACAGGAAAGGTACAAATAACTTTTAAAATATATACAATTAAAAACTAAAATGTTTTTTTTTATCTTACCAGGTAAGGGCCCCAATGAGCTATTAGCTTCTTGTTCAGAAGTGACCTGGCCCCAAATTATCACTCAACCAAAGTGGCTTATCGCGTGGAAATTAAAAGCAGCAAAAACAATCTAAATAATCTCGACGACTGTTTCCGAATGTCGAGGGGAAAACCCGGACGAACCAGCCGAAAAAAAGATCCACAAACGGAATCTTACGTGTATTCACGGTGACGCAGGCGTGAAAAGGGCCTCGCACGTGACGTACCTATGAACTGGCATATGTTGTGAAAGTGGGAGAACAGGTCAGCATCTTGGTCTTCAGCCACGGGGATACTCAGTAGTGCAGCGTCACTGGTGTAACAGCTGCCACGACAAATGATGGAACCGTTAAATCCGTTAAACCCATCCACCTCGAACCAAATCGCATGGAATGCACACTACCTCGCCAGATCTCAGACAGCCGAGTGGGATTGAGCATGGATCGTGATTGCATGGGTCACCGCCAATGGCGGAGCCAGGATCTTCAGGTAGAGGGGGCAACCCCTCCAGCAATGAACAATGATAGAAGAGTTGTTAGTAAGGACTTGTCCCTTGCTCTTTATTCGACGCGTGTGCGGCGATGGCGCGGCCATCGATCGAGGGTCGAATTCGAACCGCGTTGTGTGATCGGCATCGCGCTCGCTGAAGGTGAATGCCTTCAGGGAAGTCGTGTCCTGTATACGCAACTGCGCACAATTATGTGAGTCACTTATAACCGCTTTGTCGTTACTTATTGCCAATTATGGACTCGGACTATTGTCCTATCATCTCATAGAGTCCCTGGCACGTGATAACATGCTACACAGTGGCAGTTGCAAAATGCCGATTTATTACTAATAAACACCAATGATCCGATCGAAATTAGGGATTTCGATCAGATCATTGGGGGAGCACGTGCCACCCCCCCCCCCCCCCCCCACTGGCTCCGCCAGTGGTCACCGCCATGGATAACAGGGTGTGGTGTTAGTGTGTAAAAGGAGAGAGCTGCAAAATGTACTATTGTAATGTACTCCTATGATCCCACGTGTATCCTCCCCACCTTCACCGACCCGCACTGGTCGGCGTGAAGCATTGTCAAATAACCACTTACGATCGGGACAGCGCACAGAGGCCTTCATCCAGCAGTGGATTGACAAAAGGGCTGTGCATTGTACACAATAACAATAGAGTTGTGCGTGCGCTGGATAAGGGCCACCTTGCAGCGTTCCGACATCGCAATTTAGATTTTTCCCCCTTGGCCGCCACACTTTGCGTCCGCACCGAAATCCATTACATTGCGATGACGCGGCCCAGCGGCAGTGCCATCGCCACTCCTTGCAGAAGCTTCGTGCGCCCTGAATCATCAGCCAGCCTTGGTCATTACCGCCACGGGTGCATTAACCACGCGGGTACGCGTGGAGAGGGGTGGCGAGAATAAATGTCCGTTTCGGTCGCCTCTTTTATGTCGTGATTTTCTTTATGTAAGCCGTGTTTCGGTTATATTTCTCTCTCTCCCATTGTCATCCCTTCCCCCTTACTTAATAAAGCCACGCTTTCGGCATGACCCCCTGCCCCCGCCCGCCCCACATGGTGGTGGGGCAGTGAGCCCGTTCCCCATCTTTCTATCCCCTGCTTTTCATAACCGCTTCGGCCCACGCTGACGGTGTGTGTACGCGCTGCGTCACGACGTGATGTCACGGGGCCTGCACATTTCCACAATAAAAACAAAGATGACACAAAAAAATTTAACCCGTAAAAATAAACGTTTTCACTATTAATCCTTTATATGCGTGGCATCGGTTTTATTGTATTATTCATTTCTGTTTCTCTTGAGTAAGAGTTTCATTTTTATCACATTGGTATTTTAAATTAAATATGGAAAAAAATTTTTCCTAAAAAGTGGAAAATTTTGGAAAATTTTTTCACGAAAATAAATTGTCACACACAACGAGTCTGTGTGCAAAATGTCAGCTCGATTGGATCACGGAAAGTGGGTTAAAAAACGACCGAAAGGTTTGCACGGTCGTAAGCGCGCAAGCAAGCAAGCAAGCGAACTTAATATAAAGGATTTAAAAAAACCATGCCAATGCGCGCTGCCTTTCTGCAACAGGTGACGTTAAGGATCTCCCGACGTCGGTTTGTTGTCATTCCCCCCCCCCCCTTCCTATGATCACTGTTACACATTGCTTTTATGGCTTTATTTTGGTGATTTCGAAAAGTTTTTTGGTTTGGCCATGTTTGTTTGCTGTAGTACGGAGTTAGAATGATGGCTTTATCTAAGTTGTCTTGTGGTTGTTATTGTTGTTGTTTGACTTGCATCCCACTAGTATTTTTACACAGCGTTGGTGTACGGTACTTTTTTTTCTGGAAGACTTTGCAGTTTTTTCCTGGATTTTTCTGTTTGCGCGTAGTCACTTTAACATGTTTTCTTGTTCATGTTTTTATTTTTTGTTTGTTGCGGTTGCACCCGATTCAAGAGCCGAAAGGCTCACAGGGCTACACCAAATAAATGAAACTGAAAAATGAAATGAAAACTGATTAGCGTGGTTGGCTACGTACGGTGCGAAAGAAGTTCAGCGCACATACGCGCAGGCCATTGTGTGGTCGTGTCTTGGTCGAAATTTGAAAAAGCTACACCATAATCGGGATTAGACATAGCAAGCAGAATTGCTGGCAGACAATATCCGTCTATGAAACAAAGTGCCAGCCTTTAGTGATGGCCCTGTGCAATAAGAATGGCACAAATAGCGACGTGTACTAAATTGTTATTGTTATTATAAATTGTGATTCATTGGCAGACCACTGACCTGCTATTATACTCACATTAATCCCTCCTGCTCCATAATGGCAACATAGGCTTGGAGCTTGAGTGCCTTTTTAACACTGGCACAGCTGGCCTGGCTAGCATCTCCCAGATAGAGGCATCCGGCTATTAACTCCACTGGGTACACGAATAATGAGTCCAGCTCCTGTTGGAACATTCACAGCACAACAACTTTAGTAGAGCAGTGAACAAGCAATACAAGTATTTACCACACATAAAACACATCAAAACTATTTCATATGCTCCTCGATTTCAATGTCACCAGGCACCGCATTGCAAAGAGAATATGAGCGTGAGTAAAGAAACGGGACAGATCTTCTTGGTTCTTTCGGTAAAGTCACGTAGAAGGGAAGTAATAAAATAATAAAAATAAAACATAATAAAATCATTCTCACGACGTTTCGGCCACAACGCAAGCAGCCGTCCTCAGGTGAAAACCAGGTCTGTCCGAGGCGACAGCGTCTGAGGACGGCTGCTTGCATTGTGGCCGAAACGTCGTGAGAATTATTTTATTATGTTTATTTTTATTATTTTATTACTTCCCTTCTACGTGACTTTACCGAAAGAACCAAGAAGATGAATCCCTGCAGTCACGAAAGCTTTAAATCGAAATTCAACGGGACAGACTTGAAACATAGTTAGAGGCATGGCAGTGAACCAAATTTTTCCCATCCCCTAAACCTCAGGGCACTAAACCTCGGGGGAATCTTGTCCATGGCGTTTCTGTGCCCCCTCGCTTTTGTTAGGGCTCATCCTCTGTACCGGGCTCATGTTGAATGCACAATGCAGAAAAAAACACAGGCACTGAAATCCAGATGCAACCCTGCATTTGCCTGCTTCGCACAATTTAATTTAGTTACTCTTTGGTTCTTTCGGTAAAGTCACGTATAAAGATAAAATAATAAATTAATTTATCTTTATAATAATTTTTTTTTCTTTATACGTGACTTTACCGAAAGAACCAAAGAGTAACTAAATTATTTTATCTTTATACGTGACTTTACCGAAAGAACCAAAGAGTAATTCCTGCAGTCACGAAAGCTCCAAATTAAGATTAATTTAGTTAGTTTTAACTGCTCGCGGACGTTGCTTCATTGGTCTGCATTTGATCAATACATCGGCAGGTATAAATCATATATTTGTAAACGTGAAAATCTTATCGGGTGATGGAGGGGTTAATGACGAGGATGTTGGCATAAAGCTACCACCACGTAGCCTAACCCACTAACAAATAAGGAGCATTTGAATCAGAATCAGAATCTTTATTTTAGACTTAGAAATCCGATGAGCTATAAAGCTCTTTTTCACAGATGTCCGGTCTGGACGGGTCGGCAAGTTACAACGGCAAAACAATACAAAAACACGACAATGAGTGCAAAATAGAGGAAATTAAAAGTGGTGTGATTCTGACTACTGGGTCACTCTTGCTCACGAGGCTATCCTGGTCTCTTTTTGAATCCTCACCCGGTTAAACACAATAAGCTTGACTTGACAGCAGCCGGATTGTCTGCTGTTACCTGTGGGGTGTAGATGATCTTTTGGGAGCGCAGGAATGGATACAGTGCGGTGAAACGCTCGTATCCTCCGCTGAGAACGTACACCACGTTCTTACGGCTCTGCTCCAGGATTCTAGCGCAAGTCACTCCCGGGCCTGCGTATCACGGACACAGATGTGCAGCCGTTGAACTTACAGATAAACACATTCCGGCGGAGGGAGCTGGTAGGAACGTTGGGTTGCTCGGTCAACGGCGGCGTGGTGTATTCCGCAAATATGCCCGACTGTGAGGGCGGGCACAAGCCGGCGTGAGTAGGTTAAACGTTGAGTTTTATAAGGGCACCACAGGGTGACCAGCCCCTCCCAACCCAGCCCCACCCCTCCCACCCCCCACCCAGCCCCACCCGCTCCCACTAAGCTCCTCCCCACCCAGCCCCACCCCTCCCACCCCCACCCAGCCCCACCCTCCCCACCCAGCCCCTCCCCACCCTCAAGAATATGAATCCCTGCAGTCACGAAAGCTTTAAATCAAAATTTTTTGTTTTATCATTGATTTATTTTGCCATGACTTGTTGCGGTTGTTGGAGAAGCGGCGGTGTTGTTGTTGTTGTTTTTCTTGACGAGACCCGATTTAAGAGCTTATTGGCTCACGGGATACTTCAAGAAAATTTAACTGAACCCCGACGACCTGCTTGATCCAGCAGTGGATTAACAAAGAGGCTGTACGTGTACCTTGTGCCCCGTTGCCAAAACTTGACTCTTAATCGTGCATTGCAACACTCACACGAGAACAAGAACACCTGCTCCAATTGGGGACCGGAGCAAACGCGAACGAGACGGCACTTGCCAAAGTAACACCAGAATATACGAACACCGCGAATACCTCCGATGGGCATGGCTGGCTACGTACGGGTGCGAAAGAAGATCGACTATTGTACAACTCGAGCCGTCGCCTACGTTTGATCACAAGAGACTCACCTTCTTCATCAAGGTGTTGCGATTTATTGTCATATACGACACACCACTCCTTGCACTCCAGCTCGTTTTCATAAAGCAGCGTGAAGACACCGCGCGGGTCCTGCAAGAGAATGGACATTCCTGACTCACAACGACCCAACGATTCAGTCCCCATTGGGGAGAATGAGGTCTCACGAAGGCTTTCATTGTGGAATTGACCGATTGGAAATTGAACACATTGGTCAAAGGGGTTGGTCAATTCTTGGAGATGCATGCCAGTGGGCGGGCCGCGGTGGTGAGATGTTAACTTCCTCGCCTGGCCTGCAGGAGGTCGTGGGTTCGATTCTGACCATAACACCTGCTGCTATATATTTGGAGTTTGTGTATCTCTCTCTCATCATCATCACGGTGGCTAGGAGATGTTAACTACCTCGCCTGGTATGCAGGAGGTCGTGGGTTCGATTCCGACCCTGACGCCTGCTGCTATATATTTGGAGTTTGCGTGTCTCTCTCTCTCTCTCTCATCATCACGGTGGCTAGGAGATGTTAACTACCTCGCCTGGTGTGCAGGAGGTCGTGGGTTCGATCCCGACCCTGACGCCTGCTGCTGTGTATTTGGAGTTTGCGTGTCTCTCTCTCATCATCACGGTGGCTAGGAGATGTTAACTACCTCGCCTGGTGTGCAGGAGGTCGTGGGTTCGATCCCGACCCTGACGCCTGCTGCTGTATATTTGGAGTTTGCGTGTCTCACTCGCTCTCATCATCACAGTGGCTAGGAGATGTTAACTACCTCGCCTGGTATACAGGAGATTGTGGGTTCGATCCCGACCCTGACGCCTGCTGTATATTTGAAAATGTGAATGTTCTCCCCGTGACGGCGTGGAATTTTCTCCGGGTCATCTGGTTTTTCCCTCCACATTTAGAATCAACATCACGTGTTTTAGAGTGTTTGCCTGTTATGAATTTCGTTGGACTATCATTTGTGGCCAGGTCGCTTTTGACAAAGAGCTATATACCTAGTGAGACAAAGTAGACAGTTCTAGTAGTATAGAGCAACACTATCTACACGTGTAAGGGGACACTGAGAGATGAATATTCTTAGGTTTTTTCGGTAAAGTCACGTAGGTAAAAAATTAAAATTAATAAAAGTAAAATAAAAATTTAAAAATCACGACGTTTCGGAGACAGAAGCTTGTGTTGCCTCCGAAACGTCGTGATTTTTAATTTTTATTTTACTTTTATTAATTTTAATTTTTTACCTACGTGACTTTACCGAAAAAACCTAAGAATATGAATCCTTGCAGTCACGAAAGCTTCAAATCTAGAACTGAGAGATGAACCCTATGAACTCTACAAATGTATACTCACAGGGTTCTAGCGCCTTTAGAGTTCAAATAGCGCACTCGAATCTCATTGGCAAGGAGCTATCACGGGTCGGGGGGGGGGGTCTGAGCCGACACGTAGGGCGCGCAATCTGACTGGAAAGTGGAGAACCATTCAAATCTGATTGGTCATTAGGGTGAATTAACAAAAGCACAAGGGTGGAAACCAAATGCAAATGAGGGGAGGGGGGGGGTAAGACGGTCAGGAAAAACGAAGGGGATTGGTGGAGAGGCAGGGAAAGTTCCAGAAAGGACGTGGAATGGGGATAAAAGGAGCGGAGGGAATGGGTTTGGGGCACTGTCTGAACTAGGTGATTCCCTGACGTGTTACAGACACGCCTCTACTTACGAACATTCGACTTACGAACTGTCAGAGATTCAAACAAACCTGCCCGTATGTCATGTAGATGCCACATGAAGGACCAGTGGCATCTACATCTGGAGAACATGAAACACCAGGAGATTCTACAACTTTCAAAGCCATTCCCCGTGTTTAGTGTACATGCCGTACAACGCGTTTGAAATCGACAGGAGTAATGTTGGACTTAGGAACAAATCGACTTACGAACAGACCTCTGGTGACTAACTCGTCCGTAAGTAGAGGAGTTCTTGTATTACAAAGTCCAAGTTCAAGACTCACCCGTACTGCGATTCCTTTATACGTGTACTGAAATTACCAATAACAGTCAGCAAAATGCTAACTATTTTCAAATCCTTTATATTAAGTTCACTTGTTTGCTTGCTTGCTTAGGACCGTGCAAATCTTTCGGTCGTTTTTTAACCCACTTCCCGTGATCCAATCGAGCTGACATTTTGCACACAGACTCGTTGTGCGTGACAATTTATGTTCGTGAAAATTTTTTTCCAAAATGTTACACTTTTAAGGACAAAAATATTATATTTAATTACCAATTGCTTAATGCTGCCATGCAATCATCTGACCCATAGGTGGCAGCCATCTCAAGCCAGAGGACGAGAGGACTCTAGCCGCCACGCATATAAAGGATTTATAGTGAAAAACTTTGTTTTTACGGGTTATACTTGTTTCCCAGACCGTTCCCAGTTGGTTTCCATACTACTAATTAAATACTTCCAATGGTAAGCTCGTGTCAGAAAGCATTACCATAATCCATGCGTTTGCATTTTTGTTTTACTTTTGAATTTAAAAAATGCTTTGTCCTTTCACAGTTCCCCGAAACAGAAATCACATTGATTCGTGATTTTCACAAATAAATATCACACCAACAATTATATTAAATGCTATACTTACAAACTCACATCATGCAATTTTGCAAAACACTACAATTAGGGCACATAAATGTAGCGTGAGGTACCTTTTTAGCGTGTCGTGCTGTGATTATATGACTTTCTTCATATGCAGATGGTGTCCGTGCATCTGGCCACCATACAAATACAAAAAAATATCCCTTTGTTAGCCACATAGGCAGTCCTGGAAAGTGCTGTTCGCGAGCACTTATTAAAAACAACAAAACACACACACACGCGTGTGTGTGCGTAGAGGTGGTGTAGTGATTCTAGATTTGAAATTTTAGTGACTGCAAGGATTCATACTCTTTGTTTTTTTCGGTAAAATCACGTAGTTAAAAAATTAAAATAAATTAAATCACGACGTTTCGGGCGCAACACAAGCATCCTTCTTCAGGTGGGGACACCTTAGCGAAAGCACAACGCTTAAGTGGTGAAAGCACGCCGCTTGCTGAAAGCACAACGCTTAAGTGTGTAGTGTAGTGGTTGGTGTAGTGGTTGGTGTAGAGGTTAGTGCGCTGCGCTACGAACCCAGGTTCGATTCCCTGTTCACGGCCAACACCAGTGACGATTATCTGAACCGGTCCTGGGCCTCCCCTAGTTCGACTCAGCCTCAAATAAGGACCTGATGCGGTGTGTAGTAAACATCGCCACTTGGGGAGACAAAGGCGGTCGGGTGTGGTGTTGGACACCCATCCCCTCGTATTCTCTGCCGGCCTTCATAGGTGCTCGCTAACAGCACTTGCCCCAACAGTCTGTTAAGGCTACACGGGGGATCTTTGTCTTGTATGCAGCGTGGTTGATCTAAGCGTGGCAGCAAAAGAGCCTGGATACCACGTGTGGTTATTTGACCCTTCTTCCACCGTAACTGATTGGTCAAAGGTGGGGAAGCGTGGACGTTGGGAGCATAGAACTACAGTACAACAATGGATTTCGCTGTGCTTGTCCCTCTGCTGACAACATAACACGCCTGTGTTATGCACAGTGGTCAACACTTCCGTGCATTATTCATGCACAATATATTTGTTTTCAAATCTTATGTCGATTGTTGGGAAGTGGTAGTCCGAGACACTTGCAAAAGCCCATGAAAATGCGAGGATAAATGTCAAATTCCGCTGCAGATAGATGTAACGTGGCCTATTTATTGCGATTTTTGCACACAGCATTGATATACGGTTCTTTTCCTGGAAGACTTTGCTGTTTTTTCCTGGATTTTTCTGTTTGTGCGTAGTCACTAAGATGTTTCTTGTTTTGTTTAAATTTCAAGGCGCCCTTCCCCCCCCCTAGCTTAAATATACGCTCCAAGCCTGGTGCTGTTTCATTCAGACGCTGTCTCCCCGACAGACCTGGTCTTCACCTGAGGACGGCTGCTTGCGTTGTGGCCGAAACGTCGTGAGAATTATTTTATTATGTTTTATTATTTTATAATTTCCATTCTACGTGACTTTACCGAAAGAACCAAGAACATGTTTTGTTTGTTGCGGTTGCACCCGATTCAAGAGCCGAATGGCTCACAGGACTATACCTAATACATGAAACTGAACGTCCCAAAAATAAATACAAAACTCAGTTAAGAGGTATTTTAGGCATGACGAAACAATAAGATGGAATGATATTGGGCCCTGCGCTTGATACGTCATGTTCTTATGAAAATACATTTCACAAGCCTAGACGCTAATTGGCAATCGTGATAGCGAATGTTCACGGAAAGTAACGGCGCAGGATATTCCAGCTGAAATTCCAAACCTAATAATGTTGAATTATTACCGTTGTTATTACCATCTCTTGGTTAAAATGCTGAGCTTTGTGTTTTTCTGTTGGCCACGCCAGCTATTCTTCAGAGTCTGTTAGATGCATGTACATGTTGTTTTTGTTTCTGTATTATCACTTTTTTTTTACGACGTTTGAATTTTAATATTTTTTTGCTGCTTGATTTTTAGAATGACAATATTAAACGTGAGTAAAATACAGCCCGCTTGTCAATCCGCTGCCGTTTGAAGGCTTTCGCCACTCTGTGCAGGCATTGATCACACTTCACCATGCTGTTCATAATAAACGTTTTTGGGTTGGATCGCGTTATTTATAAATGTGTCTTAACCATAGCGACTCTGTCTACTTGACGGACCTGTTCTTCACCTGAGGACGGCTGCTTGCGTTGTGGCCGAAACGTCGTGAGAATTATTTTATTATGTTTTATTTTTATTATTTTATTACTTCCCTTCCACGTGACTTTACCGAAAGAACCAAGAATGTGTCTTAACCATCCACCACCCGACACGGCCAATCAGCAAAAAAGTGTCACGTTGACTTTAGCCCACCGGTGTGTTGAAGAGTGAAGCCACAACATTTACAATTTTTTGAGTAGCACGACGTTTCGCTGGTAATTGCATCCAGCATCATCGGGCAATTCGCCAGAATGGTAACCATGCTGGTTACTGTCATTTAGTGAAGGCAGGCAGCATAACCGTGGGGGCACAGTACAGACAAACACATTATTTTACTGCAAAACAACTTTATGCCGACCATTGATTTACTTTAGATCATCATTACGAGAGTTACGGAGACCCTTGCTCTAGGCAGACAGACAGAGCTAACCTGAGTTGGGTGGTTCTTAACATTTTACTGCAGCCTTGCACCGCTTTGGTTCTGAATCTTTAAAAAAAGAGTACAATGTGAAAAATTACATAGGGTTCGATGGAAAGAAAGCAGTTTGTGCCCGTGGTTAATTTGTGTTTTGGATGATTTACCTCCGAAAAAATGTGGCCATGTCTCATACCCCCAGAAAGGGAATCTCACAGACCTCCTGTACACCAGGCGAGATAGTTAACATCTCCTAGCCACCGTAATGATGATGAGAGAGAGACACGCAAACTCCAAATATACAGCAGCAGGCGTCAGGGTTGGGATCGAACCCAATACCTCCTGTATACCAGGCGAGGTAGTTAACAGCAGCAACAACAACAACAACAGCAACAACAACACCAGCAGCAACAACACCAGCAACAACAACACCAGCAACAACAACAGCAGCAACAACACCAGCAACAGCAACAACACCAGCAACAACAACAGCAGCAACAACACCAGCAACAACAACAGCAGCACCAACAACACCAGCAACAACAACACCAGCAACAACAACACCAGCACCAACAACACCAGCACCAGCAACAACAACAACAGCACCAACAACACCAACAACAACACCAGCACCAACAACACCACCAACAGCAACAACAGCAGCAACAACAACACCAGCAGAAACAACAGCAACAACACCAGCACCAACAACAAAACCAGCAACAGAAACAACACCAGCAACAACAACAGCAACAACACCAGCACCAACAACAACAGCAACAACACCAACACCAGCAACAACAACACCAGCACCAACAACACCAGCACCAACACCAACAACACCAGCAACAACAACACCAACAACAGCAGCAACAACACCAGCAAAAACAACACCAGCAACAACACCAACACCAGCAACAACAACACCAACACCAGCAACAACAACACCAACAACACCAGCACCAACACCACCAGCACCAACAACACCAGCACCAACAACACCAACAACAACACCACCAGCACCAACAACACCAGCACCAACAACACCACCAACAACAACAACACCACCAGCACCAACAACAACACCAGCACCAACAACACCAGCAACAACAACACCAGCAACACCAGCACCAACAACAGCAACAACACCAACACCAGCACCAGCAACAACAACACCAACAACACCACCAACAACAACACCAACAACAACACCAACAACAACAGCAGCAACAACAACACCAACAACAACAGTAACAACAGCAACAACAACAGCAACACCAACAACACCAGCAACAACACCAACACCAGCAACAACACCACCAACAACAACACCACCAACAACAACACCACCACCAACAACACCACCAACAACAACGAAGTTGATTCTGGGCCCGACTTACCGACCAGCAGGATGTGATGGGCGTCGCTCAGACCCGCGCGTTGCGGCGACTTTTGATTTAGCAAATTGTACAATCGCGTCGGCTCCATCAACGCTAACGAGGCCATTGTGACGACGACGATGATGATGTTGTGGTGTGTGTTGTTGTTGTTTATCTTTAGTAGTTGTTGATGTTTTAAAAGTCGGCAACAGGCAAAAAGCCGAGGCCTAAGCAGGCGACCCCAAGCCGAGGTTGCTAGGAGACGCCACGGGGCCTGGGGGGCGTTGCCAATCCAGAGGTTATTTACCTCTGGGTTGACCCCCCCCCCTTCGTCACATGACGTCACAAAAAGTCAGACCCCCCCTTCGTCACATGACGTCACAAAAAGTCAGACCCCCCCTTTAAATATGACGTCACAATGCTCTGCCCCTCCCCCCCCCCAAAAAAATAAAATGTTTCAAATCTCGATTTAAAGCTTTCGTGACTGCAGGGAATCATCTTCTTGTTTCTTTCGGTAAAGTCACGTAGAAGGGAAGTAATAAAATAATAAAAATAAAACATAATAAAATAAAATATTCTCACGACGTTTCGGCTACAACGCACCTGAAGACGGCTGCTTGCGTTGTAGCCGAAACGTCGTGAGAATTATTTTATTTTATTATGTTTTATTTTTATTATTTTATTACTTCCCTTCTACGTGACTTTACCGAAAGAACCAAGAAGATGTTTCAAATCGCTTTGAACTATTGTCATTGTAGTGCGTATTTAATGTGGCGCTGCACTCTGATGTTGTAGGAGAAAACATTTATTAAAAAGTTTATTTAATTAAGTAGAACGTGCTGTCTATATTTATTTAAAGTTGCGCATTTTGATGTGACGTCACATTTCTACACCCCCCCCCCCTCGTCACACATCGTCACAAATGTCTGACCCCCCCCTCCCCTAGGTGCGTGACGTCATTTATGGACGGCCCCATAGATGTGTACTATGAAACTGTTTGCTACCTTAGAGGTGGAACCAATTTCGGCTGTGGACATCTGTGAAAACTACTGGGCATCTGTGAAAAAATAGCTTTATAGTTAATCGGATTCCTCCAGTATGAATACATATTCATAATAAACGTTTTTGGGTCAGATCGCGTTATTTATAAATGTGTCGTAACCCTCCACCACCCAACACGGCCAATCAGCAAAAATGTGTCACGTTGACAAAAGACAAATAGTTCACTAAATATCGATTTAAAGCTTTCGTGACTGCAGGGATTCATATTCTTGGTTCTTTCGGTAAAGTCACGTAGAATGGAAATAATAAAATAATATAAAACAATAAACATTCTCACGACGTTTCGACTGCAAGACAAGCAATCATCACCAGGTGTGAAATCCACAGCAAGAAAATTTGAAAAAAGTCACACTTGATGATGATTGCTTGTGTTGCAGTCGAAACGTCGTGAGAATTTTTATTGTTTTATATTTATTTTATTTTATTATTTCCCTTCTACGTGACTTTACCGAAAGAACCAAGAATATAAATAGTTCACTACTTTAGCCCACCGGTGTGTTGAAGAGTGAAACCACAACATGTACAATTTTTGTGGTTTCACGCTTCCGTGTCGGGTGGTGGAGGGTTACGACACATTTATAAATAACGCGATCTAACCCAAAAACGTTTATCATGAATAATATTGGTCGCGAAAGCCTACGTGAATAAATATTCCGATTCTGGACTACAGGCTACAGGAATTAGGAACGGAACATGCGCTCAGGCGGACGTACATGCTGGGAGATGGAGCAAATGGAAATCAGCTCGTGTTCAGATGCTTGGTGGATCATCACTCAACAATCACAGTGAGAGATGTTGAGCAGTTTAACACGTAGTTCTTTCGCGACCAACATTATCCACAATAGATGCTCTTGGGTGAGATCTGAGCTATATAGATCTTATTCAGAAGCGACCTGGCCACAGGTGATTGCTCAACATCTATAACAGAGATGTTTTGGGATAAATCGCGTACAAAACACATTCCTGCGGAGGGAGCTTTTAGGAACGTTGGGTTGCTCGGTCAATGGCCAGGGTCAACGGCGGCGTGGTGTATTCCGCAAATATGCCCCACTGTGAGGGCGGGCACAAGCCGGCGTGAGTAGGTTAAACGTTGAGTTTTATAAGAGCACCACGGGGTGACCAGTCCCTCCCCACCCAGCCCCACCCAGCCCCTCCCCACCCTCCCCTCCCCACCCAGCCCCTCCCTGCACGACGGACGGACGGACACAATAATCCCCTGTGGGCATGGTGTAACCAGAGGTTTCTACCAGTATAAATGTGTCTTTAAACCCACCAACACCCAAAACTTGGGTGTATTCTCCAACACACCGGTGTGCTGGACTAAGTAACACACTTACTAATTGGTTGTGTCGGTTGGTTGGAGTGATTTACGACACATTTAAATTTACGCAATCTAACCCATCAAAACCTCTATTATAGATGTTGATCAATCACTTGTGGCCAGGTCGCTTCTGAAAAAGATCAATATACATCTCAGCGGGCCTTACCTGGTAAAATAAAAATAGTAAAAATAAAACATAATAAAATAATTCTCACGACGTTTCGGCCACAACGCAAGCAGCCGTCCTCAGGTGAAGACCAGGTCTGTCAGAGGCTGTCTCCCCGACAGACCTGGTCTTCACCTGAGGACGGCTGCTTGCGTTGTGGCCGAAACGTCGTGAGAATTATTTTATTATGTTTTATTTTTATTATTTTATTACTTCCCTACTACGTGACGACTTTACCGAAAGAACCAAGAAGATGAATCCCTGCAGTCACGAAAGCTTTAAATCGAAATAAAAATAGTAGTTGGCAGTATCCACACTTCACACACACCACACGTGGCCCTGCCTACCGACCTTCATCCAACAGTGGATTGGCCATGACTGAACGTTATCTACTCTATAGCCTATAGCTTCTAGGACTCCTAGAGTACAGTGTATTGGGCTGTATTCAACGTTTTGCTCCCACCCTCCCCGTTCTACAATCTCAACAAAGCCCTCCGTATGCAGTGAAAAAACGGATTAAGAGTGCTCAAACTCGTGATATCAGCTGACTTGCGTCACGCGTGCCACCACCACCACCAAACCTCATGCTGCTGCTGCTTCACTGCTTCTCCGTCTTGTGCTTTGCAGTTCTTCCCATTGCACGCAGTTTCACACGCACAAGAAAGTTCAGGGATCTATGTTCGCTCACCGCCACCCACCCAATCAACCACTCAGACACCCAACCACCCACCACCACCCCCAAACACTTTTGTGGTGCCTTTTGCTGCATGTCACAGTGAAAATTCGTTCGGTGTCCGGCACGCACCGCAAAAGAATCAAAGAGTGACAGAGTGGAGGAGGAATACTACTTATAATAAGGCGATTTTGTGCTGCTATTTTTTTTGCTTTGTCTTAAGAGTTTGATTGCCATCGTCACCTCTGCTCGATAGGTACGTTATACAACCACAGAAGTCGAATGTTATATTAATATTGTGTGTGTGTGTACGTTGATGCATTTATAGATAGTCCATTCGATTTTGTTGGGAGAAATTCGTGTTCGATCATTTGTATGTATTGATCTTTCGGAGCCTCTTACATGCCACCATTCTCAACAGAGCTCGTTACATTTTTTTCTGTGCACCACTCGACGATTGTAAGACGTGGGAGCCATCTCTTTCACCGCGCTCATTAACCCGTGCGAGAAGAATTGAAGATGGACATTACGCATGCGTGGGATATCTATGAATGGATCGGCCTGGATATTAATTATTTCTGTTCAACGGTATCTTGGTAACTTTCGTCGATCTATGTTCCCATTATGCATGGCCTTGCGAGGTGTGCTATGTTACGGAGTCTATTTCATGAACTCACTTCTGCTTGGGGTGCGTATGTATCGTTCATCTTCTTGGTTCTTTCGGTAAAGTCACGTAGAAGGGAAGTAATAAAATAATAAAAATAAAACATAATAAAATTATTCTCACGACGTTTCGGCCACAACGCAAGAAGCCGTCTGCTTGCGTTGTAGCCGAAACGTCGTGAGAATTATTTTATTATGTTTTATTTTTATTATTTTATTACTTCCCTTCTACGTGACTTTACCGAAAGAACCAAGAAGATGAATCCCTGAAGTCACGAAAGCTTTAAATCGAAATTTATGTATCGTTCGTTGAAAGTTTCATTTTTGTGATGCGGATCGGTCTATGCCGTACATTGTGATCCATTTAAAGATCCACAGAATAGAATTCCGATTACTTTGTCAACAGGCGAGCTGGTTTGGTTTTTGGTTTATTTTGGCGCAGGTAAAAAAAACCCATTGGGCAGTATCTCCTACACACAATAGAGTCAGTAGTATCTACATGCCTACACACCCTACACACAATAAAGTCAGTAGTATCTACATGCCTACACACCCTACACACAATAGAATCAGTAGTATCTACATACATGCCTACACACCCTACACACAATAGAGTCAGTGGTATCTACATACATGCAGACACACCCTACATACAATAGAGTCAGTATCAAGGCCATAGCCATGGAGTCAACATTGAGGGGACCAAATCTTCCAGGGGTCTGGGACTCCCAATCCAGAAAAATATCAAAATTTTTAAACTAATTTCTCGTCTACAAATATTTTAAAAATTCACTAACACATGAAATGACTTTTTATTTATTTTTTACAATAATGTCTAATAGTGTATTGTATTACATTGCTCTGTTTTTACTTTTTTACCATTTCACGTTTCATTGTATGTAATGTTTGAGATTAGGGATTAATAAAGTACAACCATAACCACAATCATATAAACAGAAATGTATGCATTCATTTATATGAAGACAAGTCCAGATATTATGGCCAAGGTTTAGCAAATTGTTGTTTTTATTTACATAGCATAGCTATTATTATTACTTTTTTTATAGCAATATATTGGGGGGGGGGCATTTTGAGCATATTTGAATATTGGGGGGGGGGGGGGATTAAGGCCTTGGTCAGTAGTATCTACATATGGGGGGGGGGGGATAGAGGACATCAGTGGGGGCGATGGGCAAAGCACCGAGAAGGCCTCTGCAGGATCTAGAATAAGGCCGCCGACATTCTAGTATTTTAAAATTATTAAAGAGCACAGCATTTCAAATCACTGCGCATTGTTCTATTGTGATGCAATGTGTTGTGCCGTTTGTACTGTACTACACATATAGTTGTTTCGTTCTTGTCGACGCCTTGCTGAAGGCTTTAATTCGGCAGTGGATAGATCGTGGCTGCTGCTGATGATGGTGCAGCCAATAAACACATTCCTGCAGAGGGAGCTGGTAGGAACGTTGGGTTGCTCGGTCAATGGCCAGGGTGTATTCCACAAATATGCCCGACTGTGAGGGCGGGCACAAGCCGGCGTGAGTAGGTTAAAAGTTGAGTTCTATAAGGGCACCACGGGGTGACCAGCCCCTCCCCTCCCCACCCAGCCCCACCCCACCCCTCCGCACCCAGCCCCTCTCCACCCTCCCCATCCAGCCCCTCCCCACCCAGCTCCTCCCACCCCTCACCCAGCCCCACCCTCCCCACCCTCCCCACCCAGCCCCTCCCCACCCTCCCCTCTCCTACCAGCCCCTCCCCACCCTCCCTTCCCCAACCAGCCCCACCCTCCCCACCCAGCCCCTCCCCACCCTCCCCTCTCCTACCAGCCCCTCCCCACCCTCCCTTCCCCAACCAGCCCCACCCTCCCCACCCAGCCCCTCCCCACCCAGCTCCTCCCACCCCTCACTCAGCCCCACCCTCCCCACCCTCCCCACCCAGCCCCTCCCCACCCTCCCCTCTCCTACCAGCCCCTCCCCACCCTCCCTTCCCCAACCAGCCCCACCCTCCCCACCCAGCCCCTCCCCACCCTCCCCTCTCCTACCAGCCCCTCCCCACCCTCCCTTCCCCAACCAGCCCCACCCTCCCCACCCAGCCCCTCCCCACCCAGCTCCTCCCACCCCTCACTCAGCCCCACCCTCCCCACCCTCCCCACCCAGCCCCTCCCCACCCTCCCCTCTCCTACCAGCCCCTCCCCACCCTCCCTTCCCCAACCAGCCCCACCCTCCCCACCCAGCCCCTCCCTCCCCTCCCCACCCAGCCCCTCCCCACCCTCCCCTCCCCACCCAGCCCCTCCCTGCACGACGGACGGACGGACACAATAATCCCCTGTGGGCTGGTGTAACCAGGAGGTTCCTGCCAGTATTAACCCCGGTGTGTGCGAGTCATGGCGAAGTATGGTCACGTATGTGTTGAATGGTGCGCTCATGTTGCACATGCCGTCTTCTAAAGACTGTCAGACACTCCCCCAATTTTTGCCTTCAAATACAGAAGGGGGGGGGGGCGGGGAGGTGGGTAAAAATGCGAATTAAAATCCAGAAAATATGGATTACTGAGTTCGGTAAGTGAAATTAAAAATACAGGAATGCATGCATTGCATTTTCGGAATGTGCGTGGTCACCTTTAAAGAGATTAACATCTTCCAAAAATGTGAAACGAGAGACATTAATCTTCAATGTAATTTACCCACATACAAGCAATGCAGCACCATTTTTTCCCCCCGTGATGCTTTTGATGGTAGGCTGTGTAGTTTCGCGTCCTCACCTCCCCCCTGCGCGTCTCATAATACCGAACGATTATGTCCAGCCCTATTGCAACTATTGAAATTACAAGAATTAATAATTCATTGCAACAGATAAGGGGCCGTCCATAAATGACGTCACGCACCTGGAGGGAGGGGGGGGGGGGTTTGAGTCAGACATTTGTGACGATGTGTGACGAGGGGGGGGGGGTTTGATTGAGACATGTGACGTCACATCAAAATGCGCAACTTTAAGTAAATATAGAATTGTTATAACAACACTCCTACAACATCAGAGGTTAAAGCGATTTGAAGCATTTTTTATTTTCAAAATGGAAATATGGTTTTGGGGGAGGGGGCAGAGCTTTGTGACGTCATATATTAGGGGGGGTCTGACTTTTTGTGACGCCGTGTAACGAGGAGGGGGGGGTCAAAAATCGTCCGAAATCGCGTGACGTCATTTATGGACGGCCCCATAAGTGACCCCATTTGCGCAGAGGTCAGACCACTGAGCTGGCACGGCTGAGGTTCTCAGGCGCAGTTAGTCGATGGCTTCTCAGCTCAGTCACAGCGGAATTCGTGAAAACCCGTGACGTTAAATCTGTTTGCTCTTTCTTTGGCCAAATTACAGCCGTGAGAATGAACACATTCCTGCGGAGGGAGCTGGTAGGAACGTTGGGTTGCTCGGTCAATGGCCAGGGTCAACGGCGGCGTGGTGTATTCCGCAAATATGGCCGACTGTGAGGGCGGGCACAAGCCGGCGTGAGTAGGTTAAACGTTGAGTTTTATAAGGGCACCACGAGGTGACCAGCCCCTCCCCACCCAGCCCCACCCCTCTCACCCAGTCACTCCCCACCCACCCTCCCCACCCAGCCCCCCCCCCTCCCCACCCAGCCCCTCCCTGCACGACGGACACAATAATCTCCTGTGGGCTGGTGGCACCAGGTGGTTCCTACCAGTATAATCGGTTAGCCTATCGTGTGATGCCAATGCGTCAGATCTCCGAAGCTAAGCAGAGTTGAATTCGGACGGTGCTTGGATGGGCTACGTTGTCGTCTTCACTAACATGTACTGAGTAGTGTGGTGAAGTATGGTCAAACAGCCCCCACGACCCGCACATGGCATGGGAGTCGCCAGCAGCTCAGACACCGAGTTGATGTATGATGTATTCAAGGGGTGCCACGTGGCGAGATGTTAACTACCTCGCCTGGAATGCAGGAGATCGTGGGTTCGATCCCGACCCTGACGCCTGTATGTTAGGAGTTTGCGTGTTCTTCCCGTGGTCGCGTGGATTTCTTCTCTGAATCCTCCAGTTTTTCTCCCCTCCACGTTTAGAAACATACGTTTAGAGTATATGGCTCTGCAAAATTTCCACGTGTTAAGCCACTTCATTGAGTTATCATTTATGGCCAGGTCCATGCTAAAGAAGACGCTAATAATCTCAGTGGGTTCATACTCTTTGGTCTTTTTAGGTAAAGTCACGTAGGTAAAAAATAAAATAAATGAAAACTAAATTAAATCACAACGTTTCGGCTTGTGTTGCCTCCGAAACGTCGTGATTTAATTCAGTTGTTTTCATTTATTTTATTTTTTACCTACGTGACTTTACCGAAAAAACCAAAGAGTATGAATCCTTGCAGTCACGAAAGTTTCAAATCTAGAAGCTCAGTGAGCTTTACCTGGTAAAATAAAAAATAGTTTCGTTTCAATTGTAAATGTTTTCGTGATAATTTGCATACATTTTCCTAAACGTTTCACTCTTATCGTGTTTGTTTGCTGTTGTAACGTTTTGACCCCGTGCCCTTGCTGGACATCTGTGAGCTTTGTCGCTCATCGGATTCCTCCTGCAGTACGAATACATCCGATTATGTGCGTGACCGCTGCTGCTTGCGCGTTGTACGTGGCGTGGCTGCGCGTGTTTCGTGTGTGGCAGGGAAGAGCGGAGGAGTGGGTGGGGAGCAGCCTTTTCCGACAAGCCGACATGGACCCAAGTCTTGGCAGCAGTGCTGCTCGCTGCATCTTAGGGGCCTCGTCAACGCTTCTGTTGCTGCTCCGTCTGGACTACGCCGTGGGGCACGAGGCTGGGACAGGCGCCCACCACTCCAACCACATGCGTGTTAGACGAGATGATGAAACGGGTAATGCCCTTAGTTCTTTCGGTAAAGTCACGTAGGTAAAAAATGAAATTAAAATTAATAAAAAATAAAACACTCGATGCAGCAAATCTGGCTGTGACGGTCCCACCTGATGACGGAGACTTGTGTTGCCTCCGAAACGTCGTGATTTTTTTGTTTTTCATTGTTTTATTTTTATTAATTTTAATTTCATTTTTTTACCTACGTGACTTTACCGAAAGAAATGAGAGTATGAATCCTTGCAGTCACGAAAGCTTCAAATCTAAAATGGGTAATAGTCATACTAATTTCGTATGTACCGTAGAAGCCCTCTTAACGACCGTCATTTGTTCCACGAAATTTGGTCGTTAAGTGATTTGGTCGTTAAGCGAGTATAGGGAATACACGTCGACGGCGTAATACTGTACTGGTAGGAACCTCCTGGTTACGCCAGCCCACAGGGGATTATTGTGTCCGTCGTGCAGGGAGGGGCTTCATCCGGCACTGTGCACAGTGCTTCTATACACCCACGTCAACGCAGCTCACCAATCTGCCGAGTAAAACTTGGGTAGAAGTGTAAAGTAACCACTGCGCTGTTATACATCGTATTGTAGAATCATACCGATGCGTTACTGTGTAATGAGAGAACGTTCGCGCACTGGTTAGGGGGAGTGATTAGACTCCTTTGGGACGTGGAAGCTTTGACGAGCGGCTGTCCAGCATTCACGTGCTGCTGATTTTGGGAGCGACATCCTTGGCTTACCCCCAACACTTCTCTTCGTTCACCACAACCTCCGGCCATATAAGCCAGGGACTCCCCCAGCCGTATATTAAACACACCCCCCACCCCCGCCCGCCGCCTCTTCTTCCTCGCCACGACGTTATAACAACAAAAATTACGAATCTTCTACCAACGCGATTTTTCTATGTACAACGAAACAACGAATTCTCTCATCCACGCCTCCAACGGATTGTCTAGCACCCTCCCCCCACCGCCTCCCATCAATCAGGACGTGTCAGATTCACGGGACTGGCGGGATATTGTTTTGTTGTTGTTGTTGTCACCCAACGTTCTACTCCGGGCCTTTGTTTCTTGTGTACAGAAAAAAAAATCTCATAAAAAAACGAGGGATTACTACACACTGTGAATAGGTGAACTCAACCGCAGGGAGGGAGAGGGGGGGGGGGGTGACAATAATAATCCATCCAGTGGATAACAAGTAAACCCGTAAAAACAAAGTTTTTCACTATAAATCCTTTATATGCGTGGCATCGGGGCGGCTAGAGTCCTCTCGTCCTCTGGCTTGAGATGGCTGCCACCTATGGGTCAGATGATTGTCTGGCAGCATTAAGCAATTGGTAATTAAATATTTCAAAAATTTTCCCTAAACAGTGTAAAATTTTGGTTTTCACGAAAATAAATTGTCACGCACAACGAGTCTGTGTGCAAAATGTCAGCTCGATTGGATCACGGGAAGTGGGTTAACAAACGACCGAAAGATTTGCACGGTCCTAAGCAAGCAAGCAAGCGAACTTAATATAAAGGATTTAAAAAGGAGGAGGATCGGGCGAAAAGGGTCGCGGATGACTTCGGCCGTGAAGAAAACAACAAAAAGAAAAGACGAAAGGGATTTCCGATGCGTGTGACGACCACGGAGGGCGGAGGGACGTCGCCTGGGGCTTGACGATATCCGCACCTTCTTGGTTCTTTCGGTAAAGTCACGTAGAATGGAAATAAAAAAATAATAAAAATAAAACATAATAAAATAATTCTCACGACGTTTCGGCCACAACGCAAGCAGCCGTCCTCAGGTGAAGAACAGGTCTGTGGGAAAGACAGCGTTTTCACCTGAGGACGGCTGCTTGCGTTGTGGCCGAAACGTCGTGAGAATTATTTTATTATGTTTAATTTGTATTATTTTATTATTTCCCTTCTACGTGACTTTACCGAAAGAACCAAGAAGATGAATCCCTGCAGTCACGAAAGCTTTAAATCGAAAGATATCCGCACCCCCTCGAAATCGAGTGGCCGAGATTGGGTCGAAAGATTCTCGACCGGAGATGATCAGCAGCAGCAGCTACAAACACCATCAGGAATGAATGATGATGATGATTTAGACTGAAAACTTTCGTGACTGCAGGAATTCATATTCTTTGGTTCTTTCGGTGAAGTCACGTGGATAGAAATAATAAATATAAAGTTAATAAAAAAATATCACGACGTTTCGATCGCAACACAAGCGAACTGTTTTTTTTTTATAAAGGTTTGCCTTTAGAGGCTAAACCCCCTTTCCTGATGACGGCCGCTTGTGTTGCGATCGAAACGTCGTGATATTTTTCTAATTTTTAATTCACTTGATTTTTATTATTTTATTGTTATTATTTTTTCTATCTACGTGACTTTACTGAAAGCAACCAAAGAATATGAATGATGACGAGGCTGACGCCGACGATAAGTGGCTACGTGCTGGGGGTGATCGTCACGATGTCCGTCGCGCAGGAAACGACACGGGGTGCGTGGGACCTGCTTCGGACGAGTTCCCCCCCGGCTTCTTCACTCCGGAGGAACAGCGTGAGGGCGGTGTCCTCATCTACATCCTCATCGCCCTCTACCTCCTCCTCGCCATCGCCATCGTGTGCGACTATTACTTCCTGCCCTCGCTAGAACTCATCAGCGATCGTGAGTCGGCGCGGCTGCGGAGGATACGCGGATCTAGAGGGTTGCCAGGGTGGCGAATGAGGTGGGGGTAAGGTTTGGGGGGGGGGGGAGATTGGTTAAAAAATTAACCCGTTAAAACAAAGTTTTTCACTATAAATATTTATATGCGTGGCATCGGTTTTATTTTATTATTCATTTCTGTTTTTTTTTAGTAAGGATTTCATTTTTATCACATTGGTCTTTTTAATTAAATATAAGGAAAGTCGTATATGAGGATTATAAGGTTTTCAGTCTTTGTATGATTGTTTATATTGTACATTTTTGTTGGCTTGAGATGGCTGCCACATATGGGTCAGATGATTGCCTGCCACCATTAAGCAATTGGAAATTACATATATATTTTTCCTAAAATGTTGAACATTTTGGGAAAAAACTTTCACGAAAATAAATTGTCACGCACAACGAGTCTGTGTGCAAAATGTCAGCTCGATTGGATCACGGGAAGTGGGTTAAAAAACGACCGAAAGATTTGCACGGTCGTAAGCGCGCAAGCAAGCAAGCAAGTGAACTTAATATAAAGGAAGATAAAAAGTGCTTGCCGCAAGTGAACCGCATTACCTCGCTGATCTCGTCAAGGAGCGTAAACCACCACGTGAACGCAGCGGCGGATTTTGGCTAATCGTGCAACAAAGGCGGTCAGATGCGCTTCTGCGGCCGTCTGGAACGCTCTTCCTTCCGACATTAGGAAGTCTACAGCTGGGCGCGAAAGAAGTTCAACAGACGTGCATGCATACATACAAATAGCGACCTACATTAATTAACAACAATAGATAAATACTTTCAATGCATTTCCGCTGGTAAATATCAATAAGATCAATAAAATAGTTTATATTTACCAGTAGGGTCTAAAGGGTGATTACCCATCGACCCGACTCCCCTGCCTAGGCTGGGCAAATGGGACATTGTCCAAGGCCCACAATCGAAAGAAGGGGCCCACAATAAAAAAAAATAAGTGTAAGCTGGTGACGTGGCCAAGTGGGTAGGTAGCAACGCCACGTATTGAAGACATTCTCGCGGCTTTAACACCAGTGGCCGCCCCGGTAAATATTGCCCATCCAGCTTCCGAGATTTGACAAAAACCTGGCGATGTGATTGTTTCGAATTCAATAATTTTGCGAGTGATTTTTTGTTGTTGTTGCAAATTTGGACCGCGACAGCCAACGTGGCATGGCATATACTCCCTTTAAAAAATAATAATTTACCGACATCAAGGGGTCCTTAACGTCCACTGCGAAGCAGACGGCGCGTACGTGTGCTCTATTCACCCACAGTGTCGACCGGCGGTGTCCGCTGGGGCTAGAACAACGAACCTCTGCGACGGGCGGCAAATCCACAAATTGTTCGGTGCATCAAGACGCACCCTTGCCCGCTTGCGGACATTATAACAACAATAAAAGATGACTGTAGCTTCGTCCATTCGTACAATAACAACTTCAAGGTCGTGATTGTTCATTGCGCCGAGTTTTATTGAACCGTAAAAATCGGTCAATGCAAACAATAAAATATGGCAATCTAAACAGAACAGCAGTTTTAAATGATCCAATTTTGTTTCTCGAAATTGCAATCACCATTTGTAAAACAATTACAGTAATAGCTTTTTTTTTGCTCCATTTCTAATCGATTTTATAGACTTTTGTTTCAGCTTAAATAATGCATTGCTACTTTTATTGTAAATTCCCCACATTATAATAGTAACACTGCTAAATGATAAAAAAAATACCACTGCTTTTAAACTCCGCAATCGGGATGTCTGAGTTTTTTGGTTCAAGTTCAAGTTCATTTATTAGGTATAGCTCTGTGAGCCATTCAGCTCTTGAATCGGGTGCAACCGCAACAAACAAAAAACAAAAACATGAACAAGAAAACATCTTCAAGTGACTATGTGCAAACAGAAAATCCAAGAAAAGACAGCAAAATATTGCAGAAAAAGCACCATCCACCAACACTGTGTGCAAAAATCCCAGTGGGATGCAAGTCAAACCACAACAACCACAAGGCAACTTAGATTAAGGCCATCAGTCTAACTCCGTACTACAACAAACAAACATGTCTAAAGGCAAAACACTTTTCAAAATCACCAAAATAAAGCCATAAAAGTCAACCAACAACAACCACAAGACAACTTAGATTAAGGCCATCAGTCTAACTCCGTACTACAACAAACAAACATGGCCAAACCGAAAAAACTTTGAGTCTTGAGTGTTTCACTGAGCCTTTATCATCACGTGATGCTGCCTTGATGATGTAAATTCAGTGGTTCTTCACCTTGACCACAGCCTTGCACCCCTTTGGTTCTCAATGCTAATGTTTTTTTACAATGTCAATAAACACACAGGGTTTGATGAAACAAATTAGTTGTACTTCCGTGCCCCGTGCTTAATTTGTGTTTTCGATTATTTATCTTCTCAAAAAAGTCTGGCCACGTCTCTCGCACTCCCAGAAAGGGCACGCTCAGAAAAGTTCAACACACACACACGTGTGTGTACGTCAGCATGGATGAGTAGGACAAAATGCCCTCTCGAACGGCTCTCTTTATTGATCTTCTTGGTTCTTTCGGTAAAGTCACGTAGAATGGAAATAATAAAATAATAAAAATAAACCTATAAAATAATTCTCACGACGTTTCGGCCACAACGCAAGTAGCCGTCCTCAGGTGGAGTGGCATGAGCGAGCAATTTCAGGCCTGCGCTTTTACCTTTCTACTCATGTAATCGCAGTGCATACACTGCAGCGTTCTGCAGTTGCGAGCTCAGTACACAATCACACGGTCACGACTTTTCAGACTTATTTTTGCTTTGTGAAACGCTTCGTGCGAAGCATTTTTTTGTACGTTCACAACTAGAATTGTAAGAAACTCGGTTCCAAGAGGTATAATTAAACCTTTTGAAAAGCTGTAATTTGGCTTCACATTTATCTGTACTAGGTCATCGTGGTTATGAAGATTATAGAGATGCACGTGGCATATTCTCTGGAATACAAAGCAAACGTCTTTTTCTGCAAATTACTCGAATGTGACTATGCAAAGCAATCATTGCCCCCTACTGGCAGACTAACTCCCCAGGTCACACTTGCAAATGTATGTGTGTGTGTTGAACTTAGATTTGAAGCTTTCGTGACGGAAAGGATTCATACTCTTAGGTTGTTTCGGTAAAGTCACGTAGGTAAAAAATAAAATAAAAATTCAGGTGGAACCGTCACAGCACGATTGCTGTATCAAGTAATACTACGATTGCTGAATCAAGTAGCACTTGATACAGCAATCGTGCTGTGACGGTTCCACCTGAAGACGGAAGCTTGTGTTTATCCGAATCGTCGTGATTTTTTATTTTACTTTTATTAATTTTAATTTTATTTTTTACCAACGTGACTTTCCCGACAAAACCTAAGAGTATGTGTTGAACTTCTTTCGCACCGTACGTAGCCGACCGTGCAAATTGAGCTCTCAGCCGGTGAAACAAAATAAACGTGAACTTTAAAAACCCCCTTGCTGACCCGTCCACACCGGACGTCTGTTGTAAAAGAGCTTCACGGCTCATCGGATTCCTCCGGTCTAAATAAACATTCTGATAAACGCATTATATCGTCAAACAACTCCCATGGCTAACAACAGCACGGGGTAGTCTTCGTCCAGCGGTGGATCGACAAATCGCTGCAAATGTGCGTTGCGTGACCTGACCATGCTTTGTCCCCCCCCCCCCCCATCTTTCTGTCTTCCTGACACAGGCCTCGGTCTCACGCTGGATGTGGCAGGAGCCACATTCATGGCGGCTGGCAGCTCGGCACCGGAGATGGTTACCGCATTCCTAGGTCTGACACTGCCACTGACACGCACTTAGTAGGACGCGCACTTAGTGGGAGAGACGCGGTACCCACTGGGATTTTTTTTTGCACACGGCGTTGACGTACGGTGATTTTTCTTCTGCAATGTTTTGCTGTCTTTTCTTGGATTTCTTTTTGCATTTCGATTTAAAGCTTTCGTGACTGCAGGGATTCATCTTCTTGGTTCTTTCTTGCACTTAGTCACATATTCACTTTAAGATGTTTTTTGTAAAAACATTTTTTTTTGTTGCGGTTGCACCCGATTCAAGAGCCGAATGGCACACAGGGCTATACCTAATTCTAGATTTGAAGCTTTCGTGACTGCAACGATTCATATTCTTAGGTTTTTTCGGTAAAGTCACGTAGGTAAAACATCAAAATTAATAAAAATAAAATAAAACAAAGATCACGACGTTTCGGAGGCAACACAAGTCTCCGTCATCAGGTGGGACCGTCACAGCCAGATTAGCTGCATCAAGTGAGGCAATGATTCAAGATGTAATCCCTTAAAAGCGAGTTGAGGGGGGAGGAGAGGGGGGGGAGATCATCAGAATGTGGTACCTAATAACTGAAAACTGAAACACACACAAATAACCCCATCCAGTATAGCCTCGACATACTGTTGGGGCTACGCAAGGGTCGTGCGTCTGCCGCGCGGGTTATCACGGCGTGCCCGTGCGTTTCCCTTTGCCGTCTCCGCGCAGGTGTGTTCGTGACCAAGGGGGACATCGGAGTCAGCACGATCGTGGGTTCGGCCATCTACAACCTGCTGGGAATTTGCGCGATCTGCTGCCTGCTGTCGCCGTCGGTACATAAGCGCGGCCCCCCCCCCCGCTCCGTACGCCGCCGGGAGACACCGCATTTATTGCCCATTTGACTCGTAGAAACTCGAAACAAATCGCCCGATCTTCTTGGTTCTTTCGGTAAAGTCACGTAGAAGGGAAATAATAAAATAATAAAAATAAAACATAATAAAATAATTATCAGGACGTTTCGGCCACAACGCAAGCAGCCGTCCTCAGGTGAAGACAGTGTCATTCAGACACTGTCTCCTCGACAGACCTGTTCTTCACCTGAGGACGGCTGCTTGCGTTGTGGCCGAAACGTCGTGAGAATTATTTTATTATGTTTCATTTTTATTATTTTATTATTTCCCTTCTACGTGACTTTATCGAAAGAACCAAGAAGAGGTTCAAGTTAATAAAACGAAAATAAACAAAACACGACGACGTTTCGATCACAACACAAGCGATCTGTTTTTTTCCTGATGACGATCGCTTGTGTTGTGATCGAAACGTCGTCGTTTTTTGTTTATTTAATTTTTTTATTAATTTGAACCTATCAACGTGACTTTACCGAAATACCCAAAGAATAGGGGCAAATGTGTTGTTTGTGAATATCGGGCCTTGTTTAACAAAAACAAAAACCTTGACAATTTGGGGGCGGTTAGGTTTGTAGATACGTCTCTGCGTGTCGAGTGGGCGTTTGCTACATCTTCAAAGATTCTAGATTTGAAGCTTTCGTGACTGCAATGATTCATATTCTTAGGTGTTTTTTTTTCGGTAAAGTCACGTAGGTAAAAAACATTAAAAAGTAAAATAAAATAAAAATCTACCACCTTCTCCAACCATTATATAAACGGAGTGGTAGCTTCTGCAATCTCTCATTTACTTGATACAGCTGTCGTGGCTGCGACGGTACCACCTGAAGACGGAAGCTTGTGTTGCCTCCGAAACGTCGTGATTTTTATTTTATTTTACTTTTTAATGTTTTTTACCTACGTGACTTTACCGAAAAAAACCTAAGAATATCTTCAAAGACGCCTGGCCTGGCGTCGAAGGGTGGGCAAAAGCACCCCCTGTGGTGGAGGCCCTTTTGCCAGAAGCGGTCACTCGAGCGGGTGACGTGACGGCTGCGCCTTTGACGTTTATGCTGCCGTTGATCAGAATCAGAATGTTTATTTAGACTCCAGGAGGAATCAGATCTCCAGTACGGGCGGGTCAGCAGGTCACAACAGCAAACAATACACAAAAACACGATCGGAATGCAAAATAGAGAAAATGGTTAGCAAGTCACGAAACTGAATTAATGAATTATTTTTTTAAATTGATGAATGCATTGATCGAGTGTATAAGTCCGGTGTTATCAAGCTTGGGAAAAGTAGCAAAAACAACAACAAAAGCAGTCCCAGACCATATGCTACTTTACACCACACTATACAACACTATACACTACACTATACACTACGATACACTACACTATGCACTACATTATACACTACACTATACACTACACTATACACTACTATACACTACACTACTATATACTACACGACTGTACACTACACTATACACTACTATAAACTACACTATACACTACACTACTATACACTACACTATTATACACTACACTATACACTACGCTACTATACATTACGCTACTTTACACTACACTATACACTACGATACACTACACTACTATATACTACACTACTATACATTACTATACACTACAATATACACTTCTATACACTACACTATACACTCCACTACTTTACACCACACTATACACTACACTATACACTAAACTACTATACACTACACTATACACTACACATCGGGCTTTCTGGGGGCCCGTCGTGAAGCGATTAGTCGTTAACAGGGGTGATCGTTAAGAGGAGTTTCTACTGGATACGCCTCTATCCGGCTGGCCGTAATACGACGCTCGCTTGCCTTGGCTGCATCCCCCGGTCAAACGGGCAACATAGGCACGTTCTTTAAAAAAATAACCGGTAAAAACAAAGTTTTTCACTATAAATCCTTTATATGCGTGGCGGCTAGATTCCTCTCGTCCTCTGGCTTGAGATGGCTGCCACCTATGTGTCAGATGATTGCATGGCAGCATTAAGCAATTGGTAATTAAATATAATATTTTTGTCCTAAAAAGTGTAAAATTTTGGAAAACAAATTTCACGAATATTAATTGTCACGCACAACGAGTCTGTGTGCAAAATGTCAGCTCGATTGGATCACGGGAAGTGGGTTAAAAAACGACCGAAAGATTTGCACGGTCGTAAGCAAGCAAGCAAGTGAACTTAATTTAAAGGATTAAAAAAGTTATTTGCCGCTGACATACGAGGCCCTTCCCACGGCCTCGCACCGGTGTAACATTCAGCAAACTGACACGCCTCGAATTGCCCCGTATGAAATGTGAATGACCATTGCTGCTGTTGCTGTTATTATTTCCCAATGCCTGGTTTGGGTGCCGCGTTCATCGGCGGCGTGCGTCCGCGTTGTTCAAGGCCTCGCCTCTCTCACATTGGCCCCTGCTGCGAGACTCCTTGGCATACGCTGTGAGCGTGGCCGTGCTCATTGGCTGCATACACGATGGGAAGGTGCACTGGTAAGTCGTGCCCATACACACCGCACAAACAAAGATCCCCCGTATAGCCTGAACAGACTGTAGGGGCAAGTGCTGTTAGCGAGCACCTATGAAGGCCGGAACGGTACACGAGGGGGTGGGTGGGCCAGCACCACGCCCGACCGCCTTTGTCTCCCTAGCGGCGATGTTTACACACCGCACCAGGTACTCATTTGAGGCTGAGTCGACCTAGGGGAGGCCCGGGACCGGTTCAGATAATCGTCGCTGATGTTGGCCGTGAGCGGGGAATCGAACCCGGGTCGCCGGGTTCATAGCGCAGCGTAGCGCTAACCGCTACACTACCGCACACACACACACATACCACGCAAGAGGGCTGAACGATTAATCGATTTCACATGGAAATCGCAATTTGAAACAATGAGATGAGCAAATCGCAAAGGCTGCGATTTTTTGCGATTTGAAAAGTCCTATTACTTTCTTATTTTATTATTTATTATTATAACGCGTGAATAATTACTTGATGTGCATTACGGGGGCAGATTTGATTCACATTCCGCGCTGCGAAGACAGCCTGGCGGGCCAACGTGGCGTGATCCACGTTATAACGGGAAGCAGTCCACGTTATAACGGGACGCGGCCCGCGTTATAACAGGACTCGTTTCACGTTATAATGGGGCGTGGTCCTCGTTATAACGGGGTGTGATCCACGTTATAATGGGACTCGTTTCATGTTATAATGGGACTCGTTTCACGTTATAATGGGACTCGTTTCACGTTCTAATGGGGCGTGGTCCTCGTTATAATGTGACTCGTTTCATGTCATAATGTGACTCGTTTCACGTTATAACGGGACTCGTTTCACGTTACAATGGGACTCGTTTCACGTTATAATGGGACTCGTTTCACGTTCTAACGGGACTCGTTTCACGTTACAATGGGACTCGTTTCACGTTATAACGGGACTCGTTTCACGTTATAACGGGACTCGTTTCACGTTATAACGGGACTCGTTTCACGTTATAACGGGGCTCGTTTCACGTTACAATGGAACTCGTTTCACGTTATAACGGGCGTGGTCCCGCATTATAACAACGGCCACATTCCGCATTGTGCGAAAGTTGTCCCCGAATAGAAGAACCGTGTCACAGCGACAACGCAACGAGCGAGTTCTTATCGTACAGTACTTCTATGCTCCTTAACCTTTACCAATCCGCACTGACCAGTGTGGTGACGTACGGGAAAATAACCCCCACGACCGATGCGGCAATCGGGAGGCCCTCATCCAGCAGTGGATTTACAAAAGGGCTGTACATGTACATTTTCAGCCGAACCACTTTCTATACCAGCGGTGGGGAACCTTTTTAAATCCTTTATATTAAGTTCACTTGCTTGCGTGCTTGCTTGCTTACGACCGTGCAAATCTTTCGGTCGTTTTTTAACCCACTTCCCGTGATCCAATCGAGCTGACATTTTGCACACAGACTCGTTGTGCGTGACAATTAATTTTCGTGAAAAAATTGTTCCAAAATTTTACACTGTTTAGGGAAAACAAATTAAATATTTAATTACCAATTGTTTAATACTGCAGACAATCATCTGACCCATAGGTGGCAGCCATCTCAAGCCAGAGGACGAGAGGATTCTAGCTGCCACGCATATAAAGGATTTATAGTGACAAACTTTGTTTTTACGGGTTAATTTTTTTCTGACTTAATTTGGAGCTTTCGTGACTGCAGGAATTATTCTTTGGTTATGTTATCCGACTCTCTGTTGTATGACATTACATTTCTAAGTATACTAGATTTGTGTTTCTATTTAATTTATACCTGATGACGATTGCTTGTGTTGCAATCGAAACGTCGTATGCTAGTATTTAATTTAATTTATTATTTTATCTTTATACGTGACTTTACCGACAGAACCAAAGAATAACCTTTTTTCTGCCAAGGGCCATTTGGATATTTATGTGACATCATTCGCGGCCCATACAAAATTATCAACTTAAAAATGAGCCCGTTATATTTGGTCAAGCATTTAATGAACTCGCCCCTAATGCGATGGGCTGGAACTGCTTCTCTCTGGCGAGGCGTGTTATGTTAGCTGGTGTTGATGATGATGTTGCTGCTACTCGCAACTGCTTTTCCAGGTTTGCTCCGAGATTTATTGAATTTCGAGTCCCGCCTGCGGTTGCCTTGGCAGGGCCACACCAAATGATTTCACGGGCCTTGTGCGGCCCGCGGCCCGGACGTTCCCCACACCTGATCTACACTGCAGTCATTGATGACGCACTTAGACACTCTCCTTGCCTAGCCCCTGCTTAGCTTCGGAGATCGGACGCACCATGCGGCGCGTGTGTTACAGGCCACGGGAGGTCAGCCCCGTGTCGGTCATCGCCGCTTTCGCCAACCCGCGCTGACCGGCGTGGTGAAGTACGTTCAAATTTTCTTGGTTCTTTCGGTAAAGTCACGTAGAAGGGAAGTAATAAAATAATAAAAATAAAACATAATAAAATAAAATAATTCTCACGACGTTTCGGCCACAACGCAAGCAGCCGTCTTAACCTGAAGATGGCTGCTTCAAAATAATAAAAATAAAACATAATAAAATAAAATAATTCTCACGTTTCGGCCACAACGCAAGCAGCCGTCCTCAGGTGAAGGACGGTTGCTTGCGTTGTGGCCGAAACGTCGTGAGAATTATTTTATTTTATTATGTTTTATTTTGTATTATTTTATAACTTCCCTTCTACGTGACTTTACCGAAAGAACCAAGAAGATGAATCCCTGCAGTCACGAAAGCTTTACGTTCAAATTGACTCCCTTTCGGCCAGCGACGCTGTGGGTCGGGGAGGCGTTCACCCAGCAGTAGATTTTGACACCGGGCCCCCTCGTGCACGAGTGTGGGGGGCTTTAAAAAAAAATTGGGCTGCGGCGAGATTCGTTTTTAATCTATCATAGCAAAGATAGCGAAGTAATTACTGGGGGGGGGGTGTCCTTTTGAGTTATTTTTCTCATTCTGCGAGCTGCGGCCACGTAAGAAGACAGATAGCTCTGCTGCCATTTAGTCCATTGACTCAGTTAATTAAACCCGGCCGCCACCGCCGCCGCCACCGCCAAAAAAAAAATCTCGCACCGCGCATTGTACGAGTGTACGGAATGAAAGGAGAGGGGCGAGGAGGGGGGGGGGTGATGCGTCCCCCCCCCCCAGCTCTCTTCTTTCCATCCAGGTGTGAGCAGAATGGGTAATGATCGTGGCCCCGTTTAGTGTCACCGTGCTATTGATTCGCCACCCCCCCCCGGCCCCCACCACCACCTCTCGGAGACTGAAGACGACTCACCGGTAACTTCAAAGGGAGGGCAACGTTTTTTAGCGAAATTTGACGGGTTTTTCGTGCAGAATTAGACCTTTGAAATGCTAAATATGTAGCCTCTAAGCAGGCGACATGGTTTTTGTGTTGGCTCGGATTGCAATAAAATAAACCGGCGCTGAGACGATTGGTCGATCAAATGACCGTATCGAATTAAAGATTTATTTTTTTGTTAAAGATTTATTTTCTTGTTGCGTGTTCGATTACCGGGGCCCCTTTGAAAATGACGGCCAATCTCTCAGAATGCGATGCCCAGCTGCCGCCTTTGTGGACGTACTGGTCCCTGCCATAGGAATGTGGCAGGGACTGTCGCCTTCATAAGATGATCAGGAGGACCCCATTGGAACCTCATTTGCCAGTAAAAAATATGATAATTGTTTTTTTACCCTTTTATCTGGCAACAAAACTGACACCTTTTTTTACTGGCAAATGAGGTTCCAATGGTGTAAATGCTTACCCCGAGCTCTCATACTCTGATGGTGCATTGTCTTTGAGTTGTGCGCCTTTTGGCGTAATCTGGTCCAACACCATGTGAGACTAGGCTCTAAGGAAAGCTGTCTCGGGTGTGGACCAATCAAATTCAAGGGCAGTGCACACATTATCAGAGTTGTGTTTTTTGTTTGCATTATGACTGCAGGTATTGTGGTCTATGCAAACAGAAGGACCCTTTAACATTTTTTTTTTACTCTTATCTTGAAAATGATCAAAATTCAACACCAATAAGGTTGGTCACGTGGCTCATGGGTCGGAGCATCGCCGAGGTCCTGGCTCGCGATTTCCGGCTTCAGTCGCCCTGTGGTTGCGTCGGGCTGAACGATTAATCGATTTCAAATCGATTTCAAATCGATTGATCGATTTCAAATCGATTGATCGATTTCAAATCGATTGATCAATTTCAAATCGATTGATCGATTTCAAATGGATTAATCGCAATTTGAAACAATGCGATTAGCAAATCGCAAAGGCTGTGATTTTTTTGCGATTTGAAAAGTTTGATTGCTTTCTTATTGGAATTTGTTTATTTTTTATTATTATAACTTTATTTATTTAACTTAATAATTGTTTTATGTTTGATTGTTCTATTTCAATTAAAACATTTTAATAAATACATGTTGGAAGCAATTCATATCTTTTAAGTTCTCATCCTTGCATTAGAATATATAGAGCAGTTCATATTTTGATGGCATCATGTGGTAATGCTCCATCACATGTGTTAAATCTATCACACAGTGAACATTGAACTGAAGCTTGACCTTAAAAAACATTAATCGCAAATAAAATCGCAACCGCAATATCTTTCAGAAAAATCGCAATTAGATATTTTCCCCAAATCGTTCAGAGCCGAGTGGAGTGGAGGTGGTGGTCTCAGGCTGGTCAAAAATGACCGCACCAATTTTTTTTTTTCAATGAAATATTAAATCAGTTTTCCGATTTCTGTGGTCAGAATTCACCTTGGATAATGCCGAAAATAATACATTTGTTGGTTTTGCCTGTGATGCGGTGAACGCTTCTCTGCAGCGTTGTACGTGAGCAACATCAGTCCCTCGTGTGTGTGTGCACATCAACATTCACCCCAGAATCTTTATTGAAACCGGAGGAATCCGTTGAGTTCTAGATTTGAAGCTTTCGTGACTGCAAGGATTCATATTCTTATTTTATTTTACTTTTATGAATTTTAATCTTTTACCTACGTGACTTTACCGAAAAAACCTATGAATATGAATCCGATGAGCTATAAAGTTCTTTTTCACAGATATCCAATAGGAGCGGGTGAGAACCCGTTACCTGACGAGGCCTCAAATGTAGTTCGGTAACGTCTCTTTCTGTGGGTCGTTCTCTGATTACGGGATGTTGTTTTTGCTTTGCGAGAGTTTCTTAGTTTCACGATGTGAACGCCGATGATGCAATTACAATAAGATTACAAAATTTGTCTATACACAGAAACAAATCCTCAATGTAAATTCTCACTCGTGCGCGTTTCAAGAATTATCGTCCAGCGTGAAATCTATCGCAAGTGCCGGCAATGTTTTCGTGAAATTCGCACAATAGTATGAACTTCTGTTCCTGCGATTACTCCGCTGAGTTAACCTCACACACGCGAGCATTCTCTCATCACTCTGTCTCATCACTTTCTCTTATCACTCTCTCGCTCGCTCGCATGCCATCGGCGAGGGTTTCCAGATGCGATTCGCGGAGAGCCAAAAAGTTCCGCGGATGACGAGAAAACTCTTTCGTTGTCCTTCCCCCGCACCTCCGATTGTCACGGCTGGCTACGTGCGGTGCGAAAGAAGTTTCAACGTACATACGAATCTACTGTTGTCACGAACGCCTCGGGGAAACATCATCTCCAGTACATCGGCGGAGGCGGCGGCGGTGGCGACGCGCCACGAGCTCAAACGATTTATATTTACGCGATCTAACTCAACAAAACAAAAAAAAACCCTCCGACAAAAAATCTTTACCACGGATGATATCGGTCGCGGAAGCCCGCGTGTCAAAACTCGAATGGCTTCTCTCGCAGGTACGAGGCCCTCTCGCTCGTGTCCGTCTACGCTGCCTACGTGGTGGCTCTGCACTTCGACGCGCGCCTCCGCCGCGCCTTCACACGCGGCTGCTTGTGCCTCCGCACGGCCGGGCAGCACCGCCGCCATCAGCCGGGTCACGACCCCGAGACGCAGCCGCTCGTCGGCGTCGACGCGGCCGGCGAGGAACACAGTGGCGGCACCTCGCGTCGTTCCTCGACGGGGGTCAACGACTTCCTGCACGGGCGCGCCAGGTCGGACAGCGGCGTCATCCTCAAGGACGACTCGGACTACTCGCAGTTGACCCTCAGCCTGCACGGCCTCACGTCGCTGGAGGACGAGGGTCAGAGTTCGAACACCGCACCCGCTCCCCCGTCGAGTTCGTGCACGAGTCGGGTGTCGTTTTTAAATCATTTATATTAAGTTCACTCGCTTGCTTGCTTGCTTGCGCGCTTACGACCGTGCAAATCTTTCGGTCGTTTTTTTAACCCACTTCCCGTGATCCAATCGAGCTGACATTTTGCACACAGACTCGTTGTGCGTGGCAATTTATTTTCGTGAAAAAAAATTCCAAAATTTTACACTTTTTAGGACAAAAGAAATTTAATTTAATTACCAATTGCTTAATGGTGGCAGGCAATCATCTTACCCATAGGTGGCAGCCATCTCAAGCCAGAGGACGAGAGGACTCTAGCCGCCACGCATATAAAGGATTTATAGTGAAAAACTTTGTTTTCACGGGTTAAATTTTTTCGTGTGGGCACGCGGACGTAGTGACACGTTTGGTGCCGGCCGTTTGAGATGAGTTGAGTGGGGCGTCGTGAGGAGGAGGATGAGGATGAGGGATTCGTTGTTGTCGGTTCAGAATATATCGATCGACGCAGTGGCCGCGTGGCAGTAGCCGTGCAGGAGCAAACCCGCTGGACGTCTGTGAAAACAAACTGGACATCTGTCGGCGGCGTAGATCCATCGGATTCCTCAAGGATAAATAAATATTCAGATTCTGTTTAAATATCACGATTCCGTTTAAAGCCCGCCTCAAGACGCGCTACGTTTCTCTCGCGAACCCGTTCTCATAATTGGCTCCTATAACTTATCAGTTTCCTCGGCCTGGCCGTTGGCCCACGATGTATTTGTTTATTTATTGTTGTGATCTACAAGGCATCGAGTGCCTTGCACAGAGGCGCTACGCGATTGTAATTTATTGTCACAATTATTCATTCAATCAAGTCGTTCGGTGGTGGAAGGGATAACACCAACAATGCCGGCACGAACACTGCCGCCACGTTTATGTATGTACTAGCGGTAAGTACCCGGGCGACAGACACACACATCGACCTACACACACAACAACAACAACAACAACCGCCATTCGCCACTAAGTGGCGGTGACGTCACCACGACGCTTGTGCCAGGCCAAGTGCACCTTGAGGCCACGTGAAGTGTCGAACTCCCGCTGGCAGGAGGTCATGGGGCAGACCCAGCAGGTGCCACGGGTCGACTGACACACAGGCATTGACCCACACACACAGAGACATCGACTTACACACACACACATGTGGACTCACACACACAGACATCGACTTTAGATATTCACACACATGGAGTTACACACACACATGGACTAACACACACGCACATGCACCTACACACACACACACATGGACTAACACACACGCACATGCACCTACACACACACACACACAAAGAAATGGACTTACACACTTCCATGGAGCCACACACACACATGGACTGACATACACAGACACATCGACTCACACACACGTATGTTTGTTGTATGTGTGTTTGTTGAACTTCTATTGCACCATACGTGGCCAACCGTGCTAATGGGAAGTGCAGGAGGGATGGGGTGGTGTGGTCATCACCACGCCCGTCCGCCTTTGTCTCCCCTCCCCAATGCTGATGTTTACACACACACCACACCGGGTACGAATTAAATTCAAGGCTGAGTTGACCTAGCGGAGATCTGGGACCGTTTCAGATAATCGTAACTGCTATTTGGACGTGAGCGGAAAACTCGTAACGCAGTGCGCTAACAGCTCCACCACCACTCCCTCTAAAATGTAATTAATTACATAAAGAGGCGTTTAGATTAATTGCCTGCTATGAATTTCCACGTGATTAGCCACTTTGCTGAGCTATCATTTGCGATAGCCAGGTAGATTTTGAAAAATAGCTATATAGCTCAGTGGGCCTTACCTGGTAAAATACAAAGAGTTGATGAGTTTCATCCACTGCACGTGATTAGAACCGAGTTCTAGATTTGAAGCTTTCGTGACTGCAAGGATTCATACTCTTAGTTCTTTCGGTAAAGTCACATAGGTAAAAAATGAAATTAATAAAAATAAAACATTAAATAAAACAATTTTTATTGTTTTATTTTTATTAATTTCATTTTTTACCTACGTGACTTTACCGAAAGAACTAAGAGTATAGAACCGAGTTCTCAAGAGCGTGACGCGTTGATGGAAATGTTTCTTGGCTGCAATAAATTTCCAGGCCACTTCGTTGGAGCTATCATTCGTCCACAATAAAGGTTTTTGGCTCAGATCGCGTTATTTATAAATGTGTCGTAACCCTCCACCACCCGACACGGCCAAACAGTAAAACATGTGTCACGTTTTTTCAAAGGACAAAATAATTGACTTCTTTAGCCCACCGGTGTGCTGAAGAGAGAATCAACATCATTTTAAAATTTGAGTAGTTCGACGTTTCGCTGATAGTTACAATCAGCTTCATCGGGCAAGAATGGTGAAGCTCTCCTGTTGCTTCCGGTCTTAAATAGAGCAGCATCAGGGTGACGTCATCATTCAATTCAATTTGGTGCAGTGATTCGAGGCAAGGAGGGGGGAGGTTATTGTAATTATATAGATTGGTAATCATTCAATTGTTATTCATTGGTATTTGTTTCCCTTATAAGGAATTGTAATTGTATTTATTTGATAATACGCTTCCAGGCCGCACTAAGCCTGTAGCTGTCAGAGCGATTGAAATTATTTCTGTTTCTTTCAATTTCAACGGATTCTCTAATTAGTCTTGGCCAGTAATAATTAGTTTTACACAACGCTTCAACGTTATCAAAATCAATTGAGTGTCCTTGTTGACAAGCATGCTCTGCCACGGCCGACAATTCGTGATGGCCAGCTCAATTCTCCCAGAGAACTACACAGTTTGGTGGGCCTTAGCCGGTAATAAGTAAACCCGTAAAAACAAAGTTTTTCACTCTAAATCCTTTATATGCGTGGCGGCTTGAGTCCTCTCGTCCTCTGGCTTGAGATGGCTGCCACCTATGGGTCAGATGATTGTCTGCAGTATTAAACAATTGGTAATTAAATATAATATTTTTGTCCTATAAAGTGTAAAATTTTGGAAAAAAAATTTCACGAACATTAATTGTCACGCACAACGAGTCTGTGTGGAAAATGTCAACTCGATTGGATCATGGGAAGTGGGTTAAAAAACGACCGAAAGATTTACACGGTCGTAAGCAAGCAAGCAAGCAAGTGAACTTAATATAAAGGATTTAAAAAAAACACGTGGCCCCAACACTCTGCGTTTGTACCCCCCTCCCAACCGCAGAGCCGATGGGTCTGCTGCACGTGCCCCAGGGGGACGGGCGGCGCGTGCTCTGGGCGCTCTCGCTGCCCGTGCTGCTGCTGCTGGCGCTGACGGTGCCCGACTGCCGCGCGCGACGCATGCGTCGCTTCTTCCCCGTCACCTTCTTCATGGCCGCCGTGTGGATCAGCGCGCTCACCTACCTGCTCGTGTGGATGGTCACGGTCACGGGTGAGTCGGGGTTCTCGCGATTGTCGAACTTTCCTTCACGCCGTACGTAGCCGACCGTGGATAATCGGATATGCGGGGGTAAGGACAACAGACTAAACACAAAAAGTAGTTCTAAAGAATCTTCTTGGTTCTTTCGGTAAAGTCACGAAGAATGGAAATAAGAAAATAAGAAAAATAAAACATAATAAAATAATAATGTTTTTTTTTTATTTCCATTCTACGTGACTTTACCGAAAGAAATAATAAAACATTATTTTATGATCTTTTATTTTTATTATTTTATTATTTTCATTCTACGTGACTTTACCGAAAGAACCAAGAAGATGAATCCCTGCTAGTCACGAAAGCTTTAAATCGAAATATAGTTCTAAAGAAGTGAGTTGTCAATCTAGATGATGATTTAAAAGTTGCACAGCTTCCAGTGGCTTCCTCATATTGGAAGGAAGAGCGTTCCAGACGGCCACAGAAGTGCGGTGACCCTCTTTGTTCGACGACCAGCCAAAAGCGAGGATGGTTACGGTTACGGGTGAGTGATCTCACCATCATCGTCACTGATAGTGGTGAGATTATTTACGATCATCACCGTCATCAGATAGTGATCATCATTGATATAAACATCGATCGGATGCTCCTTGCAGATCACCGATAGCATTGCTTTGAACTCAGACCGATATTTCAAAGGGAAGGCATTTTCCTTTACAGACATCCTTCAATATAAACGGAACGTATACGTTCCTGACAAGTTGTCCATCAAGAGAAACCAATTCCCTAAAATCCAGTTGCCTTATAACGAGGGGGGTTTTGGTCCTACCTTGTCAGTTCACCGGCATTGAATTCAAGGGAGCCTGACCCTGCCAATGAGACACTCGCCTCTCCGATTAGCACGGCTGTCTACGTACGGCGCGAAAGAAGTTTGACGTACGCACGTACGTGCTCCGTGTCGAAACCGGTCCGGCATTTTTTGCTTGCGCTGAATCGGTGCGAGCGAATTTATGCACTCCCATAAAAGGTCGTGTGGCTGATTGGATGCGTGCAAAAAAATATATTTAAAAAAATGTCATGTGGAGGGACCACTGTGGGAAGGAGATGTATTGTCTGCTTATCTGTTTCGTTACCTATTACAATGGCTTGCAGTTTAAAAGCCTACATTCATAATTCAACAGTGGGGAAAGCTGAAAAGGCCAAATTGGTGCACATCTCTGAAGGGCATGATTTATAATACCGACTTATCCCTTATTAATATTGGCCGTCCCGTATTGCCGTAAGCTGGCATTGAAATTATAAAAATGCCATTTAACCCTCTCCCTCTTTTTTTTTCCCTTCAAATGAATCGTGCAATTATCAGTGTAATGGATCACAGCACAAGCTTCTTGCTGAGTGCTTTCGCACTTTTAATCTGGCATTTTTGCTGCTGCTGCTGCTGCTTGCAGGAATTTGTATGACAAAATGACGAATGTTAATTTTTCTGTTTACACGTTCGCGCTCATTTTAATTCTCCCACGTTTTATCCCGGGGCAATGGCGAGCCGTTGCCTTGGCGAATGGCCCACAAAAGCGGATATCACAGAGCCACTTTCGAGATCCCTTTTGCAAGTGGCCTCTGGTTCTAGACACCTCGCGCGCAGTAAGGGGGCGGCACTTGCCGCTTGCCATAAGACAGCGCCGTCCGTGTTCGTCGCAGATAAACCGACGTTTCGAATGTCAGAGCTGAGACCGAAACTTCGTACGATGGGTTTTGTTTTTATTTGTGCAGTCATCGGTGAACGGGCCGGTGCAGTGTTGTGAATTTCAAGTGGGGAAAACAAAAAAAGCCACATTCCTGCGGAGGGAGCTGGTAGGAACGTTGAGTTGCTCGGTCAATGGCCAGGGTCAACGGCAGCGTGGTGTATTCCGCAAATATGTCCGACTGTGAGGGCGGGCACAAGCCGGCGTGAGTAGGTTAAATGTTGAGTTTAATAAGGGCACCACGGGGTGACCAGGCCCTCCCCACCCAGCCCTACCCCTCCCACCCCCCACCCAGCCCCACCCTCCCCACCCAGCCCCTCCCCACCCAGCCCCTCCCCACCCTCCCCACCAAGCCCCTCCCCACTCTCCCCTCCTCACCCAGAATCCCTCCCCACCCAGCCCCTCCCTGCACGATGGACGGACACAATAATCCCCTATGGGTTGGTGGAACCAGTGGGTTGCTACCAGTATAAATTGGAATCTACGATTTGGTTGTGTCCGGGTGGAGAAGTGGCCGAGTGGGCACTGCTCTATGAACCTGATGAGTGATTCCTAGCCATGACTAACATCAATGAACGGCGAGCGATCCCTTAAACAGTCCTGCGCTACTCGCCCCCCCCCCCCAAAAAAGGGGGGCTGTAAACGCACGTGAATGAATGAATATCGCTATAAATCAGCAGTTGCCAACTGGCGTCTTCTCGAGCCGCATGCGGCTCATTAAACCCAGCACACGCGGTTCCATCGAAGGAGCATAACGTAGAAGCGTGCAATCACAGTAGTAGCAAAGAATAATGAATGTGTCTCGTGCTGTGCCGAAAACTGTCAATACAGGGACTCCTCCACTTACGAACGAGCCAGATTCCAGAGGTACTGTTCGTAAGTCGATTTGTTGTTAGTCCAACTTTACTCCTGCCGATTCCAAACGTGTGGTACGGCGTGTACACTAAACACGGGGAATGGCTTTAAAAGTTGCATAATGTGTAGATATAGATGCCACTGGTTCTTCACGTTCTGCAGATGTAGATGCTACTTGTTATTTACGTTCTACAGATGTATATGCCACTGGTTCTTCACGTTCTGCAGATGTAGATGCCACTGGTTCTTCACGTTCTACAAATGTAGATGCTACTTGTTATTCACGTTCTACAGATGTAGATGCCACTCGTTCTTCACGTTCTGCAGATGTAGATGCCACTGGTTCTTCACGTTCTGCAGATGTAGATGCCACTCGTTCTTCACGTTCTGCAGATGTAGATGCCACTGGTTCTTCACGTTCTGCAGATGTAGATGCCACTCGTTCTTCACGTTCTGCAGATGTAGATGCCACTCGTTCTTCACGTTCTGCAGATGTAGATGCCACTGGTTCTTCACGTTCTGCAGATGTAGATGCCACTCGTTCTTCACGTTCTACAGATGTAGATGCCACTCGTTCTTCACGTTCTGCAGATGTAGATGCCACTGGTTCTTCACGTTCTGCAAATGTAGATGCCACCACCGCCATCTCTTGCACGGCGGTTGAATTTACGACTCTCGGTCCCAACAGGCAACTGGACATACGCACAGGGTTTGTTCGTATCTCTGAAAGTTCGTAAGTCGAATGTTTGTAAGTACAGGAGTCCCTGTATATATACACACACTTTTATATATATATACTTTATTGCTTTGAGGGACTCGTGGTTACGTTTTGGGCCTTTTGGCCATTACATGTTGGCCACCCCCACCGTGAATGAATGTAAGGTCAGTGATAAATGATCATTAAAATCCCGTTCACAGGGGTGGGTTGACTCAGCCCATCTAAACCCTCCGGGGGCCTTGCCATAGGAACGTGGAATTTCCAGCTGTAGGCACTTACAGCCGCTGACAGCACAGGGTTGTAAGCGGAAGTGGAGTACGATGCCTCAGTGCTCGTTTGAGCAGTTAATCACTTTTGACCTTTTGACCAATGTCAAAACATTATTGATATGAAATTAACAACAAAAAGATGAACAGGTAACATCAATTTTTAGGTTCATTTTTAAATCATCTAAACGCGTGTCGATTCTAAACGTGGAGGGCGACAAACCGGAGGACCCGGAAAAAAATCCACGCATCCACAGAGAGAGAGAGAGATACACGCAAGCTCCAAATACGGTATGCAACAGGCATGGTGGTCGGGATCGATCTCACGACCTCGTGCATACCGGGCGAGGGAGCTAACATCTCGTTTATAAACGGGATGGATGCGAGACATCACGTGAAGATTTCAGACATACTCGAAACTCCGGGCGTCCCTTTTTGGCGCCCCTTAAAAGGGAAGCCCTTTGATTTGTGGTACTGTAACATCTACAGAGACTCGGGTTGCCTCTTGCCAGGGCTGCGTGTGTGCATACAGATTTGTGTGCACGCGTGTGCACAGTGTTTGGGCTCGTCCTGTGGCGTTATGGGGAGGTTCTAGATTTGAAGCTTTCGTGACTGCAAGGATTCATATTCTTAGGTTTTTTCGGTAAAGTCACGTAGGTAAAAAATTAAAATTACTAAAAGTTAAATAAAAACTAAAATAAAAATCACGACGTTTCGGAGGCAATACAAGCTTCCGTCTTCAGGTGGACCTGTCATAGCACGATAGCTGCATCAAGTAAGAGAAATTCCGAGAAAATAGTATTTGTATACTATGGGAACCTCATTTGCCAGTAAAAATATGATAATTGTTTTTTTTACCCTTCTATCTGGCAACAAAACTGACACCTTTTTACAAGGAGTCATGTTTGCATAGACCACAATACCTGCAGTCATAATGCAAACAAAAGACACAACTCTGATAAAGGAGCACGCCTTTTGGCGTCATCTGGTCCAACACCATGTGAGAGACTAGGCTCTAAGGAAAGCTGTCTCGGGTGTGGACCAATCAACTTCAAGGACAGTGCACACATTATCAGAGTTATGTATTTTGTTTGTATTATGACTGCAGGTATTGTGGTCTATGCAAACATGACTCCTTGTAAAAAAGGTGTCAGTTTTGTTGCCAGATAGAAGGGTAAAAAAACAATTATCAGTATTTGTATATATACTGGTTGAGGGTGGGAGGAGCCATGGGGAGGGTTGGTGCAGTGGTTTTAGCGCACTGCTCCTGCGAAGCCAGTCGCCCGAGTTCGATCCCTGGCCACGATCAACATCAGTGGCCAAGGGGCCGTCCATAAATGACGTCACGCACCTAGGGGGGGGGTGGGGGTCAGACAATTGTGACGAATGTGACGAGGAGGGGGTGGCGGGGGGGGTTTGAGAAATGTGACGTCACATCATCAAAATGCGCAACTTTAAATAAATATAGAATTGTTATAACGACACTAATTGTTACAGCAACACTCCTACAACATCAGAGTGCAGCACCACATTAAATACGCACTACAATGACAATAGTTTAAAGCGATTTGACGCATGTTTTATTTAAAAAATGAAAATATGGTTTTGGGGAGGGGGGGGGCAGAGCTTTGTGACGTCATATTTGAGGGGGGGTCTGACTTTTTGTGACGCCGTGTGACGAGGGGCGGTGGGGGGGTCAAAAATCGTCCAAAATCGCGTGAACTGTTTCTGGGCCTCCTCTGTGCATTGGGTGTAGACATCAGCACGGTGTAGACAAATGTGCCCGGGCAATTGCACCACCCCCCCCCCCCCCTTGTGTTGTACCGGTCTTCATGGGGGTTCTCTAAAAGCACTTCCCGCAAAGAGCATGTGGAGGGGATCTTCGTCTTTAATGATGTGCGTGTGTGCGTGCGTGCGCACATGGGTTTGAGCATGCGCGTTGCGTGTGTTGCCATGAGTATGTACATGCTTGAGTGTGTGTCTGTGTGCCTCATGCTGGTATATTTCAGTGTTCCCAGAATGCTTGAATGCACGACTGTGTGTGTGTGTGCGTGGGGAGCGGTACAAACCCGGCGACCCGGGTTCACTTCCCGCTCACGGCCAACCCCAGTGACGAATATCTGAACCGGTCCTGGGCCTCCTCTAGGTCGACTCAGCCTCAAATGTGTACCTGGTACGGTGTGTAAACATCGCCACTTCGGGTGACAAAAGGGGCTGGGTGGGGAGGAAGGAGCTGGGTAGGGAGGGGCTGGGTGGGAAGGATGGGGCTGGGTGGGGAGGGGCTGGGTGAGGAGGGGCTGGGTGGGGAGGGTGGGGCTGGGTGGGGAGGGTGGGGAGGGGCTGGATGGGGAGGGGCTGGTCACCCCGTGGTGCCCTTATAAAACTCAACGTTTAACCTACTCACGCCGGCTTGTGCCCGCCCTCACAGTCGGGTCGTGATGTTGGTCACCCACCCCCTCGTGTGTCACAATGCCCGGCTTCATAGGTGCCACTCGCTAACAGCACTTGCCTCTACAGTCTGGGGCACCACGGTGGCTAGGAGATGTGTAACTACCTCGCCCGGTATACAGGAGGTCGTGAGTTCGATCCCAACCCTGACGCCTGTTGCTGTATATTTGGAGTTTGCGTGTTTCTCTCTCTCTCGTCATCATCATCACGGTGGCTAGGAGATGTTAACTACCTCACCCGGTATACAGGATGTCGTGAATTCGATCCCAACCCTGACGCCTGTTGCTGTATATTTGGAGTTTGCGTGTCTCTCTCTCGTCATCATCATCACGGTGGCTAGGAGATGTTAACTACCTCGCCTGGTATACAGGAGGTTGTGGGTTCCATCTCGACCCAGATGCCTGTTGTATATTTGGAGTTTGCGTGTTCTCCCCGCGGTTGCGTGGATTTTCCCCCCGGGTCCTCCTGTTTTTCCCTCCACATTTACAATCAACATCACGCGGTTTCAGAGCATTCGGCTGCTGCCTATCGCCACGTGAACGGCAAGTCACTTGGTCGAGCTCGCATTTGTGATGGTCAGTCGCTTGTGGAAAAATAACACATTCCTGCGGAGGGAGCTGGTAGGAACGTTGGGTTGCTCGGTCAATGGCCAGGGTCAACGGCGGCGTGGTGTATTCCGCAAATATGCCCGACTGTGAGGGCGGGCACAAGCCGGCGTGAGTAGGTTAAACGTTGAGTTTTATAAGGGCACCACGGGGTGACCAGCCCCTCCCCACCCAGCCCCACCCCTCCCACCCCCACCCAGCCCCTCCCCACCCAGTCCCTCCCCACCCAGCCCCACCCTACCCACCCAGCCCCTCCCCACCCAGCCCCTCCCTCCCCACCCAGCCCCTCCCTCCCCTCCCCACCCAGCCCCTCGCTGCACGACGGACACAATAATCCTCTGTGGGCTGGTGTAACCAGGAGGTTCCTACCAGTAGAACATGTTGTTCCTAGTTACGGCTATATTGGGCGAGGGGGCGGAGGGGAGAATTTTTGTCTTTTGTCTTGTTGTGCAGGCGAGACACTGGGCATCCCGGACACGGTGATGGGTCTCACCCTGCTGGCCATCGGCACAAGCCTCCCCGACACCATCACCAGCCTGCTGGTGGCCAGAGAGGGTAAGTGGCTGTCACCAGACTACAACAACAACAACAACGACCACAACAACAACAACAACGCAGCCAGCCCGCCCAGTGGCGTACCGATCGTGGGGGGCAAGAGGCTGCTGCCTTGCCCCCCCCGCCCCCCCACGTGGCCAAAGCTACCGGTGTAAAATGACAGCAGACGCTTATTCAAAACTCGCTTTTAAATGTATTTGTACGAAAATGCTTTTCATTCACGTGCCACGTTTCATTTGAAATGTGATTTGAGCGGCGGCAGAGTGTGGCACACACAGCACCGGCCTGCTACACGAGGGGGGGCACCAGCCCCCCAGCGAGACAACTTCACCAACAACAACTTTGGCGAGCCACGTGCTGGGTGGCTGACCGCTCGACGCCAACCTCCGCCTATCCACCCACCACCACCACAACCACCACCGACCCTCTCCCCTTGTCATTCTCCGTCACGCTGCTACCGCCGCAGGCAAAGCCGACATGGCCATGTCCAACATCGTGGGCTCCAACGTGTTCGACATGCTGTGCCTGGGTCTTCCCTGGCTTTTGCGCACTGGCTTCGTGTCCCCTTCGGGCCCGGCCCACGTGAGCAGCGCTGGCCTCGTCTACTCGGCGGCGTCGCTGCTCATCTCGCTGGCGCTGCTGCTCGCGTGCGTCCACGCGGCACGCTGGCGCCTCAGCCGGCCCCTGGGAGCCGCGTGCCTCGCCGCGTACCTCGTGTTCGTCGCCGTCGCCGTCCTGCACGAGGTCGGCGTGCTGGGTGGTGACCCCGCCGCCCGCGTCTGCGGAAAGTGAACCTTGAGCAGCCCTGGAGCACGAAGCCGCTGGGGGGGGGGGGGGGTCGGGGCGGGCAGTCGGTCGGTCACTCGCTTGGTCGGTTGCTCGGTCGGTCACTCGCTCGGTCAATCGCTTGATCGGTGAGTCGGTCGGTCAGTCGGACGCCCGGTTGCTTGCTCGGACGGTCACTCGCTCGGTCAATCGCTTGATCGGTGAGTCGGTCGGTCAGTCGGACGCCCGGTTGCTTGCTCGGACGGTCTCTCGCTCGGTCAATCGCTTGATCGGTGAGTCGGTCGGTCAGTCGGACGCCCGGTTGCTTGCTCGGACGGTCACTCGCTCGGTCAATCGCTTGATCGGTGAGTCGGTCGGTCAGTCGGACGCTCGGTTGCTCGCTCGGACGGTCTCTCGCTCGATCAGTCGCTTGGTCGGTCGCTCGGTCGGTCACTCGCTCGGTCAATCGCTTGATCGGTGAGTCGGTCGGTCAGTCGGACGCTCGGTTGCTCGCTCGGACGGTCTCTCGCTCGATCAGTCGCTTGGTCGGTCGCTCGGTCGGTCACTCGCTCGGTCAATCGCTTGATCGGTGAGTCGGTCGGTCAGTCGGACGCCCGGTTGCTCCCTCGGACGGTCTCTCACTCGATCAGTCGCTTGGTCGGTCGCTCGGTCGGTCACTCGCTCGGTCAATCGCTTGATCGGTGAGTCGGTCGGTCAGTCGGACGCCCGGTTGCTTGCTCGGACGGTCTCTCGCTCGGTCAATCGCTTGATCGGTGAGTCGGTCGGTCAGTCGGACGCCCGGTTGCTTGCTCGGACGGTCACTCGCTCGGTCAATCGCTTGATCGGTGAGTCGGTCGGTCAGTCGGACGCTCGGTTGCTCGCTCGGACGGTCTCTCGCTCGATCAGTCGCTTGGTCGGTCGCTCGGTCGGTCACTCGCTCGGTCAATCGCTTGATCGGTGATTTGGTCGGTCAGTCGGACGCCCGGTTGCTCGCTCGGACGGTCTCTCGCTCGGTCAATCGCTTGATCGGTGAGTCGGTCGGTCAGTCGGACGCCCGGTTGCTCGCTCGGACGGTCTCTCACTCGATCAGTCGCTTGGTCGGTCGCTCGGTCGGTCACTCGCTCGGTCAATCGCTTGATCGGTGAGTCGGTCGGTCAGTCGGACGCCCGGTTGCTCGCTCGGACGGTCTCTCACTCGATCAGTCGCTTGGTCGGTCGCTCGGTCGGTCACTCGCTCGGTCAATCGCTTGATCGATGAGTCGGTCGGTCAGTCGGACGCCCGGTTGCTTGCTCGGACGGTCACTCGCTCGGTCAATCGCTTGATCGGTGAGTCGGTCGGTCAGTCGGACGCCCGGTTGCTCGCTCGGACGGTCTCTCGCTCGGTCAATCGCTTGATCGGTGAGTCGGTCGGTCAGTCGGACGCCCGGTTGCTCGCTCGGACGGTCTCTCGCTCGATCAGTCGCTTGGTCGGTCGCTCGGTTGCTCATTCAGTCAGTCGGTCGCTCGCTCGGTTATTCGTTCATTCAGTCGGTCACTCGGTGGGTCAGTCACTCGGTCGGTCGCTCAGTTGCTCGTTCAATTAGTCACTCGGTCAGTCAGTCGCTCGGTCGGTCGCCTGCAGCCTGTCCAGAGTCCGGCAGAATTCAGGAGTTTCTTGTTGTCGATTGTGTCCCAGTCACATCCACGGACAATGAGGTGGCAGTGCGTTGTGCGTTTAACGCCCGCAGTGCGTTGCACCCTGCAGAAAATGTTTGCGATGCTGCGTTGGCAGTGGTGCACAAAGCACAAGTAACAGAAAGTCAACACTGTCCCTCAATGACAAAAATATCTAACGGACGACGGTTCGGGTAATGGCCCTTCTTCATGTGAAAGGCTATCATACGTGCAGTATCCATTGCGTGCTTCATGCATGGCCATGGTGCGTGTGGGATGCATTTTGCGTCATCAATGCAGTGCGGTCATGTGACATGTGCAGGGCATGGTCAGAGAATCAATCCCAAGGTCACAATCGTGCTTTAGGCTATTTTTTAAATTATAACTAGAACTGTTTTTTTATTTCACCAGCTAAGGCCCACTGAGCTATGTAGCTCTTTTGCAGAAGCGACCTGGCCACAAATGACGGCTCAACGAAGTGGCTCATCACGTGGTAATGTACAGCAGCCAAATACTCTCAACGCGTGTTTCTAAATGCGGAGGTAATATACTCGTTTAAAAACTTTTTTTATCAACAACTTCGTTTAACTCATGGTCGAGAAGTACGTCAATGGCACCTGAGACACGTGGCACCTGCGTTTTGTGCAAGCCGATTCCACATATATAAATAATAAGGGGTCCACACAAAATGTAAATTGTTTTAAAGTAGCGAATTAATTGATTAATTGATGGCGAATTTGATACAGGCATGAATTGTCACCTGATCTGAGTACGTGTGCAAAATGTGAAATTGAATGGACAACGGGAAGTGGACGAAATTTTGATTACAAGATTTGACCACGACAAATGGAGGAATCAAGTTAAGTAAAACCGTTGAAAAAACCAGAGGACCCAGAGAAAAATCCACGCGACCACGGGGAGAGACACATGCAGACTCCAAAATATACAAGTGTCAGGGTCGGGGTCGGGGTCGGGGTCGGGATCGGGTTCGATCCCACGGCCTCCTGTATACCAAGCGAGGTAGTTAACATCTCACCACCACGGCGCCCTACCTAATGCGTGTACCATTGTTCTGGTTAGGATTGCCAGGTTAGTGGCATAGCCTGGCCTTTCCGCTGGAGAGAAAACAACCTCCACTTGAGTTCCCTCACTTGCACCTTCCTACCTTTCCCTCTTCCCCGCTTGGTGTTTGAACTGTCTGTCTCTCCCATTGCCCGCCCGAAGACGCCCCGTGGTCTCGTTATTCTGAGCTTTGGCGTGTGTTGGATGGCTCAGGAAGAGCAAATCGTTGTTGCTCATTGAAAAAAAACAAAAGAAATATGTACAGTACCTGTCGTGAACTCGACTGCTGGACAAAAACACAATAAAAATAACCTGAAACAATGAATCTGGAATTTCGTTTGAAGTTCGCGGAAACTCGCTGTCTTGTTGTTATTGTTAAATCCTTCACTTGCTTGCTTGCTTAGGACCGTGCAAATCTTTCGGTCGTTTTTTAACCCACTTCCCGTGATCCAATCGAGCTGACATTTTCCACACAGACTCGTTGTGCGTGACAATTAATGTTCGTGAAAATTTTTTTCCAAAATTTTACACTTTTTAGGACAAAAATATTATATTTAATTACCAATTGCTTAATGCTGCCATGCAATCATCTGACCCATAGGTGGTAGCCATCTCAAGCCAGAGGACGAGAGGACTCTAGCCGCCACGCATATAAAGGATTTATAGTGAAAAACTTTGTTTTTACGGGTTATACTTGTTTTATCACTTGACTCGGAAACGGTTCGTGAAACGTTCCGGTTTTCAGCGTTCATTTTCTGAAGCTGTACCACCCCCCCCACCCCCACCTCAACTTTCGACGTGAACGGGGAAGAGAGATGGGGGCTGGCGGGAAGTCCCGTTGTTTCGAAGCCGCGATTCGTATCGCGTTTAAAAAATGTCACCGTGCGCACATCCACGCGAGGCATTGGAAAGCGATCGTCGAGTTAATCACGCGCAGCGTGATTTGAAGGCGCGCTCCGCGGATGTAATCGTCGGAAAAGTCATCCGTGCGCGGTGCTAACCCGGCCGTGTTCAAAACGAATTGCGCCCGCACTGAGATTGACCCGGTATCTTCCGCTCCAGCTCACACTTTCCGGCGAGCAAGAGTCCACCGCCGTTGGCAGCAGCAGCAGCAGCATCTATACAATTCTCCGGCACGCGCCGTGACGGGGTCCTGCAAGGTCCGACCGTGTCCGGTTTGCGGAGCGAATACGTTCTAAGGTCGCGCTCGTCACACGCAAAACGTTTGCCACACAAGTTAGGCGCAATGCCTCGCTAATCTTGTCAATTGAGCATAGACCATCATCTCGCGAACTTTGGTCACCCTCGCAGCGGTGGCCATCGAACAAGGACAGTTACCGCATCGGATTGTGCTTCTGCGGCCGTCTGGAACGCTCTTGCGATATTGGGAAGCCACTGGAGCTATGCACTTTACATCTCAATTGAAAACTCATTTCTGTAGAACTGTTTTTATGTTTTTAGTTCGTTGTCCTTCCCCACACATCCGATTAGCACCGTTGGCTACGAAATAAGTTAGACACACGTTGGCGAGCATCGTGCGTAGTAAGTATTTTGAACTTCTTTTGCACCGTACGTAGCCAATTGCGCAAAATCGTCGCTCCCACCCCTGGGGGACACGAGAGCCTTTCAGGGGCCGGGAAAGTGGGGGGCTCAGCCCGTGGCATGGATACCGTGCAGGAGAAATTTCCGATGCGTGCAGAGAACGCCGAAGCCACGTTGCAGAGACAAACGCCCTCATGCGTTGTGGAGCGTTTCACGCTTTCAGGATCGATCGGGCGACAGCACTCCAGCATCTCAGAATCAGAATCTGTACTCATGTCGGAGAAATCCGATGCGCCGATGATGCGTTTTTATTTTCACAATGAAGCTGTGACGTGGCCAAGTGTGACAATTGATTTTGGATTTTTTTCTTTTTTTCCCGGCAAGCCACCGTGTTGAGTCACAATTGTACATCTCTCTGCAGAGCGTAGATTATTACATCCGGGCATCATCAGTTGGTTAGCCAATTGTACATCTCTCTGCAGAGCGTAGATTATTACATCCGGGCATCATCAGTTGGTTAGCCAGCGTGCTCAGACTCCTGAGATTCACCAATATCCAATATTGCTCACTCCAGGTCTGACGTCAGACCTACGACAATCGATCATGGGGGTGGGGGGGGGGGGTACTTGATCATACTTCACCACGTTGGTTAATGCAAGTTTGTTATGGGGAGGGCGGGGGGGTGAGGGGAGAAGAGAGTTGATTAGGTTTAGATATTACTCGCCACTGATGTTATAACCCTGGCTGAGAATTGAACTCGTGCCCGGCAAACGCTCGTTATTTAAGACTTAAAATCA